GTCGGGCTGGAGGCGTCGTAGAGGTGTGCCCGCTTCTTCAAGCTCAAAGCTGGAGGTCGCAAGCGCCAAAGCCGGGCAGCCTGTTGCAACGACTTCCGCATCGAGATGGCTCGCATCAGCTCTTCACGACTGTCCTTCCGGGTCAGGTCCAAGCGATCGCGGACCTCTGAATGCGACAGCACGCCTTCCTCTGCCGAAGGACTTTCAACGTCAGCGGCATCTTCGTAAACTCCAACACAAGCAACTGCTTCCGCCAGAGCTGCTTGAGCTGCAGCATGCGTTGCATGGTGCTCATGGGGATCTGGCTGGCCGCAACCGGAACAGCAGTTCCCCAAGGCGGGACCGATGATCTCCGACATGAGTGCTCAGATGGCCTGCTCCTTGCCAAACGCAACGAAGCCAGGCTCTTCGCTGCCCTTGGATTAAAAAGTATGAACATCTCCTTTTGAGCCCGAACGAGGGCCCGAAGCAATCTCAAACGTGACCCCCACTTGCCCAGGCCTACCCGGCCTACCGGGCTGCCCCCCCCCTCCCCCAAACCTTTAAGCGATCCGAGACACCAACATGGACACAAACAATCGCTGCAGGAAACCATCACGACGAAGCACCGCGGCCTGTGACCGGCAGGGCGTGCACCCCCCTGAGGCTCGGAGTGTAGCGACCTTGCCAAGCAGCGGATGGGAAGCACGTGTTCGGGGTTCACGCTGTCACTTCACAGGCCGAATAGGCCGAGCTGGAGATGGAGTGGCAAGCAAGAATGTCTACAGGAGACGCTGCTGGAGGTGATGGTGTAGGGCAGTGTAGGGACTGATGGTTCTGCGGGGGAATGCCCGCGCGTATTGCATTGGCAGAAAGGGTCGCAGCAGGCATTCCAAACCCGGCACGTACCCGGGCTGGTGAGTGTTCGGAGTAGCACATTCTGAGACGCGTTCTTGCACAAACACAGGCGCTGGGGCTTCGACAAACTAAGGAATGGTCCTTCATTGCGGGGTGTCGGGGTCTCTGGGTATGTTTCGTCTCAGGCTGTCTTCATGTCTTGCATGGAGACAAAACTTCAACTCACTTCCTCGCCTAGAACCCCAAATGCTCAACCAGCAAACGACATCCTGAACCGTGCCCAACCGCAACCCTCGAAGCCTTGAAGACCCCAAAGCCTGACGACAGAAGCCTGAACTCGATTGGGGCCTTGTGCCAGCAGGGCGAGCTCGTCGACTGGGGAAATCGGCCACAGAGCCTGAATTCGAACAAGGATGTCCATCTCAACTGGCTCTTGAAGGTTGCTCCACTTAAACAAGTCCGGCAAGATGTTGAAGCGATCTTCTGGCATGCCTGAAGTTGACTAGCGCGGCAGGTTAAGCGTTGAGGCCTCCGACGCGTCTGAGATGAAACGTAGTGGGAACAATTTGGACGCGCCTTTGGGGGAGGCTTCGGGGCCCCTACGGGCTTGGGGTGTTTAAGCTGCACGACTCAAACACCGTGAACCCCATGACATCTGGACCCTGAATTCTGAATCCAACAACCTCAAGCCTAAGCCATGACCTCAAAGCCTGGAGCCCTGAACCCTAAACCATCAAGCTTCATGATCCGCGACACAAGATGGCAAATGCCAGAAGGACCACTTCTCACCTTGCTTTGGCCCTGACGCCTTCAACAAAACCTACTCCAAACCTCAAGCCCAGAAGCAGAGCTTCTCCAGGGACCGCTTCTCCACATCGGCACTGCGGTTGGGAATGCCCTGTGCAGAGACTTTTGGACTCTTTGGTTGCTTGGGAGCTTCAAGCTTGGGCTTCCAGGGGCGCATCGGGACACAAGCAGCCTGGAGTCAGGGCCAGACGTCCACGGTCCGGCGCTGTCGCTCATCCTGGACAAGCCGAGCAGGAAATCCCTGTTGACTAGCCGGGTTCAGGGACAGGGGTTTATAAACTGTTTAGGGTTCAGAATTGGCCGACGCACCCGGCACCATCACCCCACTACCCACCAAGCCCTTTTTGTGGGCAAAGCCGTACTCCCCAACAATCAATGGTGTTTAGGGGTCCAGGGTAGACATATTAACAAAAGGGATGGGGAAACTTGCGCAGGGCAAGACCAACAGTCCCAAAGAGCACCCAGCCTCGATGAAGCTGACCTTGCCACAGCTTCTCGAGGGCATCCCAGCAGTTGTTGCCCATCTCCTGCTGGAACAGCAGGAGATGAACCCTAAACCCTAAACCCTAAACCCTCTTTAGCCGATCACCTCAACACACCGCCCTGTGCCTCCTCGGCAGTTGGTGGTGGACCTGGGAAGGGTTTTAACAAAAAATGATCATGGCCGTCGAATGAGCTTCGTTTTGTGGAGCTCCGCCGCCCTCATGATCATGCCACATTCTGAAAAATCTGGGCCGGCCTATCCCAACAAAAAGACACTGGCGGAGGTGGCGGAGACGCTGAACACCTTGGTCCAGTGGTCGGTTTTGGGTTTAGGGTTTAGGGTTTAGGGTTTAGGGTTTAGGTGTGTGATGCAGGCTTTGTACGAGTGGCCGAGGATCTCTTGAGTCAAATAAACCCCCCTTGCATCACGAGTTGAATCTGAGCTGTTTTAGTCACTGTATGTCTGTCTATCCATACATATATATAGGTAGAATCATAAACAAAAATATACATACATATATATATATATATATACATACACATATGTACATGTATATCTGGTCATATATACATATATATATATATATATACATGTATATGTTTCTGTGCAGGGCTGTGAGGCCAGGATCCCGGCCCAAGGCTCGCCGCAAGCAGTCAAGGGAAAAGCGCCCTCCACCGAGATGCAAAGGGGTTTAGGGTTTGGGGTTTAGGGGGTTTAGGGGGTTTAGGGGGTTTTAGGGGGTTTAGGGGGTTTAGGGGTTTAGGGGGTTTAGGGGGTTTAGGGTTTAGGGTTTGGGGTTTGTGGTTTATAGGGTTGAGGGTTTAGGGTTTTATGGTTTGGGGTTTAGGGATTAGGGTTTGGGAGTTGGGCTGGTGTGGCCACCTCTTTAAAGTAGGGTTTGGGGTTTCGGGTTTAGGGGTAGTTCTCTCCCTTTTGGGGTCATGTTTTATAATGTTGGACTGGCTTTAGTGGATGGGACCACTATTATGCGATTTTCCGATCCGCTTATACAGAACCCCCCCATTGTTTAGGGGGGTTCACAATTATGCGATGTTGTCCCGGCCGGGGTTGAAGGGCGGGGGGCCGGGGAGCCAAAAACTAAAAAAAGTTTTGAATAAGAAGCTCCGGAATTTTTTGGTGTCCAGCCTTATGTAAATTCCTTTTAAATTTCATTACGAAACAGGCCCCCAAATGGGAGCAGCCCACGAGCTGCCCTGATTCGCTTTAGCAAGTTGTTTCGGTGGTCTGCATTTGTGCGGAGCCCCGGCGGCCGTGGAGCTACAAAGTCTGGAAAGCTTAGACCCTCAAGCTTCAAGGCTTCCCCTCAACCCTCGACCCCTAGCCGCCCTACCCCCAGCCCCGTACCAGCCCCAGCCCACATTATTAAGGATCCCCGAAAACCCCAAAATTGTTTGGGGAGGGGGGGGCCCTGGCACACTAAAGCGAGTCCAACATTAAGGCGGCCCTAAAATTTAGGGTGCCCAAAAAGGGACCTTTGAGAACTGACCGTGTGTCTGTGTGTCTGTGAACAAGCGCACTGCGATTGACTGCTGCACGCAGCAAGAACGCTGTTTTGCATGCCGTGTTCTGTGCACCATCCGCTTCAGATCCGCTCCTCACGAATGCGCTACTTCAAGTAGCTCTTGATGCTTCAACAAGAAAGGGCTTGCGCCTGGAATATGGACATCTATCTTGGCCATCTGCCGCAAGAGAAGCTCGGCCTGCCCGCATGCTGCGAGGTCCGTGTGTGTCAAGTGGTGGCTTGTGATGTCTTTGCAGCCACCTAAAGGCCATTCTGGGAGAAAACTCAACAATCACTCTGACCACTTCCCATTTTCTGCCGGGTTTGGGAGGAAACTGGGGGTCCTTGCCTTGCTTGCGAACAACACGTTTCGCGGAACAACATTGAGTTTGCGGGGGGGATGTGACACCTCCGTAACGCCATCCAGCATGTTGCTCTCAACTTCAATGCACTTCCCTTTCTGCAACCAGGCCTCGCCAGGCCTGGCATGGTCCAACGGTCAAATTTAAATTCGTCTGGACTTTCTTGCCGCCAAACTTGCGAGCCTTACACAACAGTACAGTGAACCGATCTTGGAAACATGATCTGCACTTGCTTTCAGCCCTGACGACAACATCAAACAGTTCACACGATAGTCTCAGGAGCTTGCCTACAAACCCTGCGTGAAAATTCGAACGAAGTCTTCAGCAAAGGCTCATGACGGCCCAGCAGCAAGTCTAAAACCCCAGCAGGACCAAACCCTGAACAACCCTAAAGTATGATGATAGCTTAAACCTTAATCCCTCCTCTCAGCACTTGACATTTTTCTTCGGTGGTTCTTGTTGTCTTCATCTTGCGAATTTCTGCGCTTTGCGGATACCTGGAAAGGGAACCCGATGACAGTAGACATCTAGCGGCAATACAGGCTCTGCAATACAGACTGAGTTGACCTCTTGGTATTGTTTGCCCGAAACCATATGCGTACGGCCGAGCCCCCATGGTTTTTCAACATGCGGCGTCAGAGCGACTGTGCGACGCTGGGTATAGCTTTGTCACATGCTTGCATGACATTGCCAACGCATTCCTGTCGATGTTCCATGAGCATATTGTTAATGTCACGGATACAGCGGTCAAGGATGTTGACAAAAATCTGCTTAGGCAAAGAGTGCAACACGTGGAAGCCAGTGATGGCCAGGTGGTTGTGTCTCCCACCAGTGGCACCCTTCAAGGGGACACAACAGCGGGCGACATTTTCTTGGAAGGCTACCATCCTGTTCTTGATAAGTGGTCGGACAGGCTACGCGCACGCAGTCACGCAGCCCTGCTTTTCGGATTACTGCTTTTTCTCCCGTGGATTTGTCTGATCAAGATATGGCCTTATCCGCTTACGCGGACGACGTTTGCAGGAAGATTCTTGTTTCGTCTCCGCAGTCGGCTGCTGCACATGTCAGGTTCAGCAACGAGGTTCTTGACGACGAGTTGCTCAATGTGGGGATGGCGCAAAACACAGACAAGCAAGAGCACGTTGTCGTTTTCCTTGGACCCCATAGCCGCACGCACAACCAGCAAGTTTACCGGCACGCGCTGCTGGATGGAAAGACGGTTCCGGCTGCAAAGTACCTTGGAGGCCTGCAAAGGTATGATGGGCAATGTGGACCCGAAGTTGACAAACGTGCCAACGCTGCGTACGCTGCTTGGTGCACCTTTAAGGGCCTGTGGCACAGACGTGAGCTTCCATGGCGCGGACCGCGAACTGTCTTCATGGGCATGGTCTATGAGGTTCTTTTCAGTGGCTTGGAAGCTCTTGTGTTGGGAAGCGGGCATTATGCCAAGCTTGACCGCATTGTTGCTGCATATGGTCGCCGTCTTCTCCGTGGTACTGCGTGTGAAAAAATTGCACAAGCAGATGGCAATATCAAATATCGGAGCATGCCCAACACCGACGTTTTCCGGCACCTTGGCGTCGCCTGCGCCAGCACAGAACTTCGCATTCGTCGTCTTAAGTTTCTCCAGCGGCTCGCTACAGACCCATTTCGGCACCATCATGTCATCACTGCTTTTTTTGGCACCATGGATTTCGATCCTGAACCTACTGTGGATGCTGAAGTGGGCCTCACCCCAAGGGCCAACTCCTACGCCGCCAGGCTGTACTGGAAGGACTTGCAGTCTTTGGCTGGGCTGGACTCGGCTCATTGGATTGTTGAACTTGCCGGTAATGACATCATGGCCTTTTTCACAGAGCTGGCTACGGATTTTGCCCATGTGGATGTTACCGAGCTTCGGGCACAGGAGCTCTCTGTCCAGATTCCACCGCCAGGTTTCTCACCAGCGCCAAGACAACATCATGCTGAGGAGCCTCTGGAAATGGATGATTTGCCTCATGTGTGTTCCATTGCATTGGAGAGCGGGATTCCATGCGGGCAGCGGTTTGCAAGTCTCCGGGATTTACGCTTGCACCAGTACAAGAGCGGTCTTAGCAACCATAACATTGTGTCTGACTACTGCAAGGCGGCTCATGTCAACCAATGCCCATGGTGTCTCATGGTACATGCGTCCATCGTCTCCACGCGTAAACACATCAAACGCCGATTGGACACAGGTTCCTGTCCTTCTGGCAGTCGTTGTGGTAGTGCTGTGGTTACGGCTCCCACTCTTCCTGCTGACTTCATATGCAAGTTTTGCGGACATGATTCTGATGATTTACCGCAGCGTTTCACACACATCAAGTCCCACTTCCCATAAGCTCTTCCCGAACAGAAGCATGGAGGGCTGGAGCGCCAAAAGGCAGGAGGAACGGAGTCAGCATGGCCCCCCTGCCAAGGTGCGAGCACTCTCGCCGCGGGAAGATGAGCAGCTCATCCAGAAAGCCGTGTTGCTGGTGTCGAAGATGACGCTGCGTCAGGAGCTTGAAGTCAGAGAACTGCAAAGCGCTGTCTTCAAGACCTTCATGCTCAAGGAACCAAACCCGCTCATCGCTGCTGTGAAGAGTGAAGTTGGATCTTTTGTGGAGAAATCGAAGCTTGCGCGCACATCTGGTGGAAGCATGCCTGACGGAGAACTCCATGCACACGCTTGGGCTGCCATTATACTGGCATTGCTACACAGCAAGTCTCTCTCGATGAGGCCCTTAAGGAGACCATCGTTGCTCATCGAGCTGCAATGACATCGCCAGATAAAATCGCCGACATTGTCTACATTGCAAAGATGAAGAAAGCCTTCAATCGGGGCGAGTTCAAGCTTTTCCTTGCCGTCAGCCCATCCCATCATGACTTGCTTGAAGCGGTTTGCCAAGGCGTACTTGGGACTGGTGCGGTTGAGAAGAAGGGACAGGCGCCGGCAAGCGGAATGGCTCGGGAGCTGCAGTCTTTGGTCGACAAGCTGACCGAGATGACAGCAAAGTAGGCATGACGTACACTCTGCCTGTCGCTCAAAGCGTAGGCTGATTTTGGTAGTGAGCTCTGTGTGGCTGCTTCTGGTGTGCCACGTACTGTGTGCCGATGCTGGCATGGTGCGTGGTTGCATCGTGGGAGCCCGAGCCCAGTTGTGCCGAATCAGGTACAAGGGCGCGCAGCGCCTGGAGTTTTAGGATGAGGGAGGTGCTAACGGCAACCTCTCGCTCCGTCGTAGCAGACTCTGTTACCCTGACGGTTTGAGTTGAGTTGAGAGTTGTTTGCCCGAAAATAGTCGCGAGATGGGTGCAGTCAGCTGCAAGCCCGGATGGCCCCCCTGCGCCCTCGAATGCCTGGAACGACTGCACTTTGGAGCTTTAAATAACATAAAAGACCACCTCCTGATCCTAATTTTTGATCCCCCTTCACTGCCCTGCGCCCTCGAACGGCGTGGGACAAGGCGGGAGTACCGCTTCGGTCCGGTGCCCAAAGCTGACAAGAGGGTGGCCCAGGTGGCAGCTGTCACACGATGGCCTGCTAAGACTTTTTTATGGTTTAGGGTTTAGGGTTCTTTACACCTCTTTCATGCCTCACGCTCGAGGACTTTCTAGGACTCGATAGGGCTGTGAGGGAAGTCTCCGGGCGGTTGAAGGTATGGGAGGCGGAGGCACCAAGTCAACACTCAAATCAGGGACCCAAAAGGACCCAACTTCCATGTGCGACCTTCGGGGAATTCGGTGCTTCTTTGACTCGGGTGTTTGCTTTTTGCGGCTTGTTGAGTCGGCGTTGTGCTTTTTGAGGTGCATGCCTTTGGGGCTTCAGGATGCCGGATCTACAGTCCGAAGAAAAAAGAGAGAACAAAGAGGAACTCTCTGCCAGGCCTGCTTGACGCATCTGTGTCAGTGTATGGGCCGCAAGCACGAGCCTGCAGCGCAGAAGGTGTGTCTTCGTAATGCCTTCACACTCCCTCAAAGGGCCTGAAATCCTGAGGTGGGCTTTCCTCTCCTTAAACTTCCATCAGCATGCTGCCAGAATGTGTTAAGAAGAGGCCAGGCCTTCCCTTTGCAGCATAGGCCTTTGCCACCGCGGCGAAAGCGCGCACCTGGCAGTAAAGAGGCTGAGAACCGGGGTGGCGCTCCGCGACGCGATGGTTGCGCAAGTCTCCCGCTCCACAGTCGCTGCAGGGTTCGCACTGACATTGCTGGCTGACAGGGCTTGCGGCAGCTATGTCAGGAAAACTCTGTGGCTCAGGGTGGAAGATCGTCCCTCGACCTATAGACCACGTGCCGGGTGCGGGCCCCTTATAGGGCAGGGCTTCCACAGAAGGCGGGGGATGGTTTGGGAGGGTCTTTTTCTATTAGCTCTCCAAAAGCCAGACTCCTGGCCCCTGAGAGTTGCTGGACACCAAGTCCCAAGACAGGCTATAGCAACATAGCAGGCATGTAACTACACCTGCGTGATCCACATTGATTGTGCAAGAAGCGACCTGAGAAAAGTAAGAGTGGTCTGTGGAATACCGAGAGCCTCCCACAGTGCTCCTGCTTGAGAAGCAGGTTGGCTCCACGTTTTGCATGTTTCTTTTCGAGGGTTTGGGGTCGCGGCCGCAAGAGTTTCTTCACGAGGGCGCGCCTTTCCCAGGCCCCCCACCAAGCCCGTCATATTTTCACGCGGCCATGACCGGGCAAATCTTCTTAGCCAGAGTTATTTGCTGTCCTGAGCCCGTCACGAATCCACCGTAACACGCCAAGACAAGCAGGGAGGACACCGCTCAGTCGCCTTAATCAACACTCTTCCTAGCAGCACTCCTGCCATGAACGGGCCTTCACCGAGAGGCCTTCTGCAGTAGCTTCACGTATCCAAGACGCCTCGACACAGCAACTTCGGATTCAGGGCTTGAGCCTAAGGCCTAGCGGCCTAAGTAAAGCACTTTAGACTTTGTCCAGGGCGGTTGAGGGCGAGGCTTTGGAGGGCTTTCAACACCGCGTTGGTTGTCAGGTGAGGAGGTTCTTGTGTTCAGTCATAACGACTCGAGGTTACAGCTTAAACCATTCCTTGTCAATTCATCGACCCATGCAGGAAAGCTTGCAACTGTACTCCTGAAAGCTGAGTCCGGAACTGCTTCGTCAGGCTTACCGCCTCAAGCTGAATCTCGTCAGCTATATGGGCTCAGAACTTGGGGCATGAACAGTGGTGTCTGGCCTAAACTTTGATGTGGCACTAGCATAGCACGGAGCTACGGTGCTCCGTGAAGGCGGGGCCCCTTCGTTGGTGGAGGGACTGAGGGTGGATGCCGGAAATTGCCGGAATTAGGTGAACGGGGCGGGCTCTGTGGTTCTGGCGCCTGTGATGGGAGTAATCCAAACTCCTGCGTGTTAAATCACCAAAACTCTTAAAGCCGTATACGCCCTGAACCCAAGCTTGTGACTGAAACAATCCATGAGCCTGCGCGAAACCACGACAACTTAAAACCACGCATGCCCTGAACCCTCACCCAAGTCCGCTTCGTACACACGCACACACACAAACAAAACCGAACGCCCAAAATGCGAGAAAAGGAAAACATGAAGCGAAGTAGGGCAAGCTGCATAGAAAGAACTCTCAAGTCTCAAGAGCCATTCTCCCAGACCTGAACGTGAAAAGCATCACACGATGACAGCACCCCAGACCCGGCATGGCCTCGGCTTGCCAGGCTGCTTTCAGCCCTAAACCCTAAACCGTGGCTATTCGGGTTTTGGATTTCAGGAGCCGGGTCCCCAGCTCGCGGCTGCACTCTGCGCAGCGGCGCTCAGGTCGGCTCCCAGGACACGGCCGCCGGAGGCACGCAAGAAACTGAGATCCGAAGAGGGCTCACGGGGGTTTAGACATGTTCAAGAAATCTGACCCTGCCACCTAATGCCGCATAAACTTAATGAGGATATGTTAAGGTTGAGAAGCGAACTGTCCAACACTTGCGCAAAGACCTACAAAGCTCGCAACGATCTTCTGTCACCATACGGCCGGCATTGAGATCTTGCCGGCTACACGTGTACCCACAAAAAAAGCCTTATTCTACTTGTGAACCCCAAGTCGCCCAAGTCCCAAGCTCAATGCGCCCAACCCCGAGAAACTCTGTCCCAGCGATTGAACTCCGGAATTCCGAACCTGGCGCCCTCCAGACCGACTCTAGGCGGCACCGAGGCGGGAGCTCGAACCAGTGCAGCGTCATCGCGTGCTGGCCTGCGAGGTGCTTGCAGAGTTTAGCTCAGCTCTCTTCGGCGTCGGCTTGCGCGGCTTCAGGGCGTGTTTGGTATTTTCCTGAAGGATCAGAACACATCGATGGTACAGCGTGTGCACCCCTGCTAGTTCAGCTTCCTAGTCCGAATCCCAACCCCATGCGCCGCCGGCAGTATGAGCATCGCTAACCCAGCTCAAGCCTGCTGGGCATGCGGATGCCCACAGATGCCCACGACGTGATGGTTCTAAGCCCGATTATAAGCCCTATAGGGTTAGACAGCCAGAACCATTGGCACATTTTGAGTCCTTCGATCGTGCGTCTTGCGGCAGGGTGGACATGAAACCACTTCGCATCGAGGTTTCTGCAACGGCGTTCTGATTAGTATCACCCTCTTATAGCGAAGTGACATCCGTGGCCCTCGCCACCATGAGAAGTGAAACCAATGCTTCGTTCACGAGCTCTTCTGACAGCTTCGGTGCAGACGGGAGTTGCGTTAGGCCGTGCATCAGCGTCATCCCTTGTACATGTACTGGGTAACCTACCTTTAAACTTCTTTACATCTTACTTGCTTCTGAGGGTCCCTACAGGCTGACAGGTTGTCGAGGTAAAGGCTGCTATGTAAGCTATTGCGTCCCGTGAAGAGCTGGCCTCCGAGAACTACCTTTTACATCCAGAATGAAAGAAGCTCTGCACATTGTGCGGTGCTCCGCAAGGATTCTCCTTTAGCACACTTGCGTTCTAAGGCAGGTACAGGGGTAGCGTTACATGTCTCACCCTGATATGCTGCGCTGCTCCGAGAAGGGCCCCAGGGCGGGAGTCACGGAGTCACGAAGTCTTCCCGGCCTGTAGCTTTCTGCAGCAGAAAAGCAGCATATACCGGTTTATAGCAGCAGGAAGGTCCTGCAGCAGCGCACCCTTTCAGGTGCAATGTCTGCCCAAGACCAGCACCGTGCCGAATTTGTCAAAAAGGCCCCTCGACGTGTCTGACATTGTCCGGCGACATTGCGTCACTCACAGTGTGAAGTGCGAAGCGCTGCTTTCTCTGTATCTCCTTGCAGCCGATGGCCCTACAACAACCAGAAAACTCTGATCCTCGCTCCCGCTCTTAGTTAAGACCACGTCTGAGTGAGCCTTTCACTGAGGAGATGTAGTGTGGGGCGAGGCTGCGCTGCAAGCGCGCAAAAGAGTGGACCACCGGAGCAGGCTGCAAATGCCACTCCCGGAGCTGCTTCGGACACCACCGACCCTACGGGCCTACGTTTAGCATGCTGGACCTCTATGACTCTATGGTACAAGACACTGTTGCACCATGTTGCACCTTGCTGTTTGTATGCTGTTTCTGATTTGTTTTACCATCTCTTTTGCACGAGGTGACGCAGCACCCGCACACCTCCGTCTCTCTTTTTCTGCGTCACGGGATTCCACGACTGGTTCAGAGGACAAAAGCGGCAAGGCCGGCGTGGTGATCTTTTCCAAGACTTACGAAGGGAAGATCGCTAGTGACTAGCGGCTAGTCCTAGTGACCTGTTACAGCATCATTTGGGATGCTGGGCTGGCAAGGCTCTTTGTCCTACCATGTTGATCTGAAACCTCGACTCTCTCAACTTTGGTGGGCAGAAGCAACTGTTTGATGCGTCAAGCGCAGTACTTGCGCCCTCAACTCAGGGCGGGAGCTCAGCCAGAGCCTTGCCGTTCTTCAGGAGTGATACGCCAGTGCGCTCAGGAAGTGAAGGCTCGCGCGTGTTTTGAAAAAAGCAAACAAACGTACTCGGAACTCACCCTCAAGACCGGTACGGTTCACGGTACCAATTATACCTGTATAGAAGTACTTGCTTAATACGTACCATGAACCTCCAAGTATAGACCGGTGCTGGCAACCTGAGTCTGTTGGCACCAGTGGAGTTCTCCGCAGGCTTCAAAGCGGGGTATGTGCGGGAAGAGTGTGATCGATTCAGACTACTCGCCTGCCCATGTCTTCAAGTCTTCAAATGATCTTGCAGGAGTGCTGTATCCAAGACATTGCATGAGTCCATAGATAATCAGCCTCATTGTTACAAAATGTTCAAGGAACTGTTGTTGCAAAGGACTTAATAAGCCTGTTGGCCTGGACCTATGTCGGCTCAAGCCACCTGCGAGGTCCTTCCTGCCGGGCGCCAGCTGGAGGTGCAATCTCTAGCCTCCGAATTCTGGCAAAGCTCGACGGGATCTTCGGCAGTGCTCATCGGAACCGACAGTCTGACGTTGAAAAGCATTCGTGATGAGTAAACCAGCTGCCATGCTGTTCTAGCCCCCCCGCCCCCCCCCCCCCCCCCCCTTTCCCCCTACCTTCCACTTCCACATGCCACACAGCACATGGGCAGGAGTGCTCTTCGTCTAGGGACCCGCATTACCAGGGCTTACCAGGGCATTAGTTTGCAGTGGTGGTACTTGGAAAAGTGGAACTGCTCACGAGGCTCTCGAACTACACGAAGCTCCTGTCGGCATTTGCCGCTTCCTACAGAAATCGCGCTGAATTCCACCCTACTTTCTTACAAACATCTTTTTCCGACTGGCAGCAAGATACTACTGAACAGCCACTCGGGGGCCATGTTTTGCAAACAACAGTAACATACAGCAACTTCATTTTAATATAGAGGCTCCAACACATGGTCGCAACAGGGCCCCTTGGTGACGGCTGGGAGTATGAAGCAACAGGAAGCCTGTGCCCAACTGGAGCAAAAACAGGGAGTAAGAATAAGAGCAGCAGTAGCAGTAGATGTACTCGAAGCAGTAGCAACAGTAGCAACAGTAGCAGCAAAAGTCGGAGTAGTAGGAGTATAGCAGGAGTAGTAGTACAAGTAGGATGTACTTCGCCCTTGACTGATCACGGTCTCTTGTGCTCTTTTCCAGTATTTTGCTGTGCTGCGTGGGTGGCAGGCTGGGGTGGGGATGGAGGGTAGATTAACGAAGAAACATTGCTTGTGCCCAAACATGCAAATCTAAGCCACCAGACCTAATGGGAACAACTGCGCCACAAAAATGGAACTTGAGGCGTTCCTGGTGCTCCAACATTTCTGTTCGACCAAGGTACATTACAAAGGTAGAGGGTTGCTTTTATTTGTTTACCTTTATTTGTTTTTGTTTGGGGAGTGGGCGGGTATGTTTTTTTTTTTTTTTGGGTGGGGGGGGGGGGGGGGGGTGTGGGGGTAGGTTTTGCTTTTTTTAGGGGGAGGGAGGGGGGTAGCAGGTTTCCTTGGGTTTTCCTAAGAGAAACCGGAATATTTCCTCCTAGGAGAACCTGCGTTTCCTCCATACTTGCAGAGAAATCCTCTAGTTTCTCTCTGAGCAGGAGATCCAGAAGTTCCGCTAGATGTTAATCAACAGTTTCCCATATGATGTGCTCATACCAAAACCTGTCTTTCCCGCATGCTCTGTTTAGCTGTAATTGCATGTTCGGGCGCATCGATTTTTGCTGGGGAGGGGCGGGCCCACTTGCTTGCCGGCCCTGCCTGCGCGGCCCTCCTTCCCAGGCTTTATTTTGTTGCTCTGGAAGGCGGGCGCACCATGTTTCTGTGTTGCGGAGGATGGGCTCGTTTTTCCGGGGCGCCTGGACAAAAACAGACCATGGCAAAAATCTTGGAACATAAACTGAAACCCCGCCTGCCTGGCTGGGTGGTTGACGACTGTCGTACGAACAAAATGAAAATCAGTGCGCGCATGCGAGCAACGAAGAAAAGCGGCTCATTATGCACTAGACGGGGTTTTGTCTCGGAGTCATTCGACAAACGCACCCACTAGACACGTCCTTTGAAACGAGCACTGCCAGAGGCGACGACTCACAGCTACTGATGCAAGGATGCGCACAGACCTCTTGGGGGCAGACGGGCAGACGGCGGATAGACAAAAATCCTGCAGGACCTGGGAAACCACCCGGCGCAAATGGGTCAAGTTTGTTCGCTGAAGCACGCGGACGCTCCTGCACAACATTGTCTCTTTTCTAGAGATGGCACGCTCGTCGGAGGTAGGCACCTGGATGCTCGCGGATGCTGCATGGAAACGGAGGTACCTCCTGGAACCATGGCAGTCGTGGTCTCTCAAACATTTAAAAAGGCCCGTGGTCCGACGCGAGCCCTAGCTTTAACTTTTATGGGCGGGGGTGCCACGAGCTGCCGACTCGGTTGGGAAGCCAGGATCCGGGACCAAACAAGCCCTCCCAAAAAGGGCCTCTTTGCTGGTGAAATTGTATTAAGGTGTTTAAGTTTTTCATGCTAGACTCAGGCTAGTTTGGCTCTTGCCTGAGGTCCTTTGAGCGACCCCCGGCGCGCATCATTTTTCCCATTTTTTTTTGAAAACGAGTCAGTTTAGATTCCGATTTCCTCGGGGGGCACCGACCCGCATCATGAGCATCGGTGGCTCGGGCCTGGGGGCTTCGGAAGCGGCCGGAGCCTCCGAATACCGGGTGCTCCCCGTGTTCAAGCCGCTACGAGCCCCGGCGATCACGGCCTTGGGGCCGGAGCCGCTGATGCTGGGGATCCCAGGGAGCGAGCCAAGTGCGATGATGCTGCGCATCTCCGGGACCAGGCGCCAAAACGCATGAGGGGTATAAGCTCTTTGCGGTGTCGTTTTACCGCGCTTTTTCACTCTGTACTTGCATTGGCAGTTGTAGTGGTGGTCGTCATAGTGGCACTAGTCACATACGAACCTCGTCGTAAGAGTGTAGCAGGCATGTCGCGCGGAGCCTGTAGAGAGTAGCAAGAAAAGAAAACGACTCGCTGTTGACATCCAAAGATGCCATGCCGTAAGCACTGAAGCTCCTGAAGATGGTTGGGCCCAGGCTCTCCAATATAAGCCTCACAGCCTAACGTGAGCCTAACTCCCCTTCGCAAGAGCCTGGAGCACCCAAGGCGCATCTGCAAAAATAATCGCGTGGCTGACCGCTTGCAAGTCCTGCGTGGTTGCAAGAGGCATTTCTGCTACACTGCTACAGAGCGGAGGAACGTGGAAACGTATAACTGCGGGTTGGCGCAAAGATGTAGGCCTAGCATATTCTGGCCAAACCTGCTCCATCTGCTCGGTTTCACTACCAACAAGTAGTTGAGTCTTAAGCTGACACTTTGCTGCCCACTGCCTGTCATTGCCATGCGACCATACCAAGCGGAGGCCGAACATTTCGGTAGAAACTCTCCTTGGCCGGTAGGGTTTGGGTTTAGGGTTTAGGGTTTTGGAAAAAATCCGAAGGACTGCTGAAGGAAGGGCTTTCGCGTTCAAGAAATGCAGCCCTCACTTGCGAGCTAAACCTTCACAAATCCAAGCTCTGGTCCAAAATCGCATTCTCGCCGCGGTGGCCCGAACGAACTTTCCTGCCTTTCGGGGGCCTTTCGGGGGCGGCTTCCCATGCGCCTCTGAATGCTCGTCTTGGCGTTTGGCGGGGTGGTGTCTCTTTGGCTGGGAGGTCAGTTAAAGGCCTGTGCCTCCACTTTTTTGTTTCTCAACAAAGGCAAAAACTCGTGGAGACGTTTTGAAACATGCAGACCATATGCCTAACACTCTACCACTATGGCGTCACTACGGTCTCTGTGTAGGCTTGATGCCGCATGATGCCGCTAGTATCGCTTCTGGCACAGACGACTTTTGCATACTGGGCTACAAGGTCTTGATTCCTTACTTCTTCAGCTCGGCGCAAGTTCGGCAATCGATTCCTCATGGTTTTGCCGTAACTTCTGTTGTATGGTGTGCTGGGGATGGAGTGGCTTGCAAAGAGCCGTATTGATATGGGTGAGGATGCAGGGACAGTACACTCCTTGTATGGTGAAAGCATACGGGCGAGTGTGAGCTAGCCATTGCAGTGCCTACTCGTAGTTATTGCCCAGTGCAAATAGTAAGTTAAAGATCACAGTACGTGGGGAGCATCGGGGCTTATCAGGGCTAGCATAGGATCCAGCATTCACTACAAACAGGATGAGGATAGACAAGCGGCGAAACCGCCGACTCCATCAGCCTCGAAGAATTTTCTGTAGAAGAGGGCGAACTCCTCCTGGGATAACTGTTGTGGTACGAAGTGGCTGAAAGGTTTGTGTTGCGACGCGGGCTGATGTGCAATTCCCTGAAGGAGCTGGGTGTGATGCTTGCGATGTGCCACTTCCAGTGCTAGAAGAATCATATGGGCTCGGGAGATGACTTGGCCTAGCATGTCGTGCGCATAGGGAAACATGCCCTATCTTGACGATGCCAAGTCAGGTTCCGTGAAGAACATGATCTGGTAGAACTTGCTTGACCTGGCTTGTTGAGCCAAGAGGCGAAGTCTATGGAGCCACTCTGGTCAGAATCCTTGTCGCGACTTGTGTGTCAAGCTTGCAAGGCAAGTTGCTGAGGCATACTGGGTCTTGACATCCTAAATGTGAACCCTGCCAAATTTCTGAGCTTCGTATGCCCTTTACGTGAGATGTAGCTGGATGTGGTGAAGATTGGTGGAGCAGGAACGGAATGGAAAGGACATGAACGAGGTCCATTCATTGCAGAGGCGCAGCTTGAGTCCAAAGCTGCTTCATGCGCGTGGCTGGAATCTCAAGGTGCCGCGGCACACGCGCGCATCTCCTGTGCGTTGCAGCCACGGGAAGGGTGCAGTCCCAATGCTTGCGATGCACAAAACTGTGGCAGCATGGATGGCGCGGAGAGCCACCGACATCTGAAAGAGCTCCGAGTCTAGTATGCCTTAAAACGGCCGGTGGCCGCTTTATCATTTATCTGTTACCCTTATACCTTCACAAAAGCCCCGAGAAACCCCAATAAGAACCCCCTACAAGACAGAAGCCCTACTTAAAGAGACCACCGGACTATGTAAAGTATGCCTGCTATATCCCCCAAGAGGTCCTGATCAAAGCCTCGAACTCTTCCTGGTCGATCTCGCCACTCTCGTCCATATCGTACTCTGCCTGCAGCTTCAGACGTACCGCATCTGAGGCAAGCGCGATACAGTGTCAGTCTACCAGGATTAGGGTTCAGGGTTTATAGGGTTTAGGGCTTAAGTCTAACCTCTAGCAACCTTGAAGCCCTGACCTCCAAAACTTTCGCTGCGCCCAAGGCCTTTCATGAGCGGGTACGCTGGCCCGAAGTTTCAAAGGGTCTCGCGGCTGACATGATCCGAAGCCCCCAACTACGTCCCTCAGCACTACTAGTCATCGCGATAAGCGCAAGATGCTGGCAACCTGCAGCAAGGCAATCTTCTGTGCCGACAGGGTGCGAAGTACTTTTTATACCTGTCCATGTCGACAAGACCTCAATCTCACATGTCACGCGACATCTGAGTTCCCTGCGCATGACTGCCTGGAGTCGATCATCGATGCCGCCAAGGCTCTAAGCTCGTTTTCGGAGCAGAACTCGCGAAACGCGCGCTCTTTGGCTGATAAGGTGACGTTGGTGTTGAATCCTACCTCAGATTGGGGTGCGCTAGGCACGTCCTCAGAAGGCTCTTGCGAACACACCGCACCACTAAAGCTGCCTAAAGATGCAGCTTCCGCTTCACTCATTTTCCGCCCCACGTTAAGCCCCGGACCGTAGAAAACCAGGTCACAAACTCCGGAAACGAGATGGAGCCATTCCTAGGTGCTCTGCGAACGGGTTTCAGGGGTTTCCTGTTCGGATTTGCTAAGCTCAAAAGTGCTCCCCAGCCGTGCTCTGCCTTGGCTGTCTAGTGCACCTCTGAACTTCGAGCGAGCTTCGTTTTCGATGTTGAACCTAGCTGCTAGGACCCTGCTGGGGCTCGTTTCTCATGTATGTCACCGCCGCTCCCTTTTGCTGCAGTCTGCAAGGTTGGGAATTTCAGTGGTTTAGGAATATAGTGAGTTTACAGTGACTCGTTGGTTCAGGACTCGGTCCTGAAGGGCATGTGATGCTTGTGGCCCTAAACCCTAAACCCTAAACCCTAAACCCTAAGCCCTAAGCCCTAAACCTAAAGACTTGAACCTAAAGACTTGTGGCTGCCGAAAACATTTGCAGGGCAGTCCAGCTTAGAGTCGGCTGAGCAGGATGAGACGATGCGCTTCGTCACTTTCAGGCTTTAGGGGGTTCGGGTTTAGGGTTTAGGGTTTAGGGTTTAAAGGGTTAGGGTTTAGGGTCTAGGGTTTAGGGTTTAGGGTTTTGTTCATGTGGGTGGCTGTCAAACTTATGATCCTTTTTGGGGTACCCTAAATATTTGGTGCCGTGTTATATTAGGGATCTCAAAGAAGACCGGTACCCCAAAAGGGATTATCATTTTGGCAGTCACCCGTATGGGTAGTTCTCTAAATTAGGGTCATTTTTTGGCATCCCTCTTTAAGGGGTGACGCCTCATAATGGGTCCCCAAAAGGGGACCCTAACTTAGGAAACTATACCCATATTCACCCAGAAAATAAGTTAAACGAAATCATACACCACAGCAACTGAACTTGGGGATCGCCCTGCAGACAGTCTACTTCTCAAGAAGCCAAAACCCTAAACCCTGGAGTTGCTTGTGGCCGTAAGTTCGCCCGGAGTCTTATCTTTGTCAGCGACTGCGAACGCATGGCGCAACAGATTCTGTGGCAGCTCGTCCAGGGAATCCATACCAGTGCAGTGCAATAGGCCTCAGGGCATTGTGAGGTTGAAGATATCAATTGAAAACATCAATTCTTGACCTTTGCTGATTAAGGGTTGATGATGGTGTAGGGGCTATTGGAAATATGCCGCGTCCTGCACAGATAGCTGGACTACCTGCTGTCAAGCGGCACTTGCCAAACCTGGCAGAGACGAGGCCAAACCCCATGCAGCCAGTTCATGTTCCCTAAGCCCCCTAAACTTTTACATCCTCACCGGGGGTCGGAATCCTGCAAACCTGACACGGAAGCTTCAAAATGCCAAACCTGACACACCTTGGAAGCTTCAAAATGCTTTAACCCCAAAATCTCACGGAGGGAATTCTCAGAGCCGAAAGAAAGGAATAAGTCGATCAACGCAAACCTGCTGTGTTCCCTGAGATCAAACAGGGTTTTGGGGAGTGTATTGGGAGTAAGAAGCAGTTTTCTGAGGTAAAGGCACAGGGGGGGTGAGGTCTTTTGAGGTTTTGAGATGCTTTGAGCATATGGGGGTTTCCGAAAATACCGGTACTTTTTTTCTTTGGGGGGGGGGGGGGGGTGTCCGTCATTCGATTCTACTTGGGTATGAAACAATGGGTACACCCTAAATGGGGAAATACCCTAAACCCTAAACCCTAAACCCTAAACCCTAAACCCTAAACCCTAAACCCAAAACCCAAACCCTAAACCCTAAACCCTAATGAACCCCAGGAGCTGGTCGATGTTCAAGTTTCTCTCGAGGCCGGCGACTTGCTCCAGGAACCTCCGGGGCATCGGATCGGGGGGATTTCCGAGAACAGGGGTACATTTTTGGGGGTTCTTTAAGGAGTATATATATATATATACATATATACTATTTTGGGGTGTATTGAGGGTACCCTTTTGGGGGCTCCTTTACTAAGGAGTACCTTTAATAAGGAGCACTAGCATACTGTTTTGGGGTATACTAAGGGTACCCCCCCCCCCCCCCCAATTTTTGGAAATACCCAGATTGAACGAGCATGAAGGCCCCATTTCATCGGGCTTTGTAGGGTTGGTGAAGCTTTTTGGGTCCATGGGCTGTTGGGGGGAAGTGCTCATGAACAGTCAGAAGCCGGTGTATGGGAGATCCCCCTCAAAGACAACGATCCGTTTTGAGGCTAGCAGATGGCTACGCCCCAGCCAGGAGCCCTGAGCTCAACCCGGACCGAGAGTGTGACGAGTACTCAGAGCCCTCTTCAGTCAAATTTCACAGTAGACAGGCTGCCGATACCCTGTGCGAAGCTCAAGAAGCACCAAGAAGCCCTCAAGAGGAGAACAGGAGCTTCTCCAAGCCCGCAAACCCTACGGCCCGACTAGGCTGGACTCCCGGACTTTGACATGCTGCATCTAAGGCCCCCGCAAGTCAGCAGCTTGTAAGCCTAGGGTTTAGGGTTTAGGGTTCAGGGTTTACAGGTACGCGCAGCATGTGATTTGATTTGTCGTGGGCCCTTGCAAGCAGTGTCCCGAATCGTCGATCCACAATAGTGCATGGCTCCCCGTAAGTAATCTAGGCAGAAAGGCAAAGGAACACAGCCTGCCTGCAGTATGCCTGAGGCACGCACAAGTGTCCAAGGGCACGTGGTTTGCTCGCGCAATCCATGCCTGACGTGATGCAACTCAGATCCGCTACCTTGCACGACTGTGAACTGCTTCCCGGTGCGTGTGCTCCAAAGATTGCTCCAAGAACCGGGCCATCTTCGCGGACTCCCTGGGAGGAGGCTGATGGTGGCCTCAAGTGCCGGTTGTACGCAGCCCTGTTTAGTCCCCAGAGCTGGGCAGTCCCGCCCCGGCTTCCCAGATTCCAAGATCCAGTGCTTTCGAGGATGCCAGACCCACAGAATTCGAAAGTCCGTTCGCTGTTGAGTTTGCAACTATTCCTCCTACCCGGTCCTACCCTGCAGGTGGACATGAAACAAACATGACACGACATTTCGACGAAAGCATATACCTGACAAAGCTACAGCAAAGACACGATACGTAGCTTGACAAGTTGCAAGGTGTGGGTTTGTCAGCACCTTGTTAAACCGAGGACTGGCGGCCATCCCAAATCCAAGACACTGCCCCACACCCCACACCCTCCCCGATAGGTATCTGACCTGAGTTGTCCGTGGTCTGTGGCCGCGGTGGAATGTCGATGTCCTCAGCCGAAGACTTTCCCAGCACACGGCTCCGATAGCGACCCACGATTTTCCCCCTTCAAAAGCCCCCAAGAGTCAAACTCAAACAACACCTTTTAGGTAATCACGTCACACGGATAAAAGCGCTGCGGAGCTCCAAATCCCACCTCGCCCCAAGTACCAAAGCCTCGGAGTCTACATCCCTGCACACTCATAGGACCAAAAAGGCAACGCCCAGTGCAAAGACTTTCCAGTGCAAAGATTTACCAAAAGCCTGCCCCCCGCCCCGAACCTCCGGATCCGCATCGACATGGGGGTTTACGAACATAAGGGACACCCTAGTAGTACTAGAGTCCCCAAATAGTAGGACTCCCCAAATTCCGAAGGCCTCTCGCCTGCACAAGCTTGAACCGGTGGGAGCCCTGTCCTCTGTGGCTTCCGTCGCTTCTGCGCCAGGCACCTTCGGTCACAAGAGTGAGAGGTTTAGGATGGTTTAAGGATGGTTTACGGATGGTTTGAGGATGGTTTGAGGATGGCTTAAGGATAGTTTAAGGATGCTTTCAGCCGATTTCAGGAAGCCTCTGCACAACAGAGGAGGGTGCAACACTGAGTGCAACTGACATCAACTGACCCTCGACCGTACGACAGCCGCTCCAACCGCTCCTCGGACTGTCGAGGCCAGGTGCATAAACTCAGTCTACTCAGTCTACTCTTCCGAGCCCTCTATTCTCCGAGTCTCTTCTCTCTCCAAATTGGGAGCTCCTTTAAAAGTGGACACTCAATCCAGTCACCACTCTCCAAAGTTTCGAGCCCCCCAAACACACGTGCGCCGGAACATCTGGAGGCGCCCAAAGGCGTGGAATTCAAAGATCACTGCTTGCAATGTCCCAAAATGAGACTGGCTCAGAGGGCTCTTGGCCTCACCCCCAAACACTACCTCAAACCCTAAACCCTAAACTCCGAAGCTCGTCAAGCCTCAGTCGTCGAAGCCCGCTATCCATAGCTATCCCATCTCGTGCCTCTGGCAGCGTCACTGACTTCAGCCGCCTGGGCACAGCCACCGGGCTCCCAAAGCTTTGCTTGCACGCTTTTTGAAAACCCTAAACCCTAAACCCCAAACCCTAAACCCTAAACCCTGTTAGGGATTCTGGCAGCTAGCAGCTAGGTTTTGTGAAGTCCTTGCGCCTCCTAATCCTGTGCAGTCAAGCAGCTGCTTCGATCGGACGCGTCCTAAAGGTGGTCATGCAAAAAGAATTTAAACGTAAACAACCCTTTTAGGGTTTAGGGTTTTTAACGTTTAAGACCCTTTTAGGGTTTAGGGTTTAGGGATTTTTTACGTCAAAAAAGTCCTACCTGAGAACAGCACTCAGAATTATGCTTACCATGACACCTTGTCGCGACCTGTTGTCTCGAATTAATCGTCAAAGCAGATGTGCGGCAGCTGCCCTCATCCCCACATGGTCCTGGTGCGGTATTTGCGCGTGCTGGTTGCCGTGAGAGTCCCCGCTGGCTGTGGTCGGGGAGAGAGCCTCTGATGCCATGCAACAAGGAAGTCCATGTGCGGATGCCAAGGAGCAATCTTCCATGTAGTTTTCTGATAGACCTACAGCTCCAGAAGCCCCATTCTGCAGGATGGCGTAACTCCTGCTACGGAGCTGAACACGCTTTCTTTGACAATTCTGCGCTGCATTCGCAGAGGCGGTGGAGAGTAAAGCTCAGGGATCTCGGACATTCGGAGTTTCACCCTCCGGCCCAGGACCCGGACTACCGACCACAGACTCTGAAAGGTGAAGGCTGTCAGAGCTTCGCACCTACCAGGCTAGCACTTGAACACCCAAAGTGCATCAACTTTTCAGTGTCAATGAGCTTCAAGTTAGGGCGTTCCTGCCAAGGCCGAGACTGCGTTGAGAATCCATGAGAAGCAGTGTCTGGCTAAAGACGAAAAACAGCCCCTCAACATCCAAATCAAAAAAAACAAGGTGACATGTCTCCCACTCCTCCCTGCAGCTGCACTTCATCCGTCACCCTACACCGGTAAAGCCCTGCTCTCAGACATTCGGTCAAAGCACTGAGGGGACCGTGGTCCACCTGGCACGAGACCCAGAAGCGCCGCATAGGCTTCGTGCCACAGTGTAGGCCCTGACGTTTGCAATGATGCGGGAGATCTGGAAGGCGCTCTTTGAGGGGTTCGTGAGTGTTTGCTTGGGACGGCCGGCCAAGCTATTCGGAAAGCTCAGTTCAACGGTCCCTTAGATCTTTTCCTCAACAAGCAACGAGGCACGTGGATTGACAGGGTGGGCCGAGGAATCAAATAACCATAAAGCAGGTACCCAGAAGTCCGCATGCAGGTGTTTTTTGCGAATGCGGCACTATGCCCACCAACTTGCTCGCAGGGCTACGCCTGTTCGCTATATCGGTCGGTTACGTGCTATCGGACGTTCTGCACTTCAAATGATGATGTTCATGACAAATATGTGTTACCTGGTCTTCATTGGCCAGGACATGCTATCACAGGTTCCCGGTCCGCTGCCGACAGACTAGCTCCTTGTTCTCGGCGAACCGGAGTTGGGACACACGCTCTCCCTGAAATAAGCTTTAAAGTAGAAGTTACGACGTCAGAATCTGAACATGGGTCCAGCAAGGAGCCATCAGTCCGAGACACACAAACACACAGAGACACACAGAGACAGGCACACACACACACACACACACACACACACACACACACACACACACACACACACACACACACACACACACACACACACACACACACACACACACACACACACACACACACACACACACACACACACACACAAACACCCACACACACACACACACACACACACACACACACACACACACACACCACACACACACACACACACACACACACACACACACACCACACACACCACACACACACACACACACCACACACACACACACACACACACACACACACACACACACACACCACACACACACACACACACACACACACACACACACACACCACACACCACACACCACACACACACACCCACACACACACACACACACACACACACACACACACCACACACACGCAAAACTGCCCTCCCTCCCTCCCTCCCTCCCTCCCTCCCTCCCTCCCTCACGCACACACATGCGCGCACGCACCGGCTTACTGCTGTATCGCCCTTCTGACCGTGCCATGCCACTGGCAGTGACTGTGAATTCTTCAGATTTCGCGATCTTCCGCCACGAGAGACAGCTCTCCTGCCAGGGCCAGTGATGCACAAGCAACACATATGTGAACAACAGCATAAACAAAGGTATGTCTATGTATATATAAATATACAATATATATATATATACATATATGTATATATGGAATATGTTGTATGTTCCGTGCGGTATGTTATCCATGATATGGCATATGGTATGTTTCCTTTTGCAGTGCCTGTGGGCTAGACGCAGCTAACTGGGTTTAGGGTTTATAGGGTTTATAGGGTTTATAGGGTTTACAGGGTTTATAGGGTTTATAGAGTTTATAGGGTTTATAGGGTTTATAGGGTTTAGGGATGACCGAGTAATCGAACCAAGGCCACAGTGGGCTCAAGTGGCAGCGTGTCTTCAAAGCTATTGGCAGCATCAACAATGCCAGCATCTTCCAACGCCCTGTGAAGATTCACAAAGTTGAGAACAACACTTGAGATTCAAAACACAAGGCTTAGAAAATCAGCTCTGCTCTTAGGGAGGGCTTCGGCGGCTAGAGCGCTAATCTGATTCGCCTCGGCTTCGAGAAGCGTCTGGAACAAGCAGACCCCCTTCCCTTCATGCAAAATTTTCTGACGCCCCTGTGGGACCCCCCCCCAATCGCTTGGAGGAGCTGCAAACCCAGGCCGTGGAGGGTCCCGCTCCCCACCCCCCCCCACCCCCCCCCCCCACCCCACCCCCCCACCCCACCACCCCAACCCCCCCCACCCCCCCCCCCACCCCCCCCCCCCCCCCCCCCACCCCCCCCACCCCCCCCCCCACCCCCCCCCCACACCCCCCCCCCCCCCCCACCCCCCCCCACCCCCCCCCCCCACCCCCCCACCCCCCCCACCCCCCCCCCCCCAACCCCCCCCACCCCACCCCCACCCCCCCCCACCCCCCCCACCCCCCCCCCCCACCCCCCACCCCCCCCCACCACCCCCCCCCCACCCCCCCCCCCCCCTTTCACTTTGCGAAACCCTCTTTCCTCCTTTCCTGTCCTGGGGCCGGCCCGGCTGCCGCGCGCAAGCGTTTACAATTGAAGCGCAAATGTGCTGAACCCTCTCCTTTCGTACCTTACATGCGCAGAGGATTCTCAGACACATTGAGACATCTCGTGCAACCCATGCTGAATGGAGCAACTGGCCTGTGAGACGGTGACATGAGCTGTGAGTGAAGACTTGCACTTGTATGCCAAACTGCAGTTCTTGGTCAAGGCACTTCAGCCAAAAAACCGAGATCACTGATGCAGTGAAGCGGCGGATCTTTCATGTCTTTCGCCTGTATCGGAAAGGGGTCCCCCCCATGCTCTAGTGCTTTACCAACTGAATCACTTTGTAGTGAGATCCGGGAGATGTGGCTCTGAGAAAAGAGTCGAACTTATAGGACAATCCTACGACTCAGCCACTTTCAACATCTGGTCTCAGTCAAGCAGCGAAATCGCGAATCTGATCTCTACGGCTCATGTCGCCCATCAGCTGGTGATGGATCCGACCTCAGGACTTGCGTGATGAGCACCTACTCAAGAGCCTAGAAGCCCATCTCTGGCTCGAGCTGCAGAGATTCTCTGGCTACCGGAAACTCCAGGTCTCAACTGCACAGTGCAGCATGTACGGAAGGTCCAACCTCACAGGGTGTTCACATTAAGCATCTCTACTCTATACGGTGTGTTGGGGCCAGCTGTGGCCTTCCTTGTACCAAGACAATGCAGCGATGGGCCGAAACAGTCCAGCTTCGCGGGCATTCCCTCTGGTGGCTCCTGCCGGAGCATTTCTGGCGAAAGATCTGCGGGAGCCAAAGTTGAAAGAAGAAAAGAGGCGGGGGGGACTTACACAGAGAGTTCAGAGAGTTCAGGGTGCAAAAGCTGGGATTGAAGGATCTCGGGTCAAGGACGTCGAGCCAAGAGATCAACCTCAAGCCCTGTGACATGTTCGGGGCCTCTCCGGCTGATGCCGACGTTGGTGAGGAGCACTTCTTGAGGCATGCAGCGGCGGCACCGCGAAGTCGCAAGCAACCAACCATACACGAACACTGCAGGCACTATCTGCCTCGGATCCCTGTCGAGTGCCAATGAACCTAAGAAATAGAATGTTGCTTTACAGCAAAGGGGGTCGAAGAATGTCAAACAGTACTCTCAGCTTCCAGAATGCCCTAGAAAACAGTTGACTACAGGAAGCCACGGTGGTAGGGGTCGACGAGCTAATTATTGCTAATTTCTCAAGGGTGGGGCTTTGTAAGAAAGAACATGCAGAGAGAGTTTTGGCATGCAGAAGGACATGCTTAGGCGGCCCCCACTGCTTGCCCTCCCAGGGTAGTCCAGCCCTGGAACCCCCGGAAACCTCTAAAAACGGACAGGGGTCTGAATTCCTCCTCACCTTCATTGGAGAAGATCGCTGCAAAAGCCCCTTCTCCATACGAGGCCCATGAGCCCTCAGCCCCAAAGGGCTTTAGTCAACGGCCTATGGTGTGCAGGGCTTCTTAACGGTTACAAACAAAGGCTTAAAAGGAGGAGCCAGAGGGTGCACCCGCACGAGTGCAGCAGCGAAGCACGGCGCTGATGGTGCGCGTGTCCGTGTCCGCTCCCGCGCTGAGCAGCCTCGCAAGGGGCGAGATCTTCACAGGCCAATGCTTGATTAACATGGAACTCTTTAAGGTGACTGCAGGAGCCTCGCTGCAAAGCTAGAAGAAGAAAAACTCTCGAGCAATTCGTGCTCTGGTCTGAGCAGGTGTGCTCAACTCTGTTGGCAGAGAGCCGGGGCCTGAATGCTAGAGAGCAGTACGCGTGTCATGGGCAATGTAACCTGACGAAAGATCCACAGTGGACTACAAACCACTAGCGGGCCCCCGAGACCTCGCGAACCTCCAAAAAACCTTTTTCGGGTGATAAAGGGGGTCTTTAGGACTTTGATGCAGGGAGTGTGGGGGCTGTGGGGGCTTCACGGATCTGTGTGGGGCTTGATGACATGTAATGAAACGGAAACTATTGTAAGTAATGGATTCATAAGATGTTCTGAGCTGTCTGTATGGTTCTGGCAAAAGTTGCATGCATGCAGCTTGTCCCGCAGTCAGAATCAAAAGGTGTCAAAAGCCGACCAAGTTTCTGAAGAGTCCTACCTGCCCTGCTTTTCGCGCCAGCCTGTTCAGCATGTCGCTGGCGCCTGTTGCGTTGTCTTGGGACACCTTCCAGGTCAAGGCACCGTTGGGACTTGGTTGTTAGGCAAACCTGAAGACAAAACGTTGCAGCAGCTGGAACCACTATAGCCCGCTTTGGTCTTTCGACCATGCCCTCCAACTAAACCCTGCCACTTTACCATGAAGTCCATCTTTCTACGAGTTGCAGGACTTTGGGATGCCTCCGGGTAAAGCCAAGTGCTCAAAGCCCTACACTCGGAGTCCGCACATATGCATCGACCAAAGCAGAATGGGCCACTGCATTTGGAGGCACCTGAGCAGATGTTCTTAGGTGAGAGGCGCTGTTCAGAGCGTGGGATGCAGAGGCGCTGAGGCTTTGTGCTAACAGGGTCGGAAACCCTTTGTCAGCCTATCAGAACCTATCAGGCCTGCTTCGACTTTCGGCTTTGGTACTTCCAGGAACTTTGCACGGGCTACAAGCTGCTGCTCTGAGATGCTGAACGCTTAAGTTGTGGAGGTGCTCAGCCAAGCTTCGACCTATCCACTTCGGGCTTAGCCAAGGCTTGCTGCTTTCTGAGCACGGTTCAAGCTTTTGTTGTTGCAGCAGGGTGCTTGTGGCGTGCCCAGTTCTGAAAGAAAAACATGGCTCCAACCCGAACCCAAAAACCTGTCAATTGTCGTCGCTTATCAAGGCCGTGGCAGAATCCTCGATCATGTTCCTGGGCAAGCACCATGTAGGCGCTGCAGTTGCTACATGGAGATGCGTGCTCACGGCGTCCCGTTTCCGGCAGATGGAGATGAGCAGCTCTATACACCCCCTAGCAGTGCGCGGTGCGTCCGCGGATGTCTGTGGCATGCATCGAACTCAAGCGCAAAATCGCACATAATTTGTTGGTAATAGGTCTTCGCCTTTCTTGTGGGGAAGCTTGACAAACTCGCAAAAAGATTGCACACCTCTGCATTAGGCTAGCTGGTTCGTGTTTTTATCGTTGCTGCATCAGCAGCATTCAGCATCGAAGCTGAACTCGCCTGTTTAGCCTGTACCAAACGCATCCAAACGCCCTATTTACAACTTAATCCTTCGAGAACCTTTTTCGGTTAGGGTCGAGGGGGGGGGGGGGGGGGGGGGGGGGGGGTGGTGTGGTGGTGGTGGGGGGGGGTGGCGCGGTCGGGGGGGCATGATGGTAATGTTGCCATAGAGATCCATGGAGCATGGCTGCCCCAATTGATTCTACGTTTGTGCGTAATGTGGCTTCTTAGAGGATAACGTTTGCGTAGTGTTTTTTTGGGATTCAGGCTGGAAGCGATGATGGAAAGAATAGGTTGGTTTTCAATCCGGTGGGCCGCACTAAAGACTTGACGAAAATTCGGGGTTGCGTCTCCGAAGCATAGAGTGGAGATGAGCCAGCTTCGCAAGCGCAAATTCCCAAAACATCGAGATCAAAGTGCGGGAAACATGTCAAACATTCGCAGAAGAGGTTTTGACGGGGGTTTGGAGGGGGGATGGTGGGGGGATGTGGTGGGGGATGTGGTGTGGGGCGGGGATGTGGCTGGGGCGATGTGGTGGGGGGATGTAGTGGGCAGATGGCTGGGGTGGGTGGGGGGCGGGGCCCTCGTTCTGAGACAAGCGAAAAAGCGTCAGAGCATAAACGCTGCACCACGAAGCCACTCCAACACACACGCGCACACACGAAGAGACCTCGTGATCATGTTGCTGTTTTCAGAGCGCCTGACTTTGGAATACGGTTTTGGCTAAATGGAACAGGTCCCGACTTTCTGAAACACTATATATTGCAGGTACACAGATTGGCGCCCCAATCTGCTTCGCGGAGTATCCAGAGTCATCAGCAGAACTGTGGACTCCCTGCTGCCCCCTGCATGAAATGAGCTCAAGCACTCAACGGCAACCAAGTCCTCCAAAAACCCTTAGCTTTGAATCAGGGCTTCCGCGCACACACCCTCCGAAGCGGGAAAGTCCTGCTTTTGCACCCTTTCACCGGTGTCCCAGAAGCCATGAAAGGCCCAGGAGTGTCCGAAAGACCCCAACTCCACCGCCATGTCGTTGTCGTGGAAGACCGAGCTGCCACAACGGGCCCAGGAGCAGCCCAGGAGGCCCCCGCTGTCCACAGCGACCCAGAGCACCTCCACTAAACCGAAGCCGAGCGGCGATCACATTACCACGAGCTGACAGTTCCTTAGCTTGTGTCGTCGCAGTCGTTGTCAGGGACCTCCAGCTCTCATGAAAGGCCCAGGAGCGTCCCGGGAAACCCCAGCTGCCACAGTCGTGGACCCCCCCCAGCTGCCACAACGGGCATCCGAGAGACCACAGCTGTCTACAGCGACGCAGTGCACCTCCACTTTATTTTGAGCCGAGCAGCCTCCACACCCCCGACAGCACTTTTTGGCAACCTGGCCACTGGTAGGCCGGCGGGGGCCACCTCACCCCCGAGCCACAAACGACCTCTGACATTCCGCAGAAATGGGTCTTATCCGTTCCGTTTTGGCACTGAGGCCTTCTTGGCCATCACCTGAAAGGAAAAGACACGGCCTGGAATGTGGTTGTCCGGAAGCTGTAAGGCTCTCATTCCGCGGATGAGCCGGACCGGTTACATATTAGTCCAATCCAGGACCAGGCAGTCCAAAATAAGGTCCTGCCTAATGGCAACGGTTCCAGGGAAGGGCGAAACCCTCCCGGAAAACTGGCCGCACACGGAGTACTTGTGGTATCCCACTGTCCAGTTTTCCTTGACGACCATGGAACTGGGGAAGTCGAGCGTTCGGTAGCCTTAGAAACCTGTCAGGTATTGGTTGTCGGGAAGAGACCTCATGATCATGTTGCTGTTTTCAGAGCGCCTGACTTTGGAATACGGTTTTGGCTAAATGGAACAGGTCTCGACTTTCTGAAACACTATATATTGCAGGTACACAGATTGGCGCCCCAATCTGCTTCGCGGAGTATCCACAGTCATCAGCAGAACTGTGGACTCCCTGCTGCCCTCTAGCTTAGAATCAGGGCTTCCGCACACACACACAGACACACACCACCTCGTGAAGCATGCAGAGTACACAAACGTCTCGTGCCCACGATCTCCACTCACAGGCAGTCCACCATCACTCCAGTTGTTTTCCTATACCGGACGTAACCCTTGGATCAAACTTAGTACATCATGCTCAAACCCGAAACGCAAAGCAGCATTCGAAACACACTTTGCCTCAGCCAGTGTGCGGCCGCCACGGTGTCCCCACGTTGCGCCAAGGCGGTGGTCTTGGCACAAACCCCGCGGTCTCAGCTTCCCTACTTCGTGCTTTCGGCCCGAGGATGGCCCCTTAAAAGCCCCTCCTGAAATAATATTCCTGAATATGATCCCGCTTAAACCCGAAAAGGGAAAACCTTACATGTTTCAAGGGCCTACCTAGGGCCTGAAAGCCTGCAAAGTTTAGGTGTTCGGTACAATCCTATCAGTACGTTTGGTGTCTCTGGGGCCGGGGTGTTGGTGAAGCCTTCTTCAGCCATGACCTCCTCACTTTTCAAGCCCGCAACATAGGACGCTCGAAAGCCCAAGAGGTGTCTGCGAAAAAATTGGCGCTTAGCCGGTTCACCGCTCGCCTTCTGAGGGCCCGGCTAGTGGACCATATGAGCGGACGTTCGGGCGCAAACCTGCAAGGTCTTTGTGGCAAACTGAAGCAAGCAAGAGTAGTCTTGCTTCTTGCTGTCGCTGCAGCGCGCGGCAACAGTCCATGCAACATCCGTTCCCTGGTACTGTTGCACAAGGTGCAAGTGTCAATGCCAGCATGCCGTTTCCTGAAAACAAAAAACGATATACACGGAACCCAACTCTTGCTACCGCTCCTGTAAGAACCGCTCAAGAGAAACTGCCAGAAACACGTAGAAACACCAACAAAGCTCAGCACACAACGCATGCCATCAATTCAGGCCTGCATCCTTCAGCCTCTGGAGCCACTGCTCAGCATCGGCGAACTCAGAAACGGAGAGGGGACTGCATGCCCACGTTACGCCGCCTGGACTCCTTGACTCTGTCACAGCCTGCGCTGCCTGCGTTGCAGAAGTAGACAATCTACTTCGTCTACAAGCTGAAACATTGCTCTTCCTGCAGTGTAGCATGATGCAAGATGGTGACATCTTCCAGTGACCGTCTTATGACTGGTGCAGGGGTTGATGAATGATCTGATCACTTCGCGTTCTTTTTGTTTGTTGAAAGGTATCCTGAACAAACACAAAGCCTGAAGTCGGCGCCCTAATCCTCCAGCAACGCAGCCACTCCCAGCAACCACGTGCCCTCGCGACGAGCTGAGGCTGCCACCAAGCCTCGACGAGCAAAACTGTCAATGACGGAATTGAAGGTAGCAAGGTCGGGAGAGAGGCCTGCAGGGCAAAGGGTTTAGGGTTGAGGGTTGAGGGTTTAGGGCATAGCCGTTTACGGTGTTTGTGTGCTGTTGTAGTATTGCAGTGATGCTGATGCTGTCTTGCAACGGTTTGGACACGAGTTGGGATTCTTGCGAGGATGACAGGTATGCACTTACAATGCCTTAATCTAACATGGCGACTGCCCTTGCCACATGCACACTGCCAACTTACGTGAAGCCAAAGTCGGGGGTCTCCCAGAACTCCTGAGTCAACTCCATGCTTCCTCTGCTCCGCTCGCCTTCCTCGGACATCTGCGCCAGCCACCTCTGCATGCCTGCGCCCCGCTCCCGATGAGGATGCTTCGGAGGGAACGCTGTTTTAAGCGTGGAGCCCTGGCTTCGGTTGCATATGGGCTCAGCCGTGGTTTAAGGGTTCATTCCAGGGGGGTGCGTGACACACAAGATCAGCACTCGCGGGCTCGGGCCGTCTGAATGGATGGGGCTTGGGTCAATCGCCTGCTTGCGCAAGTGAGTTGGAGCCCGCAGATCAACACCAAAGCTCGAAACACCACTTGCTTTGGGAAAGGTCTAGTGCCTGACTGCATTGGGCGACATAAGCTTACGTCTTACGTCTGAAAAGGATGCACGTCTTTGTGACACAGAACGCACATGTGGGCTGCTCAAAACCACGATATGCTCAAAAAAAGGCACTGGCAATCGGACCCCCAGAATTTTTCCTGCATGTGCCGTGCATTTTCCAGGCCATGCTGGCAGCGGGAGCTACACGAAATCCACGGCAATACTCGCAGAATCGTTGTTGCGCCATAAAACCACCACTGGCCAATAGTTATCTCTCGTAATGGGAACCGCATCGCCAAAGGGCCACAACCCTTCATAGCACTGCATGGTTCCTTCGTCGAAATCGAGAAGTATCGCCAGTTTACAATCCGCACGCCAATCGGAATTGCTTCCTGTAGTGTGCGTTCTTTGTGCATATGCGCACACGTTTGTGCTGTACCCGCCGTGATACAAGCCCAAAAAACCAGGATCGTGCTCTGGATCCGTAGTCATATTTGCTTGCAAAGACCCGATGCCTATACCCAAGGCATAGGTCCGGGAATGCAGTAGGATACGCATAAGCACTCGGCCAGACAAGGGTGGACATGAGGAGCAGCCGAACATCACACCTGATGCGTCACCGCCGAATATCCCACGCTCTTCGGCTCCTGGCTCCTTCTGGAATGTTACCTGCTGTCCATCACAAATCTCCATCTCGATCTCGTCACCGGTACGCGCAGAAGTATAGGCTGACAGTGGGTAGTGCTCAAATTGGGTGCTCATGCAGCACGATGCCAAAGGACCATTTCCTTCACCCAAGACGTACACTCTGGAGATCCTTACCGAAGGCGGGTCTATGAACGAATTTTCCCCCTCGCTGCCCTCCACCTTCCCTCCATCTACAAAGGAAACAACTCTACTCCTGTGTCAGCCTCAACCCCCTGAGCCAAGCATGTACTATCAGTACCTTTCTTACCTTCGCAAGAAACATACAAAATCGATTCAGGAGTGGCTCGCATTGCCTCCTCGCCAAGCTTTCGCATGACCGAAACACTTAACACAATTCCGGAGGTCCACATTAATGAGGTCTTGACGAATGCTTCGCAAGACCTTAACACATTTGGACCAGAGGAGTCAACATTCAACATGCAGCTTTCATTCTCAACAAATGACTTCGCTGTCATAGCCATAGCCGCGATCATAGCCAAGAAGCACAGCCAGGAGGTCCGTTTCACCTCCTGCCACGTGACATGGACATGAGCGCAACACCTTTTGCACATCTTTGAGAACCACCAAGGGGGGGCTTACGATATTGGGGATACCTTGCTGGGGTCCTGATTGCGAGGGAATCCTACACCTTCATGTCCTGGTGCCAGGTGGGTGCTTGCTTCGCTCGTCGGCAAATTGGCAAAGTGCCGATGCCATTCCTAAAATCTGCTAGCGGCGCCTTGAAGGCATAAACTGTGTGTCCAATTCATGCGCCTCCACAGGACTGTAACAGAGTTCTCTTGGCCCAGACAAGCAGTGAACGAGACCCCGGTCTCTACTCGAGAGGTGCAACAACCGAGAGGCCTTGGAGCTCCCCTAGGAAGATTTCGCAACTGAAGCAAGGTGCGGGGTTGCTGGATTTCAAACTAAACTCTGCTCCTCCCGCTCTACTCCACGCCCATCACACGCATCCCACCCCAGAGCAGAATACCCCAAAAACCAGTCGCGGAAGTGTCCAACCCCAGAGAATCCCCCCCCGAACCCTGGATTCCCCCCTAGCCATCCCCTGTGAGCCTCAGAGTATTTCAGAGTATTCCCAGAGCGTCATGGAGTGCCCCAGAGTATCCCCCGAGTGTCCAACCCAAGCGTATCCTGCAGATTCCCTGGCATGCCCAACCCCAGACCATCCCCACAGATAACCCCTACAGTGCCCAACCTCGGATTATCCCCAGAGAATCCTCTGAGTGTTCCTGGAGTGCCCCACCGCAGAGTGAGCTCGCAAATTCCTAGCTTGCAGTGTGGGGGTGTTCGAAGTGGAATCATGAAATTGCTTAAAGAAAAGGCCTGTTGCATTATAGGGCATTGACAAGAAAGACTGAGCTTTAGGCAGCACAATGCATGCAAGGTCCCCCTCCCGACTGCCTGTCACGTCGCAAAGCTTTGTCTCGCGGCTGATCCGGAGGGGCTGTCCCTGGCCCCGAACGATTAGCCTGCGCAGTTGTTCAAGGCTTCGACTCAGGACAGGACAGACCATCAAACCTCTCTGTGATTCGACACCTTGCAGTTTGTTGCAAGCCCTTTTGGCCATGGTGCCCTAAGCCCAGACTCCAGGGAACTAAAGCTTTGTAAGACAGTAATGGTTCGCGTCAGCCTTAAGTCAAGGCAAGAACCCTCAAGAAACCACCATGCCTTCTCACACCTCTAGAGAGCCATGAAAGAGCACTCCTGGAAAACAAATGCGCCGCATGGACAAGAAACACTCCTGCAAAAGCCTTTCAACCCGGAAGCCATCAAACCTCTTCCTTTCGCAAGATTTCGCCCCGGAAGCCGAAGCCGCTAGGGTTCCCGTGAAGTTATTGAACGAAGAAGGAGATCCCCGATGAGACTCCCTAGAGGCCCTAGAGGCAAGCGGCCTCATGCGTCCGGCTGTCGACCCCTTCCAGTCAGCGGCTGCGGTGATGGCGTCGAAGACGGAGGCGGCTCGGCTCAAGGAGAGCTCGGTTTCCTGGGGGCTCGGGCGGCTGCAGAGACCCTCGGAGCTTGAGTGTTTTGCAAGCTGAGAGGCGCTTCCATCCACCATAGTGAGGTGATACGTCACAAGATCCTGCAGTCTCGATATGGTCAAGAGACCATATTGAGATGAGAGCTCTTGCGAATGTGTGTCGGAAAATTGACGACAACGGGATCCGTGTGTGACTTGCGAAGGGAACAAGTGGGTTCTGCGTTGCAGCGGGAGGTGCCTTGCGAATATGAGCTATAGAATACAGCCTCTTAGTTGCAGCAATACAGGAACACTTAAAGTGTTTCAGGAAGGTATCAGGCTAGAGTTTCGCCTAAAAAGCACACAAGGCATCGCGCTAAGCAGGAGCCCAAGCGTCGCCCATTGGGTCGAGCTCCGTGATCTCTGCGGTGGCGCCTTCACAAAGGGCACACAAAAGGTATATCCACTGACATACACATGACTTGCACAGACTGAGCTTGCCATGACTAGCCATTGCTAGCCGCTAGCCGGACTGGTGTGGCCAGGATAAGGCGGAAGAGTGAACTTGATCGGGGACCGATCAGCTGTTGACATCGGGCACCCGCATCGCGTGCCTTCTGCAGGATGTTTCTCGGGGACTTCTTCCATGGCTTTCCAAGGCACCGAAGAGTTGCTGATGCTGCGGACAGCCCGTCCTACAACCTTCTACAGAGGCTGCAGCTGTTCCATGGGAGGCGCTTGCAATTTCACATAGCGATGTTCGGATGTGTTTGTTGGTACTTTGCCTCGGCTATAAGTGGACACTTTGCCTGAAGTGGCTGAAGCTTCAGATTCGAACGCCCTGGAGTCGCACGACAAGCCGTAGCGCGTTTGGTACGAATCTGAATCCTGGAGACACCTTCTTCAGGCAGCCGTGAGCTGCTATGTGACAGCTATGTGAACTCCCCTCCATTCCTGGCCTTCGTCGTCGCCAGTCCTGGGGATTTTTCCAGGGGCCAAGATCTAAGATCTAGCAGAATCTAGCTAGCAACCTCTCCACATAGAATTGCCGAGGTGCAACTTCAAAGATGTGGATGGTTGTAGGCTATCAGAGAATTCCACTTCGAGTTCGCGATCTGGAAAATTCAGCGTGCGGGTTGTCGAGTGCCTCCTTCAAGGCTCTTCCAGTTCAAGGCATGTTGGGTCACCCTAAACCCTAAACCCTAAACCCTAAACCCTAAACCCCCTCGTGCACAGGCGCGCCTTGCGCAGCTTGAGATCACGGTGTTGAAGCTGACGGCGTCAGGCCTCCCATCGGTCAGCGAGTGCTCCAGGTGATGTTTCGTAGCTAAGAGCTGCAGAGAGTTGGGGTTTTCGATATTAAGGGTACCTTATTGGGGTCCTTATTATCAGGTAATCCTACTATTTGGGGGTCTGCTTTAGGGGTCCCGTGTTTTCGAAAAACCCCCAGTTGGACCACCAGGGTGTTACACACCATCACAAAGTCCTGTGTGGGCGGCTCATGGCTCCATCCTTGCCATGATGGGCGGGCTAGCCATCGTGCAGAACCCTTCGTCAAACTTCGTGGTATTGGTGACCTCTCCTCTACTCCCCCACCACATACACCGCACCTGCCCGGGCTACCCAAGTAAGACATGCTAGAGAGGCAACAAAGGCCCCTGTGGCTCCAAAAGGCACTGCTGCCCACACTTCAGGGCCCAGGCCGGAGGTACCTCTCGTGCATCTCCATGAGCAGCTTCTCGGGATGGATGTCTGCTCTCGACCGGACCTGATCGACGAGGCACACGGCGGAAACAAAAGCACCCTCCAAACCAGCAATGTCTAGTGCATTTTGGGACCTCTTTTGCATGCTCCCCAGGGCCACCTTACCCCGACCCCCAGGAGGGAGGGGGCCCGGCAACAGGTTCGTTTAGAGGCACGCTGCCCGAAACATCCACGGCGCCGAAAAATTTTGGAACCCGCCAAGAAATCGCTTGCCCTTCCAACTTCACTGGCAAATTGGCAGACCCACTTCTAGCTGATTGCAAGAGCGGAAGAATCAGACCAACTCTTTACATCAGAACTGGGGAGACCGCCGCGGCATTGAGGACAATGTTGTAGCAGGCCTGAAGAGGTGTGGGTCATCTACTATTTGCTTGAGAACCCCCAAAAAATAGAATTAATAATCCCTATATTCGCCTTACAAGGAAGAACATTCTCCTTGTTTGGGGGTTCTTCAGCAATTGGTAGTCATAGCTTCTCACCCTCCTGCCCCTCTGGGAGAAGGAGGCCTCACCAAAACTAAACGGCACTGAGACAAGTACTGCAGACTTATTCGTTGCACCTCGACAGTCCCGCGTGGCAAAGCGCTGTGCCCAACATTACATGACTGGCCTACAAGCAGATGCCTCCATTGTTGTTTCAAGAGAAGGAGTTCTTCTGTCAGGCAGGGTTAATTTTTGCAATCGCTTGAAGGACATGAGAATCAGAAGACCCCTCCCAAAACATTGAACGCCAGACCAACGGACTAAAGTACGACAGTATTCGCGAGTCTGCTGTTGGCAGCCCGCAGCGGCAAAACTCCTGAGGAGGCACAATCAGCCTTCAGAACATCGTCGCATTTGGTCCCATCTTCAGACGAGACTTCTCTGGACCTTCTACTGGGCACTCGGCAAGATCTGGGAAAAGGTTGAACACGATCTCCATCTTGCGCAGCCACTCGATCTGAGTGCATTCAAGCATTCATGAATACATACATATTTATATACATACATATATATATATAGCTTTCTGCGTATACATATATATATATATCTATGTACATATATATATATATATATACATATGTATATACATACACACATATTTTTATAGGTATATGTAACTTGTTTGTGTCTTTCGATCAGCTGGAACGGCCAGCCGAGATTTAGAAACATAATTCACCTCACCTCCACATCCGCCGAGGCCACTGCCCTCTGGTCTCCGGGTTTGATATTGGCACAACCCCATACTAATCCTTCGAAAGCATCTCTGGAATCCCCCCCAACGGTCCGATGCTGCCGCTTTGGGCAAATAAGCTGCCAGAAAGTCTGAATGGTCCGTTGGAACTTTCTCGGCAAGCCTTCTGGAGAACCCCCCCCCCCCCCCATGCAGAACGCTCCTTGATACGTCGGAAGGATGTGGGCAGGTTTCTTCACAACAGATTGTGCCAACTTGCATGGTCTCTTCCGGGCCTCTGTGCGAAAAAAACGTAGTGAATGTGTAGGGTTGCCAGGAACATCCCCTGAAGACTCTGGAGTTTAGGGTTTGGGGGACCCTCTTAACCCATTATCATTATCCCCTCACAAACCGCACCTACCCCGTGGAAATCCCTGCAAACGCCTGACAGGCTTCCTCTTCGAGCGTTCCAGTGCGGATCCCTTCGGCCCCCCAAAACAACTCAAACCTGCTTTCTTTTACGTTCTTGCGGGGAACCCTACGAGAAACCAAAGACCCGCAGGTCTATGAATCTCAGCAACCGACAGCTCTCGCGGGCGCGGTGCGGCCGATGGCCTCGGAGAGTGCTATCTCATGGTTGAAGGCTAGGTGAAAGGGCATAAGGTGCAGGAGAATTATGGCAGGACTAGCGTGACTGTCTTTTTGTACTAGTAACTAGTACTTGTGTACTCAGGGCGCAAGAGACGAACATACCAGTAAGGACAGGTGGCAAGACTTCCACACAGATCGGACATACAGCATGTGAGCATTCTTATGGAACCGTGCCATGGGATGACATTGTTCCACATTTTCTGCCAAAAAACTAAGAGCTCCCCCGCCTCCCCCCCCCAACTCCAGAGGTTTGCCTTGCGCACCTGGCAAAGATACACCCACTGGCGCATGGATACCACACCCTCGCGCTCTTCCCACAAGGGTGTTCCTCGTGGAGGTTTTCCAGCCCACGTGCCGATGCCTTTTGTGTCTTTGACGAACTTCTCAGATGCCTGGAGAATTGAAGAAGGTGTCGCGCCAAACACCAGGATAAGGATTGCCGCTGCCGAAAGGTGTTCCGTTTTGGTTGCATTCCACCTCTCTCCAAGCGACTACTCTACAAGCCCTGCCGCAGACAGGTGCTGTCCTAATACGGAATTTCTACTCCTCTCGAATTTGCCACTGAAAATTTGTGCTTCTGATTGGTGTTCAGAGAAGTATAGGGTCTTGCGACTCAGGGACGGCTGGTGCATTCAAGCCAAAGGATGGCAGACATCCGTTCGCTCCCGGGGATCCTGCCACGAGCATGCTTTTGCAGGCGTCCAAGTCAGGCCTTAGAAGACTTCGAAGTGCACATGCGAGCGGTCGCCTTTGGTAGTGGGGTGGATGGAATCTCGCAAGCTTCCCCCTACCTGCATGGCTTCAACACCATTGTTGAGCTTCCCGCGCCCAGCCGTCAGTGAGCATCTTGTCAAACCACGAGAGCGCAACGCCTGCAAAGAACAAAGAGCTTGCCGAACCACTGCCCACTGTTGAAGAGAGCCCCAAGACGGTTCTATACTCCCCCCTCATGTCCCCCAAATGGAACCACCACTGCCCTGTGGCACTTAGTGTTTTGGAGGTAAAACACCCTAAACCCTAAACCCTTAACCCTGAACCCTAAACCCCCTTTAAGGCTTCATCCCAAAAGCTGGCAGCGCAGGGTTCACCCTGAACAGGGCCGGGAAAGGTGGCTGGCTGCCCGCCGACCCTGCCTGAAGCTTTTGGGATGGGAGCCTCCATTTAGCGTTTAGGGTTTAGGGTTTAGGTTTTAGTTACCAGAGGATGTTGTAGTAATGGTCGTCCAAACAGAGTGAAGGAACGTTCTTCGTCTTTATGTTTGACGCTAGCAACAAAAGTAGCCACCGTAATAACGACGAAACGTCATGATCGTATCAAACGTGATAGTAGAAACAGCATTGAAGCTGATGCACAATTACAACTCACAGCAGAAAAAATAGCAGCCAAAGAAATACTACCATAAAAAAGACATAGAGATAGGACCAACAGTAATCGCAGTAACAAAACAGTCACCATGGTAATCAATATAAAAGTGCTTACATAGCACTATTCGAACCATAGTCATGCTAGTAACAATTATAAGCAAAGTAAGAACAGTAGTATCAACAATAGTAGCAATAGTAAAAACGGAAATAACATTAACAATAGCAGGAATAGAAGTAATACGCATCACCGCAGAAAGTAATGACGCTACAACTAAGAGAATAGTAACAATGATGACGGTGAAGGTAATAGTTCTCATAAGTGTAACAGTAAATATCGCTGATTGTATGGGCGAATGAATACATGCCCCCAAAAAACGCTTCTAATACAATATCTAGTCGTTCACATGCTTCTTGTATGCATTTTGCTTATTATTCATGGAGCGAATGAATGAGCGAATCTAAGCAAAACCAAGGAATGGCCGAGGACAAAGCTGTCCTACTTCCGGAGACTCCAGCAGACGATAGGAAACCCGAACAATCGAGAACCAAACGTTCTTCTAGGGGCCTTCAGAAAGAGATGCTGTGTTACTCACTACGTACTGATGTCACGACTGCAGCACAATATTCTTGCTAGCGACAGGAGTGCGGATTCTCGTTTGAGAGTAGGAGTTGTGGTGGGGCTGTGGGAATACGGGATTCCAGTCCCAGCGCAATCATCATAATAATCCTGGTCCTTCAAACATTGAGAGCGTGGTATTTCGCACCAGGGTCAGGGTTAAGCTGAGTCCGGCGTGGAATTCCTAGGGTAGGGTTAAGTGTTTGGGTTGAGCTGGTCGGATGGTGGTGCCTTGTAATCTGAGTTTGCAGACTTTAGCTTTTCGGGTTGTTCGCTTCGAAGCCCTTCATAGGATCTATTGTTAAGCCTCGGGACTGCAACACCGACTCTCTGCACCAGAACACTTCACTCTACACATCCATGCACAGGATTGCACATGTACTTGCAACCGAAGATGATGAAAACATCGCCTTCAGAAGTTGCACGCTCAATCACTGCCGCATAGCTCATTGCCTCCCAGATGCAGGGCTTCGGGCTCCCTCTGCGAAACGAACCTACTCTAGAAGGGGCTTCATCCTGTGCTTTCGTCAGTCTTCGCATTCGTAGAGGTACCGAGGGACCTGCTTGCGCTGAAGCTGGCTCACGCTCCGCGCATCACCACCTACCCTGCCGACCCTGCCTCGGGCGCAACTCCTGCGTCTTCCATGCGGACGAACCTCCGGTGAGCTCTGGCTAGGGTTTAGGGTTTAGGGTTCAGGGTTCAGGGTTCAGGGTTCAGGGTTCAGGGTTCAGGGTTTAGGGTTTAGGGTTTAGGGTTTGGGGTTTGGGGTTTGGGGTTTAGGGTTTAGGGTTTACGGATTGGCTTCTCCAAACAGCATGGCATGGCATGCCAATCATATGTTGAGTAATGCCTTAATACCATTATCCGCCGAGGCTTCGGGGCGTGCTTCGATGCGGGAGCGGACGGTGCATCAGGAAAGCCGCCAAACAAAAAACGGACACCCAATGCCTCCACCCTTTACCCCCCACCTCACCTAGGAGCTAGCCTTGCCCCACTTGAAGGTATTCTTGCTTTACCTTGAACGTGGTGCAGAGTAGCTCGCCTCTCCCCCCCCCCTCTTGCCCGTTCCTCCCAAGAAATTCCGGCCCCGATCATTTCTGAGTTAGGGAGAAAAATGTGGGAGAGGGGTTTTGATATTGGGGGAATGCGACTCAGGGCGGAACTCTTCAGCGCAGGCCTCATATTTACTCAAGTATCGAATTCTGGATGCTTAAAGAGGGAGCCTACCCTCATCCCCACCAGAACTAGAGCGTGGAGCTCTCTACCGTTGAGCGCGTCCCCACGCCGCGCCATGCCACGGAGACAACTTTGCAGCGGCCGATCTGAAGCCAAAGATCCACCGGACTTCTGCAGTCGATAGTCTCTAGGATAGGGTTCAGGATTGACACTTGAAACTTCGAAGTCAACAGGAAACCGGCGCAGCAAGCAAGGGCTGCATGTTACCGTACCGATCGCCATCAGATTCTGTCGGAACTGGAATTGCGCGAGGACAGAGACCGCAACTGCGATTAAGCATCGTGCCTGTGTACCGTCTGGCGCCCATACGCTCAGAGCTGGGGTGGCGTGGAAGCGTCCACAAGTGCCCACAAGCAGGTTCAGACATGCCTTGTACCAGGCTCCAATCGGATTCCAATCGGCATACAGGCAGTACCAGTAAGGGGCTTCTGATGCCGGGAAGGCGAGCTGAGCTGTCCACCAGGACTCTGCACCGCGGAAGTCTTCGCGATCCAACGCCTTGGCCAAAGACACGGGCGACATTGGATGCTCTGTTTAAGGCTGCAAATCCCAAGAAGATCAACCACGAGGACCCTCGACGAGAAGCCCTTCATGGAGATGAGGGGGATGAGGGGCACAAAGGGTTCGAGGCGCGAGTCCAGGTTTGGAATGGTTTGGAGCTGTACTTTAAAGGCAGAGTACTGTCATTGAAGCGCATGGGGGTCATGGGTCCTGTGATGAACTTGAAGCCAGGGCCTGAGATCAAGGTCGCATACACCGGAGAATTCTAGCTTAGGAGTCACATTTCGGATCATATCACGTTCAGGTCAGTGGGAAGCCGTCAACTATGTATACATAATTTGCCTCCGCTCGCGGAGTTTTGTGATTGCTTACCCAAAATGACGAGTCGACGGAACTGTTACGGGAATCTCTCTTCAATCTTGCCAATACTTGGGACCTACTCGCGCACACCTGCGCATAGCCAGAACATGCAGCACTTTGACCACAATTTCTGTGGGCAGCACTTTCATCATCGCTGTGTAGTGCTCACCTTGGTGTGAGAACAGCCGAGACTCCCATGCCTTTTACGGTGAGATATGCGTCTTTCCCAAAATAGGGTGCCCGTTTTGCCTTTTGTTTGCCGCTCAGGAATTGTCAGCACGACCGCGCGTCCTTCCCTCAGATTGCCTCCCCCGCTTCGGCCGCCTTAGGCTTTGATAGCCGAGCAAGCGGCTGCCCAAGTGCAGCTTGAAAGCTTTCGCATCAGAAATCCTGAAAAAGTTGAAGCCCCACACCCCCCACGGTCACCAGATCCCAAGCTCCAAGCTTGCTTAGACTTAACCTAGCTGCAGTCAAAGTTCCGTGGGCCAAATGCCGCAATCCTAAACCCAGCCTCTGCTCGTTATCAAGCCCGGAACTTCAATCCTGAACCCCTGGGTCTTGAACCCCAAGCCCAAGAAGACTGCCGAGGAGCATATGGGCAAGAAGCCCTCGGATTTCATCTGGTCCCACCAGCTCTGCGCCAAGTCCTTGGCATCTCGACGTTCGGAAGTTTCATGCTGTCATTCGGGACGTGCAAAGATATGATTCCCTCCCTCCCCCCCCCCCCCCCCCCCGCCAAGCCTATGCCGCCAGGTATGGGCCTCAATGACTTCCCTTCTGGAGACTCTCATATACTCCTCCGTCCACAAGAAAACCTATCCCAGAGGAACGGAAGAAGAAGCAGCAGCAGAAGAAGAAGAAGAAGAAGAAGAAGAAGAAGAAGAAGAAGAAGAAGAAGAAGAAGAAGAATCAGAAGAAGAACAAGAAGAAGAAGTCGAAGAAGTCGAAGAAGTCGAAGAAGTCGAAGAATAGCAGCAGCAGCCGCAGCCGCAGCCGCAGCCGCAGCCGCAGCCCAGCCGCAGCCGCGGCAGCAGCGAAAGCAGCAGCGAAAGCAGCAGCGAAAGCAGCAGCGAAAGCAGCAGCGAAAGCAGCAGCGCACGCAGCAGCAAACGCAGAAGCAAACGCAGCAGCACAAGCAACGGCAAAAGCAGCAGCAAAGCAGAAGCAAAAGCAGCAGCCACAGCAACCGCAACAGCAACAACAATAACAAGAACCGTAACACTAAAAAGAACAAGAATGATGATAGTAATCAGAATAGTCGTACAATGATAAACAGAACAAGACAAGCGGCTCAAGGAAACAAAGCAGCGTTTGATCGGTATCAAGTGTTTTGTGTGGTTGTTTTGAAGACCTGCCTGTGGCAAAGATTTTTTTGCTTCAGGAGCCCGGTCTGGTCAACAGCAAACCACCAGAGAACACCAAACAGTCACGCAAGAAGGATAGAGAGACCAAGAATTCGCCTCGGCTTCCTGCCGAGAAGCGTCTGGAACAAGCAGACCCGGATCGGGCCTCCTTCCCCCTAACCCAACCCTTCCCCCCACACCAAATTTTCTGACGCCCCCCCCCCCCCCCCGCCCTGTGGGACCCGCCCCAATCCCTTGGAGGAGCTGCAAACCGATGCCGTGGAGGGTCCCGCTTGTCGGTGGCTCCTACTTTACAATTATACAGGGCTGGGAGCCCGTGGCCATGGTCGAGTTTTGGGTTTAAATAAGTGGGGTGTCGTATTCAGAGATATGCCGTCAACAAGCCATCACAACCAGGAAATATTCAACCCTAGCCTAAGAGAAGTCCTGCCCCATTCCTCTAAAACGCTCAGCCCTCGAAGTAAAGCCTGGCCACTGGTGTTCTCCAGGTTTCTGGCAATACCTACGGACCTACATCATGAACCAGTCAACATCACGAACTGTTTCATGCTCTGACGCCCGGGCCTGTCAAGATCATGAGCCAAAACCTATCAACGTGACAAAACCAGGTAACCATAAGGTAAACCCGCCTAAGCCTTGCTATGCAAAACTTCCGGGCCGAACTAGTCCCAAAACCCTAGAATCTCAAACATACCCATCGCGAAACCCCACTACCACAGCACGGCCAACCCTGATCCCAAACCCCACAGCCACACAGGAGGCCGAGGGGGGGGGGGGGCAGGGTGGCCCCAGATCATCAATATATACATATGTAGATAAATCAACAAATAAAAAAACACATTTAAAAAGAAAATATACATACTATATACATAAGTTATACATATCTGTATTCATTTGTCATGAAACACACGTCCACCTGCAGCATTCGCAGAACCCCTGGCTTTTGCCGGCATGAAACAAAGAAAAGGCGCTGAGTGTCCTGACGGAGCGGCCGCATTTTGCAAATCCCTCGAGAGCAGCCAAGTAGGAGGAGCCTGGTCAGCAGCCCATGTCCGCAAATGACAGACAAAAAAAACAGAAACATGTCATTACTTGGGATGTTCCCCCTTATACCAACAGTCCTGAATAGGGATTGTAGTACCCCCGGTTATAATCCTCATGAAGGACTGTTAGTACAAGGGGGAACGTCTCAAATCATTACGGTCACCAGAACAAAACTAGTGGTCGTCAGTCGCAACGACTGAGCGTTCTGCCAACACGGCCGGCTGTGTGTTTCTACTGCGCTCTGACCGGAACAAGTCAGCTGCACGCAATTCACATGTTCTGCAAACGAAGAACGCACATTGTGGAAACTGAACGCACACTACAAGAACAGGGCGTACGGGGCACGCCGCTTCGTGTCAAAGGGTATGCTGTTCTGAGCTTGGAGCCATCAGGTTTGCTTCCATGGTCTGACATCAGCTGCATCCAATGCCTGTAGGCTCATTGTAGTAGATACAGTAATTATGGTAAGTATGGTAAGTATGGTAATTATAGTAATTGTGGTAATTCTAGTAATTATAGTAATTGTAGTAATTATAATAATTATAGTAGTTATAGTAATTATAGTAATAGAAACCGTGGAGCGGTTTGGGCTTTATGCCTGGGAAGAGCGGGTTCTGGTTCAGCGGCAATTGTAAGTCAGCGGAGTTGCAGCTGTGGTTTAGGGTTTAGGGTTTAGGGTTTCTTAGCTAGCATGTCATACTTGGAGAGCAAAGCGGAGATGAAACGACATCTGCTTCGGGAACTGCCATCTTGTGTGTCTTTCCATTTCGTCCTACAGTACTTGTATTGTAAAAGTCTGAACCTAATTACCGCAGGTACCCGTGCAAGTTGTTTGAACGGCAGGTGCTGATGGAAAGTCAGCTTAGACATTCAGACAGTTCATTATCCACTTCGAAGGTTTGCATGTAGGCATCTTGCGTTCTTTCTATTGAACGTATTTACAAGCCTCTTAGATTCTCCAAACTCTAAGTTGCTAATCGTTAATTGAAGCCTTTGCCTTTGTTGGATGTTGAGCATTTTGGACTTCTAGCAAGGGGCGGGGGTTTGACGAAAATAGGGGTACCCTTTTGGGGGTTCCTACAATGACGAGTACACTATTTGGGGGCATATTCAGGGTACCCCTATTTGGGGACATGCCCATAGAAGTTCACTTTAGATTGAAAGCAGAGCATCATCAAGCCGTGTCAGACTCACTTCTTCAAGCATTCAAGCACTGATGATGTATTGATTTTACGGCTGTTAGCATTCTAAGAATTTGAGACGAGCAGGATGATAACGCATCTCTCCGCATAAAATGTGTCGTTTCACGTGTGGGTGGGGTGGGCGTGTTGGGGTCATTTGGTGTGAGAAAGCAATGGGGTTGAGAGTGTGAACTTGCCCACTCAGATCTTGGAAATTTGACTAAGGCCGGAACACTCCGAAATTGATCTGTTAGGACTTCCTCACGGAAGAACCGACATGAGAAGGCCGCCGGGGCGTTGATACAAGACGACTGAACGCAGCCTTCATTCTACTGGAGCATTGCCACGGCACCTAAAAGACGGAATGTAGCTCAGATCCACATTTGCAAGGACTTACTGACCATCCAAGGCTGCCACAAAAGCAGACACCTTGCACTCAAAGGATGGCACCAAGGAAGTGCGCGAAGGCGCAGAAACACTGGAAATGGCTGTTCACTTGTGGGCCCCAAGTCTCTGGAGCAAAGAGTGTCCGCAAGCGAAAACTGTGTGTAGTCATTGAAGAGTGATTGGAATGAAGGAAGCGAAGCAGAGTGGAACTGGAAAGACTATGTATGGCGATGTCTGAAGAGTATAATGGTGACTGTGGTGCCTGGGACGATAGTTCATGACTCATGGTATGAGGACTGGAGAGACAGGTCATATCCTGCGCAAACAGCTGTACCCTCGACCTCCACTGCGACAGCGCTTGAGGCCTGAGGTCGCTGAAGAGCCTGCTTCGCCAACATGGCGACTGAGGAAGTGAGCTCAAGCACTCCCGATGGGTTGGGACACCGAACGCCGCCCAAGAGTCATCAACGAACTGCTGAACTGCCAGGAGCGCACTGGAGGATGCTTGAAATGGCAGAGGAGGCTGAGGGTATGTGAGGCTGCTGGGCCCGCGTTGCGCTCCAAAGCACTGATGGATCTGGCGCCAACATGGCGCTGTGGCCGTCCAATTGCCGGGGCCCACCGCGATGCATGGACTGCAGACGGTCTCACTGCCGTTACAGAATGATCGGACCGTGAGCATCCCCCAAGAGGGGATGACTGGACTCGGTACTGAAATGGCACCACCACTGCGCATCACTGCGACTGGCCCTGCGCCTTGGCAGACTACATTGGGCACTTGGATCCAAGGGTCCACTGCCTTCTTTCCAATGTTGGACTGCCAGAGTACACGAAAGAGGAACGAGTGAGCTTGCTAGGGCAAGAATCTGCTTGCCCAACATGCGCAAAGCTGTTGAGTGACTTCGTGGTGCAGATCATGAAGAAGCGCTCGTCATTTCCCTGGCTCCGCCGAGGAGAAGAGAAGCCGCAGAGAATGATCGGCGGGTTGGCTCCGCATGGGCTTCACAGGGCTTCTGGCCACAGCACTGGGCCCCTCCGAACTTTCTTTTGAGTCGTCTGAGACCCTCGAATGATCACTCAATATACACAGTATGGCACCCATCAAACTAAGCTGCAGCCGGTCTGCAACTCTTGGCCGCTTGAATGTTGCGTAAGTTGCCTAAGAAACAATGTGGGGTTTACGAAAATACGGGAACCCCAATATAGATCCCAAAATAGTAGGATTTCCTTACAATCAGAACCCCAAGAAGGTACCCCGAATTCAGGAAACCCCTAAACCCTAAACCCTAAACCCTAAACCCCCATGTGCCTGGCGCCCTTCACGTCCGCGGATTCGGCGCAGCCGCGCAGCGCGGCATTGACAAGAGCGGGGAACGGCCAAGGCCTCGAAGCTTCGACTTGGGAGGCCTTCGGTCTTCAGGGATGTTGATAGTTAGAGTGTGTGGGGTTTAGGGCTTAGTGTTTATTGAAATTATTCAGGGTTCAGGTCCGGGAAAGTTTCGAGGAAAGTTTCGCGGAAAGTTTCGAGGAGTTTCGTTTTTGGATCTTTTGGAATAATTTCAAGTTACCGGGGCTTGAGGGTTTAGGGTTTCGGGTTTAGGGTTTCGGTTTTAGGGTGGCAGCTTTGCAGGAAGCATGACCTACCTTGATACCTAGAGTATCATCAGCGGCATTCAAAGCAGACTCTCGGCTTCGGCAGAATTCGCGCTCGATACAGGAAAGCTCCTGTCAAGTAGCACTGTTTGGAGATACTTGAAGTAATGGTGTACGGTCTTTCGCAAAGAGATGATGTAAAGACAAGTTTCACGGTACATTGACATTCAGGCCGGTGGTCTTAGGAGATCCTGTCAGGTTCATTGCAGTGTGTTGCACCACATCTTGCACCACGTGTTGCACCGTAGAGGATCGGACTTCGGTTGGGGTCAGCTGGACGCGAACAGCCAGTGGCAGAAGAACGGGTCGAAGGCTAACAATGACATTGCAGCCATGAGAACTGTCCAGGAGCATGCTTCGTTGAACACAGATGCACCGAGACGAGGCAGATCCTAAACACATCGAGATGCAGGAAAGGACACTATGACACGGTTGCCGCAGCTAGGGGAACGATGTCCTCAAGCACCGGAACCACTGAAATTACAGGAGCCAATCCTCAGGGCAGCCACTCCGAAACGCTTGGATCCGGACATGCAGTAAGAGAGATCGTCCAGAAGGCTTTCCTGGGCCAAAAGACCGTGGTTCTCCATGATTTGGGCCGTGAATCTTTGTTTCCAAAAGCACGGTTTATGGGTCGATCGCTGGTGCCTCTTCTAAATACTCGTACAGAGACTCGGGCAGAAGCCGGTTCATGAGATGATGAGGACTCTTGATGTACCATGACATGACCCATCCTTAGGTTTGCAGACATGCTGGGATGCTGACGGCAGTTGAAAGGTCTCCACGCCTGGCAAAAGGTTGTATGGTGCCAGTCATCCCTGACCCCTTCCTGTGGCGATTCGCATGTGCGCGTCTGGCAAAGGCTGCCCCAACGCCATTTCGAGCAGCGGACCGAGCGTAGATTCATCGATATCCTCTGTAACTCATGACTCCATCGCAGCCCTCAACCTGAAACAAAAACTGATCATACTCTGTTTTATAGGCCTTCACAACTTCACAGCTCCTACAAACTTGCAAGACCCCAAACAAAACCCCGTGACATCCCGTCGCCGTTTCACGCCTCCCCAGGGCCTGGATGAGGGCAATCGAGGCATCCTAACGGTAGAAGCCAGGTCAGGGTCTCAGGACGCAGGGTTTAGGCAAGCTTTGGGTTGAAAATGGCTGGTGGCCTATACCGTTCAGGCTTCAACGAACCTGAAGGACTTGACTTGCTGAACTTGACAGGCTTTCGTTTCTTGCGTGCTGATGCGTGCTGTTCGCCGAACCTCCCAGATTCTGCGGGTCGCGGGGGGGGGGGGGGGGGGGGGGGGGGGGGGGGGGTTTAGGCACCGATGCTTGCCGAGATCCTTCTTTAGTGAATTGCACCTGCCGATTGGGAATCTGTTGATGATGAGTTGGGGTCGCATAAATGTGTTTTTGAAGGGATATTTGTGGACATCTAAACTTTCTTGAACCAAGTGAAGTTAATCACATAGTCGCTTAGTGTCGTCGGTGGGCAATTACGAACACTTTCACGCGATTGCCCCAACCCAAAAGCTGAACTCCAATCTGCAGCGGCAAACACCTCCACGATGCTAAATCCCAACAATACCTGAAAGTCCAACCAACGCAGACCTGCGCTGGCTGCTTGTCGTTGTTGCGAATGACCTTTGCATGTGTTTTTAACAGCGACTGGGTCAGCCTCTCATGCTAATTGGCTGCCAGAATGAACGCTTAGGATGTAGAATCCTTGCGCCCGGTGGGAAATACCCTCTGAGCTCAGTTAATGGTTACAGCAATGGCCCAAGAATGAACATGTACCAAGATGTACAGACAATCCAAGGTGCCCGAAACCAGCGCAGCGCTTGGTCGATGTTGCCCACCTGACCGCGAAGTGCTCAGACTCTTCGACTTGTGGCAGCCACGAAGCAGCTTGTCCATGGTATCAGCTTGGCAGACTAGAAGCAGCCTTGCAGGAGCAACATGCACCCGTAAAATCACACAGCCTATACATAGATCTTGTTGTGCAACAGCTACACGTTGGACATGACCCCTCTTCAGCCCTGCGAAAAGAAGTTTAACGAAGGTTCTGGTACTGCTCTTTACTGCCGTATCCCGCTCGATTTCTACGCTCTAAAACCCTAAACCCCAAACCCTTAAACCCTAAACCCTAAACCCTGAACCCAAAACCCTAAACTCTAAACCCTTAAACCCTAAACCCATCCAGCCTGTGCCCAGCCGCGCAAGAGGCTGTCATAAATCCTTGGTCGCTTCGGCTTCGGGAGCCCGAGATCTGTGGTTAGGGTTTAGGGTTTAGGGTTTAGGGTTTAGTTCTTTCTTTTAACAACCCTGTGCACCTTTTCTAGTGCAGGCCACTGGCCAGTGTGGCCAACTTTCCGGGACTTGAGGGCTGCCGAGAAGGCGTGGTGTCACCGAGTCGGGGTTTAGGGTGTAGGGTGTAGGGTTTAGGGTTTAGGGTTAGATGATGTTTGAAAGCTGTTCGGGGCTGGCAGTGCTGCAGTGAGCTGCTTTCAAGGCTCGGGATTGTGGCTCAAGGCTTCGCGTTGCATTGTCGCCTTTAGCCTGAAGTGCGGCTCAGACTCATGCCCCCTGCATCATCGCCCAGGAGATCTACCCAAGCCTGGCGTGATGGACTGTTTCCCACAATCTCGCATGGTTGCAACATTCGGCCTGAAGGACTACAATTCAATTCCTTCGAGGTACCTTTGGCAAGCAATTGCCGGGCTGTTGCCACGGGCACCCTGCATCGCGCTGTGTCTGTGAATGACTTGCTTTGTTCAGCCTCCACGCTTGAGGTATCTGAAGTTATCTTGCCGATCTGAGGACTTGTTGCCAGAAGGACACCCGAAGCTTGGACTTCAAACTGACAGAAGTTCTAGGGGTTGAAGGACTGGACGGCAACAGAATCTCCGACGTTTGGAGGACACCATGCAGCTGTTTCGGCTTTCTGGAGTCGGTGGGCGACGGCCTTCACTTCACCGACGCCCACTCAGGAGCCCAGTTCAAAGCTGTGGGCCGCCAAGGCCCTCTAAAAAAAAAAAACCAGAAGGGGTTGCTGAGGTATTCGGGCTTGCGGAAGTTGCAGTCGCGCTTGGACGCTTTGGTTGAGAAGAGGAAATGGGCAAGGGCAACAGCACTTCCAGTCTGAAGCCGTGCCGCGAGTTGAGGGGGTTTAGGGTTTAGGGTTTAGGGTTTAGGAAATTGTGCGCCCACCCTCCCTGGTTGGAGATACGGGAAAGTTCATGGAGCCCAGGAGATTTCCTCGTGGATCCTTCGCGACAGTTTTTCCATCCGGCTTCCGAATGTGTCAGCAGGGAGGTTGTTGCCAAAACATTCGGGTAAACTGTCGAAAGGTTCGGGATTTACAAGAAGAAGGTCAAAATTCTTGTGAACGACTGAACCTGTACGTTTGGGGCGTGGGCAATTTTCATTGACGTAAAATGTACTGTACCTGCCACAACAACCGAAAACAACAGTGCCCGTATAGGAGCCTGCTCCGACTCCAAATTCGAAGAAATCTCATTATCATTGTAGTATATTGTAGTGAATCGACAGTTTCCGTGGGCAAGAGGAGTTAGTTGTGCAACCACCAAACCACCCTGGAACTGCAGATGAAAGGAAAGTCGCAAGCCAGGAAAAGTCCACAGGTCTGTTAACGGGAGCATTTGTGAGGTTACATCTTGGGGTTTAGGAAGAAGTGACCTTGCGAACGGCACACAGGAGGCACAAAATTGCTAAATCCGTGCTTAAACTTCTTACTCGTGCACGGGTGAACACCATTCTTATTACATCTGATTCTTAAGGCCCTATGAGAAGTACAAAATATTCTGGGCTCTTTCCCAATGATACTTACTTAATGACAGTCTTTTGCCCGATCGCAGGCTTAATGAATTCTTGGTGCGTATTTCACGGCTATTAATTATTAAAGCTGCGGACGAAAATCGCGGACTGTTGAAAAAAACTGCCTGGGCTCTTCTTGTGAACTGCTCGGCTGGCTAAGGGCATGCGCTGTTGCATCGGGTTGTTGCCAGCCCATTGAGCCTGGGGCTGACGCCAGTTTCTTTCCAGCCTTAGGGATTTTTGTTTTTGTCCCTGCCCTTCTTCCCTTCTATCGTCCATCCCACCACCAACCCCCCTTCACCCCTAAGGAGCAGGCGCCGAAATAGGCATGGCTTCCCCACTTTAACTGGAACGCTGCATCTACACAGGCCCATTTTTGAAGACTCCGTAAGATTCTGCTCCCAAAAACCAGCTGCCTCGGCCTCGGTCATCCTGCCGATATTCACCAGCTCCTGTGCAAGGCTCCGATATGGATCAAGATCATGGTATCCTTCTCCAGTGAACGGCTCACAAAGCTCCTGTGCAATCTGGCGCAGTGCTTCTCGATCTGAAGAATACTCCCGCCTGCCCAGAACATGTGTTTCAGCATGACTGGCGCTTGGAAGCATGGAGTTTCTGGCAAAGGTGGTAACTGCTGACATGATGTGGTCAGATTGGAAGGCTGCAAGCCTACCAACGAAGATAACTGATCAACAGCGACTCAATTCAGTCTGCGCATGTCTGTGCCCAGACATGCACTTGCGGCTATCAACGAAGATAACTAACCAACAGCGACACAATTCAGTCTGCGCATGTCTGCGCCCAGATAAGCACTTGCGATGCCCACTCGATCAGCCCTTTCTGACTTGCTGCATAATCTGCACTGACTTCAAATCTACAGGCATTAAGGGTTCTGCGACCGCTTTCCTTCACCTTGACACTTTTTTTGGCACGCGCAGACCCTCTCGAGTGGGTGCAGGCTATATACACACGCACACACCCGTACTGCTGCTCGATATGATACGTGATGACATGGCCATGAGGACATGATGACATATAGTGTTGCCATGGCATGAGGCCAAGACACTGTGTGACACGCATGCCGTGGATTTGATCCTGAAGTGCACGATGATAGCTGATCTTGCTGTCGGCATTTCTGCCGTGTTGCAGAAATCTTCGCTACGACCAGGTTGCCAGGGCCGAGCAGTTTCAATGTGGAGACGTGGATTGAAAGCAGTGACTAAAATCACCCAACGGCTTAAGCTGACCTCCGGGACTACCAGTCATGGTGTTGGAGATGCTCAAGGATCTTCGGCCGAATGCGTCTAGTCATGGGCTGTGAGTCACTCTCATTCATGGACATCTCATGAAAAATGACAGCAAGTATACTAGTGACAACACTATTAATAAGAATAAAAATAATGACACTAATATCGTGTATGGCCACTACCAAACAGCCCTCAGCACCGACAATTGCAATTCCTGGATCTAGAGGCCAAACTGCACGACAATTCCTGGCCCTCCTGTGCTACGTCACCGTCGGGAGTAGGCGCTGTATCCTGCCAACTTTGTGTCAAGAACTTGGCGTCGAGAATTTTGGGGGTCTCAGGATCGTATTACGGCTCTGGTGATGTTGAGGCATTGACAGGTCTATAGCTATTGAGTACGACTTTGCAAGATTGGGGATCTTTGTCATTTCATTGAGTCATGTGAAGGGTACTTGTTAAGAATTCATGGTTCAACAATGCGATGGCCGAGGAAAGACCCCCTGACATGCGCTGACGGCGACCTGTTCGTCCTGAACTGGGATCCATGAACATGCTTACAGTATGCGACGTCTCCGCCAGCATTGCAGCCTCCTCCGCCGCCGCCCCCTCCACCGTACGAGCCACCTGCAACAGTTCGAATCAATGCAGGGCTGCGACTACTAGCAACCTTGCAGCGGTACAGCCCTAGCCATCACTCAAAGCAGGACCTTCTTCTACAAGCTGTGCCGTGCACTGACTCGTGCTCAACCAGAGTGGTTTGCCAACTGAGTGGCCCTGCATGTTTTCGAGAAGGCGGTCTGACATGAACAATGAACATCCCTTGTGAAGATCTTCGTGTATCTTCGGTTTTTGACCAGGATTGAAAACTGCCGCCTCCACGCTGCTGGTACCGCTGCCCATGCTGGCCGCCGCCCCCTTGCAATCGTGTGCAAGCATCGTGCATTCTGCATGCATTCTGCGTGCATTCCTGCGTGCTCCTCAAAGCCAGGGCCTCCGGAGTACGAAGACCCTGAAGAGGGTGCACCGCCGTAGGAGGCCCTGCAAGGGAGCCCGATCAAGCGGGAGCTTTTTGAACTTTCCGGCTTCCGGATTGAAACGTTTTGCAGCTTGGAGTTTGGGGCAAAAGCTACAAAGGCTGCAAAAACTAGAACACGAGCGTTGCAAGCATCAATACCGAATCGAACTTGACTGATGCATGCAGCGTAAACTCACCCGGTCCTAGCGTTTTTCGCTGGTGGATAGTGGCCGCCAGATTCGTTGTACGGCCGTTTCTGCCTCACTCTGGCAGAGATGATACAGGGCTGCTTTCATGGGGCGGGTGTGTCTGACCATGACACGTGATGGCAGTTAAGAAAGGGTTACAATGCAGCTCGCACAAGACGCTCTAGCAAATATTTCCTGCCCACCGAGTGGCTAAGTGGATTCGTGCACATTGTACACAGACAGACGCGCTTCAGCCACATCGTGTCACATCGATTCTCTCAGAACCGCGAGGCAGCAGAACCCGCAAGAGGTACCAAAATGGATGTTGAACGTTATTGCAATTGAGTTTGTTGAGGGCATTGTCTCAAGCCCTCCTGAAACTAGCCGTTGGCGCCTCATGTAATCGTTCAACATATAAGCTGCCCGAAAACCATCAGCTGGCGCAGGGGTTTCTGACAAAATATTCAAAGCCTCCGGAAGAGCTGCGCCTCATCGGTACGATTTAAACCAAGACCAAATCCTAGATCGCAGACCTCCAAACCAAACCGAACAGCTCGTGACTTCAGTGAAGCCTATACCGTCAAGTACACACATCTCGGAAATATGCTCTGCATTGACCCTATGCACATATATCGTAAATCCCCTGCAAGACACTTGTACGCACCAGGCATGGCTGGCCTCCTAGGACCCCGCCCCCAGGCTCCCGGGCGCATATGTTGCCTGGCCTTGCGCGGGCGTGGTGCCTGCGCGGCCTGCGCCTGCCGAAAGAGAAAGAGAGGAAGCAATAAAATCCAAGATCTCTAATCCCCCTAGAGATCAGAGGATGTTGACGCATACGGCATGACACGATATGACAAGGCATTGCCGAATTCCAGCACGTCCTTCGGTTCGTAGAGCTTTTGTGATACGAAGGATCTCCGCAAAATCGAGCTTGCATCCACTTGTGCATATCTTTGCGGCGTTTCCACAGACAAGGTCATGAGATGCATCGATGTAGGGAGTCCTCATTTCTTTCTCCTGTTGAGGGTGATGGGAAAACACATGCACCCCCACTTGGGAGAGTCTGCTGAGCCAAACGAATGAGTACTTGCTTTCGAAAGCCAGGGGCCAGCAATGCTTGAAGAAAAGCCATCGAAAACAACTCCCCCCTCAACAGGACATGTTGAAGCTTCGAAGGATTCCAACATCACAGCACTTTTTCGGCTGTCTGCCATAGTGATATGCTGGAGTTGCTATGCAGCCGTAAGCCTACTATTCTTTTCTATACTATGGTCGCTCTTACTACCACTGATTCGACTGTTTCTGCTACTATTCCTACTCCTAGGACGAGCCGCTGCCGCTGCTGTTGCTAATGTTGCTGTTGACATTTCTTTGCTACTTCTTCTGAACATTACTAGCACGTTCATCATCATCAGGGTTTAGGGTAACCACCATGACTACCATTCACTGCAGCTCAACATACCATTAAAAACACAGCACGATCGGATGGCCTGAATAGCTGTTGTACGGCTGTCGTCCCTGCCTCGTGCCAGCAGACAGCTGCTTTTCAGGCAGCTGCTCACACGGACAGCAAGCAACAACATGCCCACAGGACAATTTAAACTTTCCTAACCTCAAGAATCTGCCATAAATTTTCTAGCTCCAACTCAGCACCGTACGTCGGCGGCGGAGGCGGTGGGCCTCTATTGTATGCCTGACGCGTTGGATTCCTGTGTCTGCAAAGTGTTTCGATCTGAAGACCGAAAAGCCGAATCATGAGAGTCTCGATCAGGTCTTTGTGCTGCCCCAGAGTAAACCCTAAACCCTAAACCCTAAACCCTAAGCCCTAAATTACTCAGCACCAGAAAAGCCCTTTTGCCGAGCTGAAGGGATCACTTGATAAGGGCCCGGACCCCTTTGCCATGGTGGGCCTTGGATTCCACGACGGGCATCACCGAGTTCCATGGAACAAGCAGAGTAGAGCTGAAAACGTTCATGCAAGGACCTCTGGGGGATGGACGCCTTTGCCTTTGTCGTAGGCTGCTGGAGCCTTGAGTTGCAAGAAAGCTGGAGCAAAAAGAGACGACATGCACAGTCCGAAGCAACCATTCATGCAGAACGCCTGTGTCTGGCCGCTGCCAGTGTGTCAGCAAAGCCGTCCAAAAAAACATAAGCGCGACAATGTTTGTCAGTACCCAGTGGCACGCGACGACTTGACTTGCAGAGCCGCTTGCACCGAGAAGTAGTGACAACCTTCAAGCTGCTGAAAACTCACCCCAAGTATCCCCAAATATCCCCAAATATCCCCAAGTATCCCCAAATATCCCCAAATCCTGAACTTTTTGAACACAACCTGCTGGTCTCCCTGCGAGGCCGAGGCTGTGTTCGGCCGCTGGAACTTCAGCAAGGCGAGTTCCTCAGGGCTTCAGGGGAGCTGCAGCAGTGTTAGGGTTTAGGGTTTAGGGTTTAGGGTTTAGGGTTTAGGGTTTAGGGTTTAGGGTTTGCCAGGCAATCACAGTTGGTGCCAAAGCTGGCGACGTCGTTGACGCGGAGTGTGTGAAGATCCTGGTTGATAGAGGGAGCATCCCTAGAGCCCTAGAGTCGAGGCCCTGGAGTTGTGAGCGCCATGCTGTTTCGGTGGGCCATCGGAGGTTGGCCCAAAAGGTGTTCAGGTTTTTTGACGAACAGCTGTGGTTGGAAGAGCTTCTTCTTGTGACATTCCCACCCTGCAATTCAAAGCGGGCTCAGCCAGAGGCCAGTCCACTTCAGCCGGCCACATCGATGCTTATGCTCCCTCTTGTGGTGTGGAGATGTGTGGAGGATGGCGGGGGCTTCTCTCACCAAGTGCCTGTTTGCTTTTGGCCCGGACTGTCGCTGATGTGCCCTTCTGCAACGGAACGGATTGGAACAGGTCCACGAGCACCCTGAGAGTGCATCCCGTCGGGGCAAGTCGGCAGGGTTCTGCCCAGCCATTCCTGGCACCTTTCAGCTTCCTTCCTACTCCCGCAACCAGTTACGAGTGCGACTCAAGGGGCCAAGGATTCGGCGAACCAGATGAGCCACTGCTTGTAGTTCTAGCTCTCATGTCACTTGACTTTGCTGGGATATGGAGCACTACCCCCCGACATGTATGCCAAAGGCTCGTCGCCAGAGTCGATGCGCAGTTGGCGGTCCCGCCTCGCGTCCTGCAACTTACCAAGGCCCATGTATAGAGTAGAGTCAGTAGAGTAGCGGTCCAACCCCCGGAAGTCATCCGAAATGTTCCGAAACTGCAAGAAGACCGACGAAACCACCAGGCGCCTCATGCGCCAGCCCCCAAGTAACGCAACCATTCAAGTTCTGAGATGTATCTAATTCAAGGGTCAGCCACGCACTGAGAATGCGATGTGTGTCGATGCTTAGCCATAGTTCCCGCCAACTCAAACCAATTGATTGACATATTCCTAAACCCTACACCTAAACCCTAAACCCGAAAGCCTTGCAGGTCCAGAGTCTCTGTACTTTACTATGGATATGCTTCGGCGCTCAAAGTAAAATCTACTGACGCTGAAGGGCCCTTGAATGCTGTACGTCAACGAAGTACAAACTAAGTAACATGTACATTCATCCACATATGTAAACCAAAAAGCATGACTATTTGTCTTGTGATATTCTCACTGGTTGAAGACTCCAATGCCAAATTGTTTCTACATGTTCTATGGCGGATTGACTGAGAACATGCTTAAGTTATAGCTCAGTCAGTTGTTGTAATTCAACTAGCGGAACAAATAACTGAGGGGGGGGGGGAGATGTAGCAAACAGATCTATGTATATATATGTATATATACATAGTTCTCTTATAGTTCTCTTGTTGGGGGCATCCTGCCCGGTGCCTCGGTCAGGCGTACGAAGTTGTCCAGGGGCGTGTCGTGGCTCAACTGGGGCTCCAGTGAGCTGCTGGAGGTCATCTCCACCTGAGCTCACGGTTGAGGGCTGTTGGCATTAGGGAATTTCGTGCTGTGAAACCTGGTCTTCCACACCTCTTTGGGTTCTGCTACAGGTGCTGTAGGTCCCATGTGTTGGGTTGTCCAGTCTGGATGCTGGACATGTTCTGTGTCAGTTGGCCGGGCACGTGGCCTTGCATTCGGGATGCGTTTTTACATGATTTTGTCTGTTTGATTTTTGTCTTTTGAAGGTTTGGATCTTGTCCCGCAAGCTACTTCCCGATGTTGTAATAGGAGAACCTCTGTATGTTTTCTATATTCTAAGCCGCAAGCCGCTTTTTCTAAAGGAAGACCTCCATTTTGTTTGTTTTCTGATAGGAAACCTCAGAAGATCTCTGTACTTGAATCAGAAAACATTTATTCCCTCTATGCTTTAGTCGGACAGATCTATTTCCTCATACTTCAATCGGAAAACCTCTATTCTTCTCCCTTGTTCATAGGCCGGCCACTAGTAGATCAGTACATTCACATATTTCGATGTTATGACATTGTTATGTTCGTATAGCAACCTACTACTACATTTTGTTCTGAATATATTCGTACAAATATGTTATACCATACTATACCATATCATACCATATTATACTATCCTATACTGTATTACCCATATCATCCCTTTTCATACTTGATTTTACTATTGTCCTATATTATACTATTCGCCTGCTTGATGTCACTATTGCATTCTTGGATTATCAACCCCCCCCCCCCCCCCCCCCCCCCCCCCCGCAGCCCCCCCCCCCCCCCGCCCCCCCCCCCCCCCCGCCCCAAAGAAAACAAAAAACACAAAACGTGCTGTCTTCTCTTCCCCCGTTCCTTCTCTCATTCCTTGCTCCCTCCTTCATTCTTGCCTGCCTTCCGTCCTTCCTCCAGTCCTCCTCCCTCCTTCCTTCATTCCTTCCTTGCTTCCTTCCAAAAGCAAAAAAGGAATTTCTAGCCAAGATGGAGGTTTGACGAATAAAATACAGTCTCCAACTGAAGTGTAGAGAAAATACAGGCCTTAATTTCAATGCAAGGCGAATACTTGTTACATTAACATGCAGAGAATTAGCTTACAAAGCCAAACCCTACAGAAAACTCTCCTTGTTTTTGGTCTCTTTGAGGCACCGAAGCGGTCCACTAGTACCTTGAACGATGCATGGGATTTGGCACAGAATTGTGGGAAGACACGTCGTTTCACTACGCGGTACGTGCAGCCTGACACGCTGTTCTGATGGAATATTGCAATATTTAGCCCGGCTACTTCCAAGGAGCCTCAACAAGAACTGTGGGACGGGCTGGCTGGGGTGTATCAGAATTTTTCTCAGACCTTGCCGCGTGTGAGGATCTGACCGTGTCTTTCACCAGGTTGACCAGGCCCTCCGTCGACTCCACTCCGAAGCTCTTCAAGTTGAAGCCACGTTTGTAGTACCTGGGGTATGGGGGCGCGAGTGCAACGTAGCGCAACACATGAGAGAGCACGCCTAGGAGACTTTAGGGGTACCTGAAGGAATGGAACGGAAATTCACCCCGGTGTTTGTCTAGGTCGTTTAGGCTTCTTTCAGTTCGTCGAATTGCCAACTCATTTGGGTGTGCCTCCTTGCGAGCAGCTACGGAAGCGAAGCAGGGGAGATGAGACTTAGGCATCGCCATGTCTCTACATTCGGTGCCATGTTCGGCCTGATTATGGGGCAAAGGGCACTTCTGGTAGTAGAAGCTGAAGTGGTTCTCTTTGAAGCTCGGGCGATCAGGGTCGTCCTCAATGCAAGGGGCGTAACTTCGTGAATGCAGCAGAGCACAAAGCAAGAACTGCTCCGTGTCGAGGAGCCTCTTCAACCCAGCTTGCAGGTTGTGCATCCGGGTCGATCCGTCCGGTACCCTAGTCCGCTCCCGAACCTTCGAATCAATGCCCCTGGCCACCGTAGCAAACCGGTCTTTACGTTTAATTCGAGGCTGCTTGCCCACTTTCCAGGCCATGGTTTTTTGTAACTTGTCTCCAGGCTTTCGCCTGTTCGTATCAGCTTGGCTTTGCCACCTTTAAGAATGAGCCATTGCCACTGTTTCTTGGCGCTTTCAGGGTTGCCTCTTCTTGTGGTCCTTTAGCATGTCTCTCCTAGTTCTGTGAATGCATAGTCACGGCCGTAGACCGGCCGGTTATGTACAAACTCATGCAGTTGACTGGAATATAACATCGAATGTTGAAGACGGGGTAGGCAGCCTTGTCGAGTTCAGGGCTAGGCAGGTACAAGGGTTTGCTGATCGGGACTGATTCAAAGTGCCTTTCGGTTTTTTTACGCACGGGGGCAGCGTCCACACCAAAACTGTGGCACTGAGCTACTGGCCAGGTCATGTCGGAAGGCATGACAAAGCAGATGCAGCCTGCGACTCCCGTAGGCTTCAGATCTATGACAAGTCAGTCAGTGACAGATTGCAAGGAACCTACCTGACCAAAATCAAAATCAGGGCCGCGACCAGCACATTGCCAGTACGGGTGCCTACCATAGAGAAAGCTCGCTGTTGGAATCCGAGGCAGGAGCTCGAATCTCAGAGTAAGCAGCATCCAGTCCTGCCCAACTGCAGTTCAGTGCAAGGGCACCGCGGCGTGCAAGAACGGCACGGAACACACTCCTTTCGGGAGGCCTGTTTGTCGAGAGTGGGTAGCAGGTAGCATCAGCTACGTCTTGAGGATGCCATCTCTACATATGAGCTAAGTATTTCTATCAGTAACAACCACTTGCAGAATGCCTAGTTTCTCCTTTGCTTCTCTGACCCGAGCTGCAGCATGCTACAACACACTGCGATGTCCGTTGCCATGAAAGATGCTTCTGGATGGCAGCCGTGATTGTCTGCTGCACCCCCAAGTAATCCTCGCAGCTTTCGCCTCTACATGGCCCGTACGCTGTCGCCTCGAAGGTAAATTCTGCGAAGAGCGGCTCTCCGTTGCCAAGGTCGGTGACATCCTCGCGCAGTGCTGACAATTTCGTGCGACAGCGTATCATCCATGCTTCTGACTGTCAGGCGCAGCCAGTGCGCCGGGTTCAGACAAAGGCTAAGACAGGCTTTACCCATGGGAGTCAGCTGTGCACGCACCGTGCGCAAGGGATGAGGTGGGAGTGCATTTTTGACAGCACTATCGTCCTGCTTGGGTTTTCGCGAGAAATGCGCGATGAGGGCGCAGTGGACGGCAAACAGTCTGCGACCCATGCGTGCGCATCCAACAACCACTAATCACTACGCATCAGGCAACACAGTCAAGCACAAATACGCACGCACACACACACACACAACTTCACAGAAGTGATTAATCGGTGCTCGCAGTATCAGCCGTTCCAGCCAACACTATGTACAATTGAGTGTCTCGGTGGGATGAAGGGGGATCTTCCCGAAAAAGCTGAGGAAAGCAGTAAGTAGAAACACAAAGGCTGCAAACAAGCAAAGCAAACAATATCATGTGGGGCTACGCATTTCAGAATCGGAAAGTTGTCGCTGCATGGTCCATGGCCTTATGTACGAGACGAGATCTTGTTTGGACTGAATCACAGACAGTCAACTTAGGAAGCTTGTACTGTAGTTTCGTCTCCCGTGAAACTCCTCGATGGCGAAAGGATCCAGCGAGGCAGCCTTGGAAGACCGGGGAGAATTCCGGGGGTATTCTGGGCCGCACGCTCAGTGGCGCCGCCTGTCGCCGCATATGCTACACCCGTTGTGCCGTGCATTCTCGTCACAGTCACCTATGCTGCAACCCTAAACCCTATACGGGGGCAACCGAAAGGGAACAGGGAAAGAAACCAACCCTCAACAGTCGCCTATATAGATTTCCCAGATCGAACCAGAAACAAGAACACCCAACCCTAAGGGGACAGGATAAGGGAGAAGGGACGGGACTACTCCAACCCGTTAAACCCAACCCCAAGCGTACGTACTTTTTCAACAAAAGCTGACGGCTCTCGGCCATCTTGAGCCATAAAAGATTTCCGGGTACGTTGACCCTTCCAACTCCCAACACCCTTTCTACAATACCAGCTGCAGCTCCGCACTCCCCCTGTCCTAGGATTTCCTAGGACACATTGCAGGTGCAGATCTTTGGCCAAAAACTGCCATTAGGGCAGCAGCCAGCTGCTTGAAATGCACAATATGGTTTTACGTCATCCAGGACGAAATTATAGCACATTGGCTAAACCCACTAACCACAGAGAATCTTTTTCCACCATGATCCTCTTATCATTGAAGACTCTTCGGCCTTCTTCACCACAAACCGTGGTCTTCGCTACGCGAAAAACTACTGACTTCTACTATCAGGGATTTCCATACCCTTAATAGTAACCACCACATTTTCAGCGCATTGGCCGATCCAGCGCACCTGTCTCCAGAAAGAGAAAAACCATCCTTTCATCCATACCATCCAATCACTTCTTTTTCCGATGGTTTGCAATACTGAGGTGAAGTTGCAGCAGAATATACTCTAGGTCCGAAACTGTAAGAACAGGATCCTGCACGCACCTTTGAATTGAGGATACCAATCCTTCTCTCTTTGCGTCCTCAATCGCTTGGCAAGATTGACCCAGCTCTGCATTCACAGTGGTAGACGCTTGCGCATCCACATCAGAGGGACGATCCTTTTCCTCAGTACCTTTCACCACTACCACCTCTTCCTTTTTGGGGCTCTGACTTTTCTCCTTCTTCTTCGTCTTTCCACCGACGTTTGACTTTGTGCGCATTTTCGAGGCTTTTTCCCCTGCAGAAACCACCGCATTGGATGATGATCCACCCTTCTCAATGATCGCCGGCATCTTCTTCGGCTTTGGAACCATGAGAGTGTAAGGATCTTCGATAGCTGCAGTTTTCCTCTTCTTTTTGACCTTTTTTACCTCCTCCTCAACGGCAACCTCCGTCTCCGAAGTCTCAACCACCTCCTTTTCGCAGGCATATCCTTGCTGGACTCCCTTTCTAGGGACCTCTTTTTGCCCCTTTTGGGCCTTCAGCTTCAGCATTGCTAACCATATCCGCATTGGGATTCATACCCACATTGGGGTCTTCTGCAACCAAGGCTTCTTCCAGATGTTCTTCAGCGCCAGGCATCACCTCTTCCAGCACCGCCCTTTCACCCAGAGACTCAGCTGCACCATTTCCAGCTCCACCATTCTGTTCACCATCCGAGGAAGGCTGGAGCCATCGCTTGGGAGAAGGCATTGCTTCTTGATCCCAAAGATCTTAAGAGAACACTCAACCGCAGGGAACCTAACTTGGGCTCATAACCTACGGGGGCAACCGAAAGGGAACAGGGAAAGAAACCAACCCTCAACAGTGGCCTATATAGATTTCCCAGATCGAACCAGAAACAAGAACACCCAACCCTAAGGGGACAGGATAAGGGAGAAGGGACGGGACTACTCCAACCCGTTAAACCCAACCCCAAGCGTACGTACTTTTTCAACAAAAGCTGACGGCTCTCGGCCATCTTGAGCCATAAAAGATTTCCGGGTACGTTGACCCTTCCAACTCCCAACACTAACTCCTTTCTACAATACCAGCTGCAGCTCCGCACCCTAAACCCTAAACCCTAAACCCTGAACCCTAAACCCTAAACATCAAGCGGACTACTCGAGCAACCACCGGGAGGCCAGCGTCGATCTTCATCTCCTCTGGCTGATCCGGCTCCTTCTTGGCGGGCGAAGACTTTTAGAAGATGCATGCACCGAAGGTGCGCGTTCTGACAAGCAGGTGTGACTACGAAAATGCACACCTTTGCATGACACATGTGTATATACATATATGCCCAATTCAATATGATATAACCAAATATAACCATATATATATATATATATATATATATTATTTTATGTGTATATATAGGGATATATTATTTGAGACTGCTCTCCTCCTGAATGAATATCCCCGAAACATCACATCTCGATGTCAAGCCCCGCGAAGGCCCCCGGCCCCCGACCCCTCAACTTCCACATGACAGGGCGCTGCCTCTGCCTTCTCATTGCTCTCCTCCGGCTTCTCCTGCATTTACGGCTTAGGGTTTAGGTTTTTTTTTTCAACCCTGTGCACCTTTTCTAGTGCAGGCCACTGGCCAGGATTTAGGGTTTAGGATTTAGGGATTTAAGGATTCAAACTGGGATTTTTGGAGCCAGCGCGGTGGCTGCACAAATGTGTCTTTAGGGTAGTTCATTTCTCTCACTTCTCTCACTCTTCATGTCTGTAACCAGGGAAAATTGACCCGGAAATCCACTATTAATCCAGACCTTTTGACCCTTTCTTGGGGGATATCTTCATGACCAGGGAACGGATCTCTTGCCGCTCACGGGGTGCACTTGTAAAGGTGTGAGTGAGTGAAATGAATGTGTGAGCAAGGAGCATGAACTTATAATGCTCAACGAGCTCACGGATGAATAAGCGAACGAAGCTAGCGCATGAACAGACAACAGCCCCATTCTTTTCTTATTCACTAAGTGATTCACAATCGTACCATGTAAGGCTGGAGAACCTAAGTCGAAGAACTGACCCTGACTCTACCGGAAAATCAAACTACTCGACCAGGGATAGGGATTTCACTGGCCGTAATTCGATTGACCGAACAACGAGGGCCGAATCGGCCGCCTTCGCGCGAACTATAGCCAGCCGACCCCCGAAGGCCAAGTTTTTTGAAGAATCTCGAGGCCGAGTCTCAGAGATTACAGCCGAACCGATGCCGAAGAATTCCTCGGTAACGGGGGTTCCCCAGGAAGCCCGGAGCGGCTCAAAGCCCGGATGGGGTGGGGGGGGGGGGCCATTCACACAGGAGGGCCCAACACTGTGCCTCAAGCCTATTTCCCCCGCAACCGATGCACCTTCTCGACCTCTTCTCCCTCCTCTGCTTGACCACCGTTCTCCTGAGGCAAGCGTGGCGTGCGCCAGGCTACATGTGCAAAAGATAGCCATGTCGCAAACAGCAAGCTTGTGAACTCTGCGCAAGAAGTCTACACATGCAATCGCGTTCAGGGTACTTGTCAATTCACCTGACGAAAAGTTTTTGTGAAATGTGGTATCGTCTTTGCCACTCGCTGCTGCGACGGGTAGAAGTCCAGGTTTCTGGCATGTGATTCATCTTGGAACGCCCTCGTATTCAAGGCGAGACTCTCGAGACATTGACAGGGAGCTGTGGGGCGAGAACTTGGCGCGTTCAAGTGATACTGCGGATAGAAGGGAAGGCGCGGAAGTATTGCAGGGTTCTTGCGGCCCTGGCATGTGGCATGGTATCAGGACTGCTTGCCCTGCCCATCCGTTGTCTCGCAGCTTCACATGGCACACCAGCCAATGGCATGTTACTTTACAAATGTCCGGGGAGGTCATTTCTGCACCCGTTTTTGGGAGTCTTACAGTACTTACCTCAAGGGCAGTTGGTGCCGAGCCTAACTACAGGGGATGACCACGGAACCATTGTGGGACCTCCTTGCCCCATGGCCATGGAACCTCCGACGATTGTCTGACTCTTTGTCAGAGTTCCTGTGCATTTCGGTTCCCGATGCACTTTCGGGTCTACGTGTGCATCCCCCATGCCCCCCCCCCCCCCCCCCCCCCCCCCCCCCCCCCCCTCCCCCCTCCCCCCCCCAACCCTTCAATGGCGCCACATGAACTTGCGCCCTTTGCTTGAACCCCTGCGCCACGCGGCCCCAGGCCAACTCCGAACCCGAGAGCGAAGGCCAGGAAGTGACTCAGGTTCAGTTTTGCTGCAAATTACAACAGCATCTCAAGATATTTCAAAGTCTCAGACGATGAAAACTGCTGCAGCTGGCTGCGGGCCGGCACGTGCGAAATGTACATGCCATGAGTTGGCATGCTTTAGCGCTTTGGGGGGTTTACTTGAGGTTGCCACTCCTCCTTCTGTACTTGAATTTCTGTCAATTCTTTACCTGTCCACGACGTTCGCTGTTCGCCCCTCGTTCGTCACTTTGGTTTTTCCTTTCTGGCTGTCTTCGTTCTTATGTCCGATTCTTTCTCAGTTGTTCTCTGTTCATCTATTACATCAGTTATCATCAGTTCAGTCTGGTGTTCGTTCTGTTTTGTTTGTGATTTGGCTGGTTTGTTTCTCTTCCTCGTTCTTGGCGTCACCTTAATGTATTCTGTGTGGCTCGTCCCTTGTCTTCGGTCCAAAGCGCAAGCAGAAAGATGTAACAACAAAAGCTCCTTGTTCCTTCCCATGTCCTGTTCTCTCTGAAGTTTCGCTGCTGCCTATAGTTCTTTAATCTGTTTCTTCCAAAGCTTATGTAGACAAGCGCAGCCAACACCACGGTACTCACCCCGAAGCCGTACGACCCACTCTCCCGCATAACTCGTTGGCGAACTGTTGAGTTGAGGTAGTTTGAGTCTGGAGCGTGCCTACAGTTTGGGACTTGTCACCGGCCTCAGCTGTCTCGTCGTTCTTCTCGTCAGGCTTGTCGTCAGTCTTTTCGTCCGGCTTCTCGTCAACCTTCTTCTCCTCTTCCCTCGCCTTGGCCTGCATCGGCTGAGGTGAAATGAGCTAAGAGAGACTTAGAGGACTCACGGCAAAATGGGGGACTTGTAGGCAACTCAGGCCTTCAGAAAGCAATCGAAGGCAAAGCCCGCCAAGCTGTGCTACAAGTCCTGTCATGAAGGCCCTCGGTGCTGGCGCACCTGCTCCCGTCTTTTCTTCGCCATCTCCATCGCTCTTCTTCGGTTTGGGTCCTGGCTGGAAAAGCGCTTTGTCTTGATTCAAGCGAAGGTGTGTGTGTGTGTGTGTCTCTGCACAAGAGACGGGCCATTGGAAAGCGGCACCAAAAAGGGGTGAGGGGAGTTAGTCAGCTAGTCAGCCAGTCGGTTCGGTGCGCATGCGCCAACGGCTCGGAATACGAGGGGCTCCCTTGCACCTAACTGGATGAGGCATGGCGCGTCCTTGAAGTCTTGATGTGCTCGCTTCCTTGGCCCCGAACCCTAAACCCTAAACCCCAAACCCTAAACCCTAAACCCTGTCGAAGTGAATTTAGGGTTTACGACAGCATTGAGCAAATTGCGAAGATGCCTGGCAAACAGCTGGCACAAACCCATCCCTAAAACTCCAAGACCTATGCCCCAGCTTCCAGCAACAAAAGCTGTGAACCTGAAGTCATCAACTCCAGAGCCGAGAGTCCATGAGCCCAGCATGCGATTCCACTCGTTGTGCTTTTGCCGGAACCACTCCGAGGGCCTTGGCCGAGGGCGCAGATCCATGCTTCAGATTTGCTTCTGTGATAGAAGTGAAAAATTAGGTGTCCCGTTGCATCCACCCTACGGATGTTGCCGGATCCCATGTGTCTGGAGTAATACCTGCTGCCTGCACGAAGCCATGTGCAACTCTCTACAGAAGGGTGGGGAGTCCTGACCGCACCAAACTCCAGTAATTAAATAACACTACTGCGCGCTCAAAGACGGGGGCGCGACATCTCGACTCATGGAGACGAGCGTTGCTATGCAACTTAAACAACAAACGCTTGTGCTCCCCACCGCCACCACGAATGTGGATGGAGTGAAGTCCCAGTCCCGGCCCCATGTATACATTACCTGGTCTTAAGGAGTCGGGAGATTTCGGAGGGTTCGGATGCAACCGGATGAATATGACTCATATGACGGCTCAAGGTTGTATAGGCTCCTCCGATACCTCTCATCTCCTGCTTCCTTGGCGGCGACAAGGTGGCGAGGAGGACAGCGCACTGCCGCGTGAGAGCGCCGGATACACAGAAATACACGGCTGTGCCAGAAACTGTGCTAACGCCGCCAACACAAACACATTCTCCTGAACTTCGAGTACTCCATAGGCCCACCTGGGCTACCGGCTGCAGATCCTCTACACGCTGGGTCATCTTTCGCTCCAAGACCTGAGTGTGGCGCTTGCAGTGGATTTGGCTCCCCTGAAACATTGACAAGCATGGAACAGGGTGCTCCGCAAGTCAACTGCATCGTGACATGAGGGCACGGCCCACTTCTGGAGGTATTCCTTGCATTGTGCTTCCTTGTACCACAGGAAGGTCACTTTATCGCACCCTGCGGCAAGGGAGGGCAGTGAAAAATGATGCCTTGCAGCAACCCTCCGCTGTTCAGGAGCTTTGACAAAAAGTCGTCGCTGTCATATTACGCCCGGGCTGAAAGGCAAAAGGGTCGAACATGGGCAGCAATAATGTGTGCTCCCTGCCTGCGCTCCTACTTGCTAACACTGGTATAAGAGAAGTTTAGGGGAAAACTGGTTGGACTCATCCGCTGCGCATCCGACTCCCCAGTGATGTCCCGTAGGAGCTGCGCAGCGCATCCTGGCTGTCACACAACCATCCTTGCCTTCCTCTGCAGTCGGCAATGTGAACTTCTCGTAGGATGAGGACATGTCCTCAGGTTTGGGGAGGCAAAGTCTGCGAAAGCTAGGGTCCCTGCTCTAAACTTGTATTGGGTCTCCGCCGATCTGTCGGGGTTTCGGGCCCTCCCGAGACCGCCAACTGTGTGCCTTGACTTTGGTTCATCAACACTCTGAATCTAGAAACCCAAATCCCCACATGCACCTTCGAGGTGAGGTCCGGAACATCCTTGCGGCGGAACCAGAACCTCGGGGTTCAGGGGGCTTTGGCCGATGCAGCGGCCTGCTGTTTAGGAGGCTGGGTTTAGAGTTTAGAGTGTTGCCATGTAGAGTACAAGGAGGCAGGAGCATGGTCGGTAAGTCAAAATGCTTGATGGCAGTGCGCCAACAACACGTCGGGCCCTGCAGTATTCTTACCTCTCCTGCCTTTCCTGCCTTTGATACAAATTGTCAATCGTCCGAAAGGTCTGGCATGTGTATTGGGTAGCTGCATGCGACAAAGCGTCTTCTTCTCCTCTTCCGTCAGAGCCACCTGGACCTGGCATACGGACCACCAGAACACAGCATTCTGCCGTTAAACAGGTTGCACTGGGCACTACAGGCGGCGAAACTTGATCTTTTGGGGGGACAAACCTTCATGCAGTGCATAGCTAAACATCAAGCCTCCTCCATGGGCTCATCTTTCGCTTCTTCCGCCTGGCGACACCATCAATGTGGTGAGCTTATGAGTGAGATAACATGGGCAGTCTGCAAAATTTATATCGACCACGTGCAGGACAAGTAAGATGCTCTCATTGCGACCCACTTCTCATCTAAAGCATTGCCAGGATGCCGGTATGATCTCTGTTTAAAGTTTGCCACCTCTGGCAAAGATGTTCCTCTCAACTAACGGCGACGTCAGCTGCATTCTGTGGGAGATTCCGTCATACTCCATCGACACCACAAATCTCAAAGGCAAACCCTGTCATGTCAACACTCGATTTGCCTTCTCTTCCTCCTTAGCTTCTTCCTTTTCCTCTTGCTGCTCCTCTTCTTTGCCCTCCTCTTTCTCATCTTTTGGCTCCTCTTCGCCTCCTGCCACGAGCTTAAACCGACACCCTGGAGGACACCACCCGGAGCTTGAGACCGCTAGCCCGAACTCTTCACCTCAGCAGCCGTTCCAGGCGACACTTCGACGAGGGCTTTGCGCAAGTTAGTTTGGGACTGTAGATAGTGACCATCTAGATGTTTAAGCATGATTCCAACCTCAACCCAGGCCCTAGGCTACGCCATGGTGCAGGGCGCCTTCTGCCCCATTTCCGTCCTGAGGCAGAAAGCATGCCAAGAAGGGTATCAGAACTATTCTGGTTTGAGACTCTTCGGCCAGAATCGGGCAGTTGCGCCAGGAATGCTACATATGACACGGGGCATCCTACTCAAACGTGTGTCGCCATGTCCAGCATGTCGAGCATGGCACCGTGTTAAACGTTGTTTGCTACGACGACGACGACAACGACCAGTCCTAGTACTAGCACTAGCACCAGCCCTACCCGGACCCCGACCACTACCACGACGACGACTACTACAACACAACGAACACAACGACGATTCCGATCTCCGCTGCATGCTCTTTCTGCGTCCATTTCCTGTTACTCTACTAACCCACTTGCTGTTACTACTAAAACTAGTCAGAGAATCCTCGGGAAGCCCCTGACACAGAACTGCCTATGGAATAAAAGCCCTGGCTCACGGTATCTCAGGGGAATTCAGGGGCGCAGACAGGGAAGAGCAATGAGAGCATCCGCCTTCGCAGCTTCGGCACGCTGCTTCTGCTCTTCGAGACGCCTCAGTCTGATAGGTTCTGAGGAACAAAAGTGTTAAAATAGCACTCTGCGAGCTTAGTTCCTCCTCACACCTTTGCCATTCATGTTCCACGCTGCTGTTTACAGCAGACCTCCAGGTCACAGCAAACCCTTTCAGGAGTTTAACTGAGCGAGGTGCTTCTTTCGCCTCTCTTCCTCAGCCTGCTTTGCAACAGCTTCCGCCTGCAAGAGGGACGAGCCGTGAGAAACATCAAGGTTGCGAAAACAGAAAGTTGGAGCAGAAGGATATACTTTACTTTTTAGAAGACTTCCCGTGGGCTCTGCATTTTGGGGTAGCGGCCACAAGCATGCCGCGTTGTCAGGCGATGCTTGCTGAGGCTTTGTGGGAATTGAGCAGTGATGCGCATGCAACCGAGTCGACAACATCGGCAGGCCCTAAGATCTATACGTCTCCAACTTACGACACGTTCCTGATTCCCTGGTGCCTTTTTCCTCTTCATTTCGGCTTCAGCTTTCTCCTTTTTCTCTTTCAGCATGACCTCCAAGTAGCGCAGGGAGGGGTCACACTCAACAGAAGGCCTTCCGGTACATGAAGCTGACAGATTTCTGTCAAGTGAGTGCTCCCATGGCCTCCTGGATGAAGGTCTTGTAATCCGCGGCTGGCTCCCCAACCAGCACTCGCACTTCCTGCTTCAAAGAGAAGGGCTCTAACCGAATGCTAGCTTGGCAAATGCGCTTCGGACTGTCAGAGGCTTCGTGGCTTTAGGCTGTGTAAAAGCAGAGTTTCTGGCTTGGTTCAGCACTTGCAGCACAAACAAAAACACGATTCTTTCTTGTGGAAAGGGCCATATCCTGAGCCCTGCATCACTCTACATCCCATCTGTGAGTCTTTGGAGGAGGTTCCAAAGCATCTGAAGCATCGTACACACCCTCCCCTGACATTCTGTGCTGACATGCCTTGCCTTCGTGTAGCAGTGGCTCGGAAAGCGTGCCAGGGTCTTCTGTCGCTCGTCCGCCAGAAGGTTGTTCTTCACCTGTACAAGTTGGGATGTTCTCCATTATACTAACAGTCCTTAATAGGGATGATAATAGGGGTACCATAGTCCTGTTTAAGGACTGTTAGTTTAAGGGGAACATCCCAATGTACTAGGCTCAAAAAGGCTCAAATTGACACAGACTGGTAGACTGCTGATTATGAACTAGATGGTGAGGGGCTGTCCTGACGTCACACTGTCCATACTCCTGCAGCATCCTACAGCCGTGTTCAGAAGCAAAGCTCCTCTCAGCAACGCAGATTTTTGTTGGCAACACGCTTTGGCCTCAGCAATGATGAAGTTGCGAGGCAAAACTGTGGCGAAGGCTTTCAGCACCTGGTCTCGGCGTTGCCATCGGTCTAAGCGAGTGCGCGCGCGCGCGCCGGCGGGTGGGTGGGTGGGTGGGTGGGTGGGTGGGTGGGTGGGTGGGTGGGTGGGTGGGTGTGGGTGTGTGTGTGTGTGCCCCCCCAAACATGCATAAAGAATCAACCTATAATTTCGAATTATCCAGAGAGATGCTCAACGGATGCACTCTGAGTACGGGGCTTTGCTGACACTGTAGTCCTTGGAAGCCCATGCAGCCGCAACGAGAAGGTCACCCCCCTAAACCCTAAACCCTAAACCCTAAACCCTAAACCCTAAACCCTAAACCCTAAACCCTGAACCCTAAACCCTAAACCCTAAACCCTGAACCCTAAACCCTAAACCCTAAAGAATCCAGCCATGGCTCATCCATCAGCGGCAGTCCGAAATTCATCTCCGGATGGTCATGGGAGCTCCTCGGCAGCTTCTGGGTCTGAACAAGGCCGGTTTTTGAGGGACTTCAGAGGCAACATTATTATTGATACCATTTTTTTGCTATGATTACTATTACTATTGATATTGTATTATTGCTCATAAATGATTATCATCATGTGACTGAACTTGCCGACCCTGGCTGACGTGATGACTCCAGCGAGGAAACAGATCACATGAGCTCACGCGCGGACGCATGCTCGAAACACGCCCCCCGCCCCCCCCCCCCCCCCCCCCAGACTTTGAGGGACCTCTTCACGTAGCCGCCAGATCGCTGAAGACCACTTTTGTTCTGGCGAGGGTTGGAGACAGCACCAAGTTCACCCAGGGAGAAGCTGGTATAAGACAAGGCAAACAATAAGTCGACAGATTCCAGAGTCAGAGATTCCGGGTTCTTCCGGCCAAGAGCTGCCACAAGCGTGTCGGAAGGGCGGCCCAGTCGAGGATCGAGCGGTCGCTAATCTCAGTGTAGTTCCTCAGCAGCTGATGTAGCACTTCGGGGCATACTTCGGCTGCAGGGTCTGTGGGCAACAAGTTCGGGTCTCAGAACCTTCAAAGCCTCTCAGCGTTGTGCGGTTTGGACTTGAGCCGACCAACCATACGAACATCATCAGCCTGCCCCGTGCACTCTTGCTGGGCTTCAGAGCCGGCAAAAAAGTTCAGCATTCTCAGCATCTTTGAATTAGTCTGTTCTGGTTGCAGCTCCCTCCCCCCCTCCTCATTTTGGAGCTCATGGCGCTAGGCAACACGACCACCACCATAGCATGACCTATGCCATCCACGCGCCACTTTTCCTCCGTCCAGCCCCCAAAAGGCCCCGGCTTGTTCTTGGACAAGAACTGGTCCACCCAGTCGAAAGTGGCTTCGTCCGGTAGGCCCACTGGCAAGAGCACCTTCGAGCAACACTTGTGCTTGAGTATGAGTGTCTGTGGCAAGCTTGACCCTCGCTATGTGTCGCAGAGCTGATGAGGCAACCAACTTTGTAGGACACCTTCGGGCACGCTAACTCACTGACTGATCCCCCGCCCCCCGAAAAAATCTGCTCTGGGTTCTGGTCGCGCTTAATCAACCTTGCGTGCAGTCCCGCTTACAGAAATGAGATCTTCCGGCCTGGTATTTGCCATCTTTGGGCACAGGTGATGTTCTCACCTGGTGGAAGAGGGCTTACTTTCGGTTCAGGCCGGAGGTCGGCGTAGCAATTGGGCTGGCCAGTGCACATGGTGGGGCCTCGCTAGTCGGAAGCACACGTGATGTTAAGTTGCGCTGCTGTTTAGGGCTTAGGCTTTGCACTTGAGCGATGTTCAAGAGCTCCATGTGGAGGGGGGAGCCCTTGGGAACCCTCCTGCCTCACTGTGTGTTTTCTGCACCTCCTGCCAGGTGTGGCACTTGAACGGCAGCGGCCTAGCCCAGGGTGAAGGCACTCTGACACGACAAGGACAATTCTGCAAGGCTGAAGGTTTTTTTTGCAGGATGTTGGAAAGTTCACTTCATGTGTTGGACAGGGCCAAGTTTAGAGACGGGACTTGTCTTATGGTCGAGGCGACACATACTTCCGTCAAGCATGTTCAGCCCTCACACAACTGCTCTGCCACTACAAAAGCCAAGCCCTGCTTCTTGCATCCCCTCTGCCATGATTCGTGTATAGTAAACCCTAAACCCTAAACCCTAAACCCTCAACCCTTAACCCTTAAACCCTAAACCCTAAACAGGCCTCAAAGGAGCCGCGCCGAAGTGCACCTTGCAAGACGGCAGCTGCCATCAAAGCATCTGGAGGTTGGGGAAGGGTTGGGGGTAGATGCTGTCTCTCGTAAACCCTGCATGCACCCACACGATGACAGTCCAAGGCTGCTCAGCCAGCATGCCTGTTCATCGATGGAAGGATCCTTGCCTGCAATTATGGTGCTTGCAGCGCCCCACTTGTTTCTTGGGAACCCCTGGTGGCCGTCAACATGAAGGTATCATGAAGGCGTCATGCCGCGTGGCATGAACCCAAGCTCTGCCGATTGCCCAGTTCTCAGCACAGCCCTTGTTGGGCAACATGCGTCTCATGGAGGCCATCCTACTGAGCTGAGTCCAATTGCAATTCAGATGTGAGAAGGAGGCCACACTTGTGTACAAGCTTGCTCTTCTCAAACTCCGCCGGCACGCGCTCTCGCCTTCCAAAGCGGCCTTTCATCTTCCACTTGGCCAAGCAAGATCTTCACCTGCAGCCTCGGCATGCTCTGGACGCCTTCTGCCGGTGCCAAGAGGCTGCAGGGCGAAAAAGGTTTCGTGTTAGATGCAGCAAGAATTCCTGCGCGCTGAGACATCCATGGCTGCTGTTGTTCGGAATACAGCAGATCCAGCGCAGGACCTGCTATGCAACCATCTCCAAAGTATGAAAGGCAAGTACAACCAACAGTTACACGGTCATTAAGCGATCCCACTAGCCAGGCTTGAACACTGAGCCAACCAAAGCACGAAAGCAGTCACCCAGGTTTTCGGTCTGACCTTGAACGGCCTGTACCAGTTAAGTAGACACACCAGACTCCAGACATTTCGACCTGTCCTCTTCTCATTGGTGCAAGTAACTTAAAATTAGGGTATAGGGTTTAGGGTTTAGGGAACGAAATGTTGACATGCACTCTGGCAACCTTCTCTCCCGCGGGTCGCCTGCACCGTGACGTTGCGGAACGTGATTGCAGGAAACAATGCCTGGCTTTTGCAGTGTGCCCCAGACCTGAAGAGCTCTGAAACCATTAAAGCCCTATCACCGCAAATCTAACATCCGGCACCGTATGGCAAGAGCTTCAATATAGCCAGTACTTGGGAAGGCTTTCGTTTGACAACTACAAGTCTGTCTATACTGGTCGAGAGTATGCTTTTGTAGGGCTTATAGTTCTTTGATATCGTACTGCAGGATGCGCCGATTGCCCGCATGTGGAGGCTGAAGTTCGCGCATGAAGTTGCAATATATATATATATATATATAATAAGGCCCAGGGTCTGATAATGGAGCTCTGAGACTTCGGAGTCTTTTAAGCACCACCCTCGCAAAGCCTGCGGCCTTGCACCAGGCCCTTCTGCCCTCCTACCTCTTGCGCAACATTGCCTGCGCAAACAAAAGGAGCCACCTGGCCACCTACCACCTGAAACCGGCAGCTGCCGGTAAACCCTGAACCCCTGAACCCTAAACCCTGAACCCTAAACCCTAAATCCTAAAACCTAAACCCTAAACCCTAAACCCAAACTCAACATCCCAGGTCCCCTTGCCAGCCTTGCCGAGCATGGACTCGGGCAGCTTTTGTGGCCTGGAGCGGGCAGTGCATCAAACACACATGTAATATAGGGTTTAGGGTTTAGGGTTTAAGGTTTAGGTTTAGTGTTTAGGATTTAGGGTTTAGGGTAGAGGGGCCTGAGTAATTAGAATAGGATTTTGGGGGGTTCTTCGAGTACAATTTATAAAGGGACCATAGGGGAGTATTGCCAGTACTTATTCTACCACACCAGGTCGCCTGTTCTCATTCTCAACGACGCTTGGACGTTTGGAATGTGGTTGTGCGGACGAGGGTGGCGGGTAGAACTTCCCAGGAGCAAGGACAGGTTTAGGGTGCATCTCGGCCCTTGAAAAGAACCGCAAGGACGAAATGTATTTCAAATTTCTGGGACATCTCAGATTGATAAGTCATACCTTTTTCTCTTTTCGGCCCGCCCTCTCTTTACGTTACACGAAAGCTGAGGCAGAAGCTGTGATGCCCGAACTCCATTGATGAAGAGGCTCACCGTGTTGGCCTTGATACGAAGATCCCCAGAAAGTGACGATGACGTCGTCTGGGTTAGAGTCGGGGCCGCGGATGTCTTGCATGCCCTGCCATGTAACATCATACTAAATATACAACAATACTCAATATACTAACAAATATACTAAATATACTAACACAGTTCACTCGATGTTCATCCGGCAACCTCATGGCTAAGTTCTGGAACACTGGGCTGCAGGCGTTGGGGCTGCTGGGATCTAAGTTCACCAGCAGCCCAGCCACCTACCAGTCTAAACCGAGGCAGGGTTCCGGGTGCGCATCTCAATCTCTATCTCGACATGAAGAACAGGGCAGCAGATTGTCATTCCTTGCTGTTGCAGAAGCCTTTCTTCAGAAACAGCTCAGCAGCCCCTTGGATGCTTTGGTGCCAGCCTGGCCATGCCAGAAGGTTTTGGACACCTGCGCAAGACGACATGTAGCTTTCAGATTGTGGTCATGATGCCATGAAGGGATAGATCACTCTGGCGCCCTTCCGCAAATGCTAGATTTGCATCCTCCTGGAAGCATCTCGAATGCTCATTAAGGTGCATGGTGGCGGTCTGCACCAAAAACATTCCCAAATTTTCCTCTCATGCTTAGCCAATAGCGCGCGGTTCGCTGCGCTGGTCTCTCCTGCCTACGTGGGCCAGTGTGGCGCACGAGCAATCGTTCGCCAATGCTCGTTTGTTATCTTTCACATTCTGTGAACTTCGCCAAGAAGACGAAACTCCTTTTTGTGCGGGACTACAAACTCTACACGTCGATCCCGACAAATTTCCAAGGACTGTGAGCGCTGCTCCGCAGCTTCCTCGATACTCGGTGCTGCGCAGCGCTAGTTTCGTGCACCGTGGCTTGCGCAGTACTGTCCGTCAGGCTCTGGGCACGAATTCGGGATGCGAGTACTGCTGCTCATCGGATTCTTTCGCCTTCGGCAGAGAGCTCTGGAAAAGCAACTGCTCGTGCTTTCCACAAAGTGAATCTCTGGGCGGACAGAGGGCTAAAGGGTTTTTGGGTCGAGCTTCGGACGTTTCAATCAAGGTTTCAGAGGCTACTGTACAGTAGTCGTTCTGAAGTTGTTTTGCTTGAGGGGCTATGCTGCAGGTTTCCAGGGATTGGGCAGGCCTAAACCCTCAAGTCAATCTCTTAAGGCATGCTGATACTCGATGCCTGCGACCAGCACCACCTGGCAGCTTCAGCATCACAAAAGCATGACGAGGATAATGATGCGCATAGCTCTCCACAAAATAACGCCTGTACGTTAACCTTGCTGGATGGCTATTGGTTCAAATTGCAGCTTTTGCTCGCATTTTTTACTACCATGACAAGATACTTTACCAAGCTTATGTCTACATTGTAGAGTAGACTTCACAGACGTCGAACTGGGGCGTAATGTGAAGGGGTTTTCTAAGTTTGTGGACCTTGAACCTTCCCTGTGAAGAGTGGGTTTAGCCAAGGGTTTAGGGTTTTAGGGTTTAGGGTTTATCTGCAGGCTCAGGACTCTGCGTGCCAGCAGCTCGTAGCGATGTCTCTTCTGTAGCATCCTTGTCCTGGCCAAAGAAGTCGTTTCACTGCGTGGCGCAGATCCGAAAAGCCTATCGTCGTGAAGCGGGGTCCCGTTTACTAGTATTTCCCGAAGGGCACCCCACATATACCCACAGTATGGATGAGGAACTGGATAAGGAACCATACATTTAACTCTCACCAACAGCAGTACGATAGGACCTAACTCATGCACCATGTTTTCGCTGCTGTTAGTCAGTGAGTAAGCTGCTTCTGCCATGCTACCACCAGTTGTTTGTGCTTCAGTTTATTTTGCACCGCATGACCGGGTTTCACAAGCTTTTGGGTTCCCCTCGCCAATCCTGCCTTCGCCAGCCGCTGCAAAAGAAATTCTGCCCGCGAAAAGGTTCCAGTTCCTGGCAGCTGCCGCTGGATTTGGGCATGTTTAAGGCCCTCGGGATGTGGCAGAGTTATATGAGCAATTGACATGGAAGGGCCGGCCGATTTGGAACAGCTTGTGCTCTGGAGGGGTAAGTTCAACTAGAGCTGCATGAGATGCGTTTCTGCTTGCAGTAGTAACGACATGCTCTCGCCACGTATGTCAGCCATGCAAGTTCAATATGACACCCCGAACGGCACGGTCTTGCAAAAAGGCCAGGGACTCTTTAACACAGATCCTTGGGCATTCTTGTGCAATTTGTTGCAGTTGTACAGCATGCGGTGCAAGCTAGTGCACCAGAAGAAATAGATCAACAAAAGCATTCGCGAACACCTCATTCAATCCTACGAAAGCCAAACCTAAAAGGATATTCAGCTTTCAGAGGTCCCGCGACACCAACACACATGCTGTGCCACAATCCCAAAAAACACGACATGCTAACCCCTGAAGTTCGTATAAGTCCCGCATGAAACCCTGCGCCATCCTGAGCCCTTCTCCCCTAAACCCTAAACCTTAAACCCTAAACCCTAAACCGCGCCCCTCACCCCTGAACCAAAACCCAGGGCAGCTCATCCATGCCTGGAAGTCCACGACCGCCGTTGGGGCAAATCCGCGGCCCAAGTCACAGATCCTGGCTCGTGATAACGAGCTCTTCAGGGCTTCGTTTAGGCTCTCTTCACATGTCTTTGGTTTTCTAGACCGTCACAATGTCGCTTTCGGTGTCTTTCGTCTTCAGGAACATTCTGGAGTTTGGGAAGGGGAGACGCTGTCTCCAAGACTGAGCGAGGCAGCAGAACGGCGCAAGCACACAGAAGCGGCTCTCAATATAGGAGTAGTGCTGTTTAAATCGGCCTTTCTACATGTCTTGTCAGGGCCTCGACCGTCATGCCAACAAAGGCCCTGCAAACTGCAAAGGGAAACCGCGACCTCCACAAGCAACTGTTTCGATTACCGGGTTTTGGCAAGTAGCTCACTATTATGACGGTAATGTAGCTACATTTTTCATGTAAGCATAGCTTGAACAAACAACAATCCATGCGAAAGGGCTGCCCACCTGGAAGCTCCACCGAGAAGGGCAAAGGTCGAGCACGGTGCCCGTGGTACAGCGAACCGTACCTTTGTGAGGGTTTTTGAACGGGCTGTAGCATTGGCTGTTGTGAATTATCTGCTAGCTTGCCACGGGCCACGGGCAGGATCGACACACCCCCTCGCTTTCCCACACCTCCTTAGTCCCGACCATCGGTGGATGGACTTCGCTGCTCCCGGCATGTGCCCCACAGACACCAGTTCGAAGGGAGTGGATGGGAGTGCAGACCCCAAAAATGGCATTGCACTTGGGGTGCCAGGGTTGGTCCCGCTAGGCTTCCAGTCCGCTCCCGTCACTGAGAACGACGGAGAGAGAACGGAGGGGAGGGGTGGGGGGAGCGGGGGGCAGGCAGGGTCGAATGTTTGGTGTTTGGGCCAGTTTGGGCCTCCTGCCGACCTGTCAGTCCGACCATTGGGACTTCGAAATTCAAGAAAAGCTCAAGGCTCCTTGAACTCCATCTCCACAGTAGTAGCACTCCACAGTGGCATTTTCGCTCGAACTTCGGTTCACTAGGAAGGTTCTCCGCTAGGGAACTTGAAGCTTTTGGTAACTTGCCTGCCAAAATTCTAAAGTGCAGCCAGGCCACTTGCTGACTTTGTCAAGGTTCAGAGCCCAGCCTTCCGGGGAACGGGCACTTGTTGTCGGAACACCCTGTAGACCTACAGTGACCTACAGTGCTCCGTGCCACGCCACAAGTACTGAACGCGTTTTGTTCTGCCAGAGGGAGAGGAAGTGAACTGATAGAAGAAGCGGGGCAAGCTCGTGGAGGTTGACGGTGAACACATGAGATGTTGTGAACGAACATGTCTTAAGGGTCGGGTTTGCTGTTGAATGCTTACCTGGCAACGAACTGCTCTTTTAGAAGGTCACATGCAGTCGTCACTGCTGCACAAAGATCTCTCTCTTCACACCAACATGCTCATTCTGCATCACGGTACTTCGAGTGCTTTGCTATTGATTGACCAAGATTTTGCTCGCTCCATCTCGCTCCAGAGATGAATGGTCAGTGTGTTGAGCGGTGTTGAGCGTGTTGACTAACCGTTCGGTCTGACAGCGAGATACTTTATAGCAAGGATACACGAATGCACAGCGTATGCTACTCGATGCTTAACACCATCACTTTGCTGCACGGATATCCACCACTGGCCTGTGTCTCTGTGCCTCCTTGCTGCGCTCGACTGGTTGAGTTATAAATCGCATGCATGGCGACTGCTTCAAACGTACACGCACACACATACCCACACCCACGCCCCGCAACCTCTGCCAGGGCCGCCGTCATTTGCTCTTTCAGACGCCGCGCCTCCTCCTGCACTGGGACATGCTGGGACATGCTGAAACTGTGGCGGTATTCCTCAAGGTTTTTACATTCCTGAGTTCAAGTGGTGTTCTGGGTGTAGGGTTTTGCAGCGGAACCTTGAGCAGGGAAGACATGCCGCACGATGCGTGTCAAGATGCTGCCAAGTCCTCCGTGTCTGCCGGCATCAGGCTGCGAAGAGCTTGCGAATCTCGACGCAGCTGCTCAACCTCTTCCTGGATGTCGGCGACCTCCTTCGCGAGAGAACAGCTTCACAGGCAAGCGAGGAAACAAACAGAAAAGAGCCCAGCAGCAAAGGGAGACAATGGGAGAGCTGTATGAACTTGAAAGATGTCTGAGCCAGATGGAGGAGAGGCAAAGTTCAGCTTATTGTGGTCTCTGCATACTCACATAGTGTCCCATGTGGACTGTGCCAAGTAAGTTACAACCTCTCACATACCGACGCTCCGATGATCCAAGCCATCACCATACTTCACTCTATTGTTTCGAGCCTGGGTGCAGTGAAGCCAAGACACCAAGAACTAGAATCTTCCGGAGTCGTTCCCAAAGTGCACTTTGTGATCAGCTGTCACATTGCTAGCTTGCGTTCGCACGCTGGTGAAGCTCCCTTGTCCAACGTAATCTTCGGGCAGTGTCCAGGATGTGCTTAGTGTAGAACCAGGCTGCCCAAAATTAGTCTCTGCCATTCAGATTATCATGCAGCAAAGCTGATGTCAATGTAGGTGCCTAGCTACTGTGCCTCAGCCTCAGGCCCTCACTGTTGAGGTGCAAAGGCTTCAAAACGGAGCGTACCGCAACCCTAAACCCTAAACCCTAAACCCCTAACCCCTAAACCCATTTGCACCTCGTCGCGCTGCATGGCCAGCTCAGTGATGGCCTGGAGCTCATCGCGAAGGCGATCAGCCTCGGCCTTCGCCTGCAGCAGCTCCTGCGGCCAAAGCCCGGGCCAACTTTGGGTGTAGGGTTTAGGGTTTAGGGTTCAGGGTTCAGGGTTCAGGGTTTAGGGTTCGGGGCTTTGCCATTCACGGCATCAAGGATGGCAAGGTGAGTCAGTGACTCGGTGTGACCAGCTTGTGATAACGTACATGTTGGCAAAGACGTGAACCTTGTGAAGCTTACCTGCGGTGCAGGCAAAACCAGGGTTCGGACACATCTCATGCCAGACCTCTGCGGACACGTAGTTGACGTAGTTGTAAAGTTGTAGGATCGAGATGCGCAAAAAGCGTCTTCTGCAAGGATACCTTGTAGAAGCAGCCCCATAATTAGGCACCTCCTCCAGCCGGAGGACCTCCTTGTGGGCTCGCAGAAGCTCCTGAGAAGCCGGTGTAAGCCAGGCTACAGGCACGTGCAAACTTTTTCGATGTTGGTATAAGATGAACTGGTTGGGGGCACTTCGCCCGAAAGCCCAGTTTATCCTTCACGCCTTCCTCTTCAACTCCACACCTCGTACAACCGAGGCCATAAACTACGGACCAGTTCAGAACTCAGGACCGGAAAATGCTGGGACATGCAGGGACCCGATGTGCAACCACGGAGGGCCGGAGCGGAAAACGGAGAGGGCTCCGGATCGGAAATTGAGCCCAGAAGACCTGGGTTTGGGCTCCGAGGTTTGGGTTCAGAGCTCCGGTCCTTGAGGATGGCTTTGTCTGGAGGGCTTGCAGACACCACCCTCAACCCCAAACCTCCAGCCCTCACCCAAATCCTTGTGCTTGTCAACCACCCCCGCGGAGCACTGCATGAGATGGAAGCTTGTCTTCAAAGGCCAAGCGCGTTTATTGATCCGGGACCCCCTGTTGTCTGATCTGGTCCCTGGTGTTGACTTGATCCGGGCCCTCCGCATTTTCAGATCACATTTTCTGATCTGGGCCTCTGTTTTCCGATACGGGTTTCGCTGACGGAGCGACAGTTCCAAGGCGTCTGACATTGTTCAGCAGCTCTTGATGTCTGTCGCAAGGATTCCCACAAGACCGTTCACACCCTGAGAATTCTGACTGCACTCCGTCAACACTCCGTCCGACCCAATCCTGAGCGAGTGAGTGACATGATGAACAGCCCTAAACCCTAAACCCTAAACCCTAAACCGGTGCCTCTTCCCGCTGTGTGGCGAGTTTGGTGATGGCGCGGAGCTCATCTCCAAGGATCTCCACCTCATCCTCTGCCCGCTTCAGCTCCTCAACAGAGACCCCCCCCAAGAATATGCACCATTGTTGGGGGACACTATTAAATAATGATCATTGTTGTTCCTTATATTGGGTTCAAGTATTCATAAACATGTAACATGATTTTCCACAATTGACCCAGAAAAGCCAAGCTTCGTGGGAAAGGAGATACGTACTTAAGCTGTACTTGCCAGGCTGGTAACCCCCAGCTCAGCCTCCTTACTCCCACCGCATGCAGCAGCCGAAAAACTACAGCTCAGGTCGTTTGGGTGGTGTAAACCCTAAACCCTAAACCCTAAACCCTAAACCCTAAACCGTAAACCCCTAAACCCTAAACCCTAAACCTAAACCGCAAACCCTAAACCCTAAACCCTGAACCTTAAACCCTCCCTAAACAGTTTTGTAAGGGAGTCATGCAAGTCGCCGAAGATGAGGCCCAATGTCGGCGCAAGCATGATATAACGGACATGCGTTGCGACTCTGTTTTGTGAGGGACCTGTAGGTAGCCCTTCTACATCCTTTCCAGGATGGGCTATTACACCCGATAACCCCTTAAAGAGGCCCTTTATAGGGTGGATAACCCCTTAAAGAGGCCCTTGATAGGGTTGATTCTGGGGATTCTAAGGCCTAGTAGCACATCCTGGTCCGTGGACCACTAGGAGGTGTCATGAAAACGTCCGCTCATCGAGACAACCCCGAAATCTCGCTTGAAGGTATTGAAAGTTGCCTACATGCTCAGTCGGTTAAGCCAGCAGTTCACAACTGCCGACAGGCAGCTGCCAAAGAAGTTGATTTCTGGGACAAACAAAGCACCAAAACAAAACGCCACATCCAGCCTAAATACAGAAGCGGACAAAACGGACAAAACGAACGCAGCTGAGCTGAAGGCGCACTTTGACACAAGACCTGCCTCCTCGCGCTGTGTGGCAAGCTCCGTGATGGCTTGGAGCTCGTCACGAAGGCGCTCAAGGTCGGCATCTGCCCGTGGAACTTCCTCAGATGGATCTGTCCAGAGCTTCACTTTCATTATGCAACTGGTAAGTATGGTATGATAATGGTTTGATAACGCAACTGGTAGTTATGGTTTGATAACGCCGACATGCTGGCAAATCGTGAATGATAAGGCTCTGCAAACCAACGATCTGGCATTGGACAAAAGCAACTCTTGCAACAAAGTTCATGCGAACTTCAGGCCAGATTCAGCTGAACCCTGAACCCTCAAACCTTGAATGCTGCAACGTTGCAATAAATCGCGTGTGGTCGTCAACCTTGAGGACTCTGGGAATCTGGGAACAATGGATATGAATAAACCGCTTTGCGCACGGCACCTCGTCCAGGTGTGACCGGCCCCCGTCTGCCGCAGTGTGCAGCCCTTGCGCCTCCAAAGGCAAAGCTTACCTCTTGTACTTCTTTGCACGGCTACCGCTGCTGCTAGCACTGCCACTTCTACTATTGCTGCTGCTCCTACAAAAGCTGCTGCTGCTGCTGCTGCTGCTGCTGCTGCTGCTGCTGCTGCTGCTGCTGCTGCTGCTGCTGCTGCTGCTGCTGCTGCTGCTGCTGCTGCTGCTGCTGCTCCTACGACGACGTCGACGACGACGACTACTAGTACTAGTACTAGTACTAGTACTAGTACTAGTACTAGTACTACTGCTACTGCTACTACTACTACTACTACTACTACTACTACTACTACTACTACTACTACTACTACTACTACTACTACTACTACTACTACGACTACGACTACGACTACGACGACGACGACGACGACGACGACGACGACGACGACGACGACGACGACGACTACTACTACTACTACTACTACTACTACTACTACGACTACGACTGTGACTACGACTACTTCGACTACCACCACTTCCACTGCTACCACTGCTTCCACGGCTACCACTGCTAACACCACCACCACCACCACCACCACCACCACCACCACCACCACCACCACCACCACCACCACCACCACCACCACCACCACCACCACCACCACCACCCCCACCCCTACCTCTTTTCACTACTACAACTGCAGAGTAAGTAGTTCAAAATGCTGCTGCCCAATGCCCACAAAACACAGGGGTAAATTCAAGTGCTGGTCTGCCTGGCCACTGGCCCCAGCTCTTGGGAAGATGTTTGAAAGGTTTTGGGAGCAGCCGTTCTATGTCGGCATAGGTTCTTGGGCTTATAGCATCGACACCATTTCAACAGAACTCAAAGGACCACTGCAGCATCACACTGCCGCAGCTGAGCACACACTGACTAAGCGCGGCGTTTCTGCAGTACAGTCATTCCAACACAGATCACGGACCAAACCGCCCTAGTTCCAAAAGCCTCTACTAAGCTCGACACGCTGAGTTCAACACATCTTCTGCATGAACTACTCTGTCCTTGGCCTGGAGCTCGTTTCGGAGGCGCTCCCAGTCGCGCCGCACCCGCATCAGCTCCTCAACGCATTTGGAGTTCAAGGGACTCGGGTTTGGGGGCCTGAGTCAACTGGGAGGACGGCGCACGAACATTGCAACGACTGCGGGAATCTTGTGACCACAGTATGGGCACCTTGTCACCTAAGCCAACAATTTCGAAGCTTCGAGCCAGGCACACAAGAGTAATCAAACGAAAGCACCCCTCGAAAGCCACACTGGGGCGTGACAAGGCCCCCAAGGCCCAGGCATTCCCTTGATCGCACCTCTTCTCGCTGCGCAGCGAGCTCCGCGACGGTCCGGAGCTCGTTTCGGAGGCAATCTTCTTGGATGTCGAAGCGCCGAATCTCCTTTAACCATGCATTTCTCGAAAACAACACATGACGTGCTGGCCAGCAACTTACACTGGTGACACAGCGCAGCTGTCCAAAGCTACTGCGTAGACGACGGCATGTCGCTACTTGGCATGCGTCATTTCGTGTGAGTGAGGTTTTGAGATGCACGTGGCCATGGGCGTTGCTGTAGAAGAAAGAGGCAAATTCCTTCCCCCTCCCTTCTTTCATAGTAGTTAATGCGCGCGGTGAAGTCTTGCAAGCGTGGTAGTGAGCTGTAGGCGGATGGACCGCAGGAGTCAAGTTTGCCTTTCACTCTGGGTACCCTTTCTAGGCGTGAGATCGGATAAGCTTTGATTTGTCCCTGGGGGGCAGGTGGAAAGTCCTGATGGTGGTCAGCACCGACAAGTCCGTGCAAAATTTGTGGACCCCTGGTTCTCATTGCAGCCTGTAATGCATGCCTCTGATGAGCTACGACAAGGACCTAGTCTTGGGCAACCATACTCTTAGGTTCACTTGAGGCTTTTAGTATCCATTCTTAGATTATGGTGCTGATTGCTGGCCATCTCAGGCAGGCTCAGCCCCAGGGTTTAGGCCGGCACTTAAGACCCCTTCCGTGACCTTACAGACCCATGGATCTTGGAGCACTGGAGGGGGCTTTGCTTGCATATTTTTCAGTGCGCAAACGGTGGTATGTCGGTACAAGCTTAGCGTCCTGTTGCGCGAGCGAGGTTTCGAGAGGCGCAGGGGCTTGGGCTATGCTGTACAGAAGTTTGGAGAGGTTTTAGGTTTTACGAGGCAAATAGCTTCCAAAGGCGGGCTCGTGGGACTTCATATGTTGCTGCTTGACTTCTTGTAACTACCACGACGGCCTGACGACACAGTTCTAATGATGGCCTGCACTTGTTGCCCTACAGATGCTCTCAGCCTGGCTTTCTCATCCTTCATGCGAAGCTTTCCGTGCAGCTGGGTGTCAACTCTTCTTCAGGACTTATCAAGCAACACGCCATACCGAAGATGCGCCCTTATCACTGGACAAGCACGAACAATGTACTGCTTCCTAGACACAGCTAGCTACTCGTACTAGTTACTCGTTCCATCCGTACGGCTCACACTTCATGCAAGCAGCTGGGGGAATGAAGAACAGACAAGAGTAAGAGTATTGGCAACCCTGGTGCTGGGACGTAGCATGGGAACCCACTTCTACAGGGGCCCAAAAACTCCACATAAACATTAGGATCCTACCATTGGGGTTTAAGGACTCCTATTTAAGGGGGATCCCAAAAACCCTTGTTTGTAGGATCCTTATCTTTACGCGGATTTTTTGGGCCCCTAGTCAAACAAAATCACTTCTGCTCACCTCCTCCCGGCTCTGCCGCTGCGCCCGCTCCAGCGCCGCCTCTCTGCCAAGATGCTCGACTTGGCTTCGGAGGCGCTGGAGCTCCTGGAGCACCCAAGGGTTTAGGGTTTAGGGTTTAGGGTTCAGGGTTCAGGGTTTAGGGTTTAGAGTAACAATTGACAACGACGCCTGCTTATCAGAGGCCAGCGGGAGTGGGAGAGTTCGCTCGGAATTTCAATAGCAACCCCGCAGCTCGCTGTATGCGACATGCCATGGTACAAGGAACCTCCTGCTGCGATCCCTTCACGCGCTGCAGCACCCGCTGCAGCTCCTGACACTTACAAGCTCATGGGAGTCTGTGGGCTTAATGGATGGTCCTATGGTGTTTCTTCTGGAGTGGTGAGCAGTTGGCAGATGGCTTTAGCACAAGCATTTGTGGCCGCTTGAGCAGTTCAGACAATAGGCCGACAGGTGTTATTTTGCCGTGGCACGTCTCTTCACCTTCACCGCGCAGTCTACGTCTATCCGTAGCAGACGGGCGCCAGGAACCCGAATGCGAAGATGTGTTTTCTAGTTGAGAACTATACATCGGCTTTCGATGCCCGTTTTTTCGGGCATTTCCAGACAGCTGCGTCAGTTGTGACATGTGGCGCCAACAGGAACCCTGAAAAGGAGCTTGATAGGACACTGTATCCTGTTGGACCTACAATGCAGCTGGAAAGTGATAGAAAGTGAGCACAAAGCATGCGGAATCAGTACCGGGCACCCGGACCTCGGTACGCAAGGCCACAGCCTCAGCAGCCTGACGTTGAAGATCCTGGGCAGGCATGATGAAGCATGCGCCCTGCAAGCACCGAACATCTGCAAGGCGAAGCAAGGCCATTCCATGACCTTCGGCTACTTGGTTCTAGAGCTGGGTGCTTGCAAGTTTTCCTGGGAAGTTCCGTTTTGAGGCAACTCCGTCCATGTCATCCTGGTCCTAGTCTAGCATGACAACAGATGGCCGCGTTGTGCGTTGTATAAACATGACAGGACATCCAAGAACAAATAGCCACCCTGCGCTACATGACGCTGCCCCAAGATACCCTACGGAGCTTTGCCGGGAGCCAGATTCTTCGTGCACCCTGCAAGGCGTAGAACGTTGCCAAGCTTCGAAACTTCCCAGAATACCAAAGGTCTGTACCAGTACTCGTGGGCACAATAAGAGAAGCGCTCCCTGTTTGTCAACGCAACCTCTCCTAGACAATCTGCCCTAATTACGACTTACACATTGAGGCAAACACATAATGTCCTGAATCCTCGACTACGTAGCACAATCTGACGCTGAACTTTGATGAACGACGTGACGAAAATGCCTTTGACAGCCGTACTTTCTGCTAGCCTGAAAAACCTGGACTCGAAACCCAAGTACACACCCTCAATGTCAGAAACATTCTCTAAGCCCAACAACCGCAAATGACCACCAGTGATTCGCACGACCTGAAGACTGACTTCAGCTTTGTGCTTCGGCACCTCCTTGCTCCGGGTGGCGAGCTCCGTGGTGACCTCATCGAGGAGGCGTTTGACCCTCCCCGTCGCAGCTGAGTCCGGGCCCCACTTTCACGTCGTTTAGGGCTATTAGTGCTGCGATACAGCTGATCCCGGAACATAGTGCCAGCTGTCACAGCCTTTGAGTTCGAGGCTCAGAAGGTTTGCAGGCTTCTGTGAAGACAGCGCACCTCCCCGCGCTGCGTGGCGAGCTCTTCGCTGGCCCGGGCATCGTCAACGAGGCGCAGGCATTCGCCTTCTGCCCGCCGCAGCTCCTGGAGCGCTTAAGCTCTCCAAACCGAAGGGGGGGGGGGAGCGGGAAAGTGAACATCTGAACCCAAAAGACATCCACAGTGGACACGAAACGTATCCTGCAAAGACACCATCTGCCCATGCAGCCGTTCCAATTAAGACACTGAGCTCAGCTCGCGCTGACTTCACATTCTCACTGCAGGCTAATCGCACACAAAGTTCCCCACAAGCTGCATGCAAGACAAACCATTACTGTAGGAAGCAGCTTAGGTCGAAACAAGCAGTCGCCAAAGGCGCCTCCTCGCGCTGCGTGGCAAGCTCTGTGACGGCTTGGTGCTCATCGCGATGCATCTCAACTTCGGCCCGAGTCTGCCGAAGCTCCTGGTCGTTCATGTCAAGTGCGTCAATTGTGGATTGTCTGCAAAGTCTGTGGCCCAGTTGTCAAGGGCGTTGCTATGATTAGCTGGAGTATTTCTCAGGCAGACCACGGACCAGCAGAGCCTCCTGTACACAAGACTCATTGCTGCCATACTTGAAGTGGCGGGGATGGGCTGCGTGAAACCACATCGCTATGGCATTTGCCACTATCCGCTGTTGCAACTGCCAACACGATTGACTAGCCACAGGTAGCCAGATGGTCTACATCAGGTCAAAAATGCTGAGAAAAACAAAGCACGACACTGAAACTTTTCTTCTACCCGACATGGGGGGGGGGGGCCCTCCTCCTGCAGGACTTGATTCAAAACTCAGACTTGCGAACGCTCAAGGGTTCTGGGATCACAAGGCACACCTCCGCGCGCTGCGTGGCGAGCTCTTCGCTGGCCCGGGCATCCTCAACGAGGCGCAGGCATTCGCCCTCTGTCCGTCGCAGCTCCTGGAGCGCTTAAGCTCCGCAAACCGTGGGGGGAGGGGGGGGGGGGGGGTGGACGGGGAAAAGCGTGTGCGCTTCAAAAGGCAAAGGCAGGTGCAAGTTTGTTGTCAGTGCAAGTGAACATCTCAACCCAAAAGACATCCACAGTGGACCGAAAACTCACGAAACTCATCCTGCAAAGACACCACCTGCCCATGCAACCTTTCCAATTACTCGCCTAGATTGACCCTGGACTAAGGTGCATGCAAGACAAAGCATTGCTGTAGGAAGCAGCTTAATGTTGTATCCTGATTAGTGTGCCCCCCCCGGAATTGTGAAAACAAATCCAAAAATTATTCAGGGGGGGTCTATTTGAGGAGACCCCCCGGAATTGTGAAACAAAATTCGGGCGATGCAAAATTTCGGCGAGGCTGTTGAATTGCGTTGTTGTCTAGAAATCGCTTCTGAACTGAGCCTGAGAGACCAAAGATCTGAGCCTGAGCAAAAGCTCAGAGCCTGAAACCTTGAGGCCTGAGGTTGTCGGGCCCTGAAATCTTAAGTCTCCAGGGCAGCCCAAAAGCTAAGATTTTCTGCTTTTGTTCCGAGGCCAGGCAATCAAATTCAAAGGGGGTAGTCCAGCAGCTGCCCGAATGCCGTATAATATAAAACGTTTGGTCCCCCAGAATTATGTTTTTTCTTTTGCGGGCTGGCTTGGTTGGGATAGACGGATCCCCTTTAAGTTCATATAAACTCATCCCTTTCAAAATCATGTGGACCCCTTTTAATTCCATACAGTCTCACCCCTTTAAAATATGGATCCCTTTTAAATTCATACAAGCTCATCCCTTTAACAATCATATGGATCCTGTCAAAATTCATGTAAGCTCATCCCTTTTAAAATCATATGGATCCTGTGCAAATTCATATAAGCTCATCGCATGTACAATCATATGGATCCTATTTAGATTTCATATAAGCTCATCCCGTTTAAGATCATATGGACCTCTTTGAAATTCACGTAAACTCATCCCCTTTAAAATCGTATAAAGCCAGACCCCCCGGGGGGGAGGGGGAGGGGGAGGGGGAGGGACGGGGGGGGGGGGGGGGGGGGGGGGGGGAGGGACGGGGGGGGGGGGGGGGGGGGAGGGACGGGGGGGGGGGGCGGGGAGGGACGGGGGAAACACTAATCAGCAAACAACATTGGGTCGAAACAAGCAGTCGCCAAAGGCGCCTCCTCGCGCTGCGTGGCAAGCTCTGTGACGGCTTGGTGCTCATCGCGATGCATCTCAGCTTCGGCCAGAGTCTGCCGAAGCTCCTGGTCGTGGGGAATGTCTGCTCTCAAGTGCATTGCTATGTTTTCTGGAGTAACTATCAGGCAGACCACGGACCAGCAGAGCCTCCTGTACACAACCAGGCATTTGCAAGGCTCACTGCTGCCATACTTGAAGTGACGGTGAATGGCTGGGTGAAGCCAAGAGAACATTCTTTGGTTTTCTTTGCTTCAATTGCACTGGCTGCGTGAAGCCGCTATTGTCCCTGCCAAAACAACTGACAAGCCGCTAGCACCGCGTAGCCAGAAGGTCTGCATCTGGTCACACTTGCTGAGAAAACAAAGCACAACTCTGAAACTTTATTTCTACCCGAACTGGGGGGGCCCTCCTGCAAGACTTGATTCAAGACTCAGACCTTCTTTGAAACCTTCGAGGGTTCTGGGATCACAAGGCACACCTCCGCGCGCTGCGTGGCGAGCTCTTCGCTGGCCCGGGCATCCTCAACGAGGCGCAGGCATTCGCCCTCTGCCCGTCGCAGCTCCTGGAGCGCTTCAGCTCTCCAAACCGTGGGTGGGGGGGAAGCTTGTGCACTTCAAAAGGCAGAAGGCAGGTGCAAGTTGTCGTCAGTGCAAGTGGACATCTGAACCCAAAAGACATGCACAGTGGACCGAAAACTCACGAAACGTATCCTGCAAAGACACCACCTGCCCATGCCACGTTTCAAATTCAGACACTGAGCTTTCTCACCTAGATGGAACGGAGCCTGTCCACGTTCTCACCTGGACCGACCCTGGACTTTCATTGCAGGCTAATCGCCCCACAGTTCCCCACAAGCTGCATGCAAGACAAACCCAGGACAAAACATTACTGTAGGAAGCAGCTTAGGTCGAAACAAGCAGTCGCCAAAGGCGCCTCCTCGCGCTGCGTGGCAAGCTCTGTGACGGCTTGGTGCTCATCGCGATGCATCTCAGCTTCGGCCAGAGACCGCCGATGCTCCTGGTCGTTCATGACAAGTGCGTCAATTGTGGATTGTCTGCACATCCTGTTGCCCAGCTCTCAAGTGCATTGCTATGTTTTCTGGAGTAACTATCAGGCAGACCACGGACCAGCAGAGCCTCCTCTACACAACCAGGCATTTGCAAGGCTCACTGCCGCCGTACTTGAAGTGGCGGGGCTTGGCTGCGTGAAGCCAAGAGAACATTCTTTGGTTTTCTGTGCTCAATTGCACTGGTAGCGTGAAGCCAAGAGAACATTCTGTTGTTTTCTTTGCTTCAATATCTGCGTCGCTATGACATTCGTCACTATGCGCTGTTGTCCCTGCCAAAACAACTGACTATCCACGGGTAGCAAGATGGTCTACATCAGGTCAAAACTGCTAAGAAAAACAAAGCACGACACTGAAACTTTTCTTCTACCCGACATGGGGTGGGGGGCCCTCCTCCTGCAGGCCTTGATTCAAGACCCAGACTTACTTTCGAATTTTCGAGAGTTCTGGAATCACAAGGCACACCTCCGCGCGCTGCGTGGCGAGCTCTTCGCTGGCCCGGGCATCCTCAACGAGGCGCAGGCATTCGCCCTCTGCCCGTCGCAGCTCCTGGAGCGCTTCAGCTCTCCAAACCGGATGGGAAGGGGGGGAAGCTTGTGCACTTCAAAAGGCAGAAGGCAGGTGCAAGTTGTCGTCAGTGCAAGTGAACATCTGGGACCGAAAACTCACGAAACGTATCCTGCAAAGACACCACCTGCCCATGCCACGTTTCAAATTTCAGACACTGAGCTCAGCTTGCACTGACTTCACACTCTCACCTAGATGGAACGCAGCCTGTCCACGTTCTCACCTGGACGGACCCTCTGGACTTTCACTGCAGGCGAATCGCCCCACACAGTTCCCCACAAGCTGCATGCAAGACAAACCCAGGACAAAACATTCCTGTAGGAAGCAGCTTACGTAGGTCGAAACAAGCAGTCGCCAAAGGCGCCTCCTCGCGCTGCGTGGCAACCTCTGTGACGGCTTGGTGCTCATCGCGATGCATCTCAGCTTCGGCCAGAGTCTGCCGAAGCTCCTGGTCGTTCATGACAAGTGGGTCTTGAAGTGGCGGGGAGTGGCTGGGGTGAAGCCACGAGAACATTCCTTTGTTTTCTTTGCTTCAATTGCAAACTCGATGTCTGCGCCCTACGGCATTCCTCATTATCCGCTGTTGTCGCGAGCTCGATATCCAAACAGCGACCCCCTTAGCCACGGGAAGCGCAAGACCTGATTCAAGACTCAGACTTTCGCACGTTCGAACGTTCGAGGGTTCTGGGATCACAAGGCACACCTCCGCGCGCTGCGTGGCGAGCTCTTCATTGGCCCGGGCATCCTCCCCGAGGCGCTCGCAGTCGCCCTCTGCCCGTCGTAGCTCCTGGCATAAGCATCTTCAAGCCAGAAGAAGCTTGCGCGTTGCAAAGGCTGAAGGCAGATGCAAGTTGCCAGTCTACAGGTCAACATCTGCACCCAAAGACATCCTGGACGAAAATTGACGAACTGTATCCTGCAAAGACATCACCTGCCGTGCCACCTTCCCAATTCAGACATGGCTTGCCCTGAAGTCTCTACCGGAACATACGCAACGGAACCTGTCTAGGTTCTCACCTAATTGGACCCTGGAGTTCCTAACTCAACGGCTCAATGGCTGAGCAGCAACCTCTGCTAGTGGTTCAGTCTCGTTGGTTGCAGGCCCCTGAAAATGCGCATGCAAGGTAAACCCGTACAGGAAGCGGTCGAGACAAGCAGTCGCCAAAGGCGCCTCCTCGCGCTGCGTGGCGAGCTCCGTGATGGCTTGGAGCTCATCGCGGAGCCTCTTCGTTTGGGCCAGAGTCTGGCGCAGCTCCTGCTCATTCACGTCAAGTGTTTGTCCTATGTTATGCTGGAGCAATTAAACCGGACCTACCAGAGCCTGCTCTACACCGCCCGGCACTTGCAAGGCTAACTGCTGCCGTACTTGAAGTAGCAGGGATTGGCTGGCTGAAGCCAAGAGAACATGCTTTACTTTGCCGCGCTCGATATCCAACAACGAACTCGCTAGCAATGGGTAGCCAGAATGGTCTGCCTCGGAACAAACATGCCGAGAAAAGAGCTGCACGACCCTGAAACTTTACGCCTTGTCTACCCGACATGGGGCCCCGCTCCTGCAAAACCTGATTTAACACTCAGACTTTCGGACGTTCGGACGTTCGAGGGTTCTGGGATCACAAGGCACACCTCCCCGCGCTGCGTGGCGAGCTCTTCATTGGCCCGGGCATCCTCCCCGAGGCGCTCGCAGTCGCCCTCTGCCCGTCGTAGCTCCTGGCATAAGCATCTTCAAGCCAGAAGAAGCTTGCGCATTGCAAAGGCTGAAGGCAGATGCAAGTTGCCAGTCTACAGTTCAACATCTGCACCCAAAGACATCCTGGACGAAAATTGACGAACTGTATCCTGCAAAGACATCACCTGCCGTGCCACCTTCCCAATTCAGACATGGCTTGCCCTGAAGTCTCTACCGGAACATACGCAACGGAACCTGTCTAGGTTCTCACCTAATTGGACCCTGGAGTTCCTAACTCAACGGCTCAATGGCTCAGCAGCAACCTCTGCTAGTGGTTCAGTCTCGTTGGTTGCAGGCCCCTGAAAATGCGCATGCAAGGTAAACCCGTACAGGAAGCGGTCGAGACAAGCAGTCGCCAAAGGCGCCTCCTCGCGCTGCGTGGCGAGCTCCGTGATGGCTTGGAGCTCATCGCGGAGCCTCTTCGTTTGGGCCAGAGTCTGGCGCAGCTCCTGCTCATTCACGTCAAGTGTTTGTCCTATGTTATGCTGGAGCAATTAAACCGGACCTACCAGAGCCTGCTCTACACCGCCCGGCACTTGCAAGGCTAACTGCTGCCGTACTTGAAGTAGCAGGGATTGGCTGGCTGAAGCCAAGAGAACATGCTTTACTTTGCCACGCTCGATATCCAACAACGAACTCGCTAGCAATGGGTAGCCAGAATGGTCTGCCTCGGATCAAACATGCTGAGAAAAGAACTGCACAACCCTGAAACTTTACGCCTTGTCTACCCGACATGGGGCCCCCCTCCTGCAAAACCTGATTTAACACTCAGACTTTCGGACGTTCGGACGTTCGAGGGTTCTGGGATCACAAGGCACACCTCCCCGCGCTGCGTGGCGAGCTCTTCATTGGCCCGGGCATCCTCCCCGAGGCGCTCGCAGTCGCCCTCTGCCCGTCGTAGCTCCTGGCATAAGCATCTTCAAGCCAGAAGAAGCTTGCGCATTGCAAAGGCTGAAGGCAGATGCAAGTTGCCAGTCTACAGTTCAACATCTGCACCCAAAGACATCCTGGACGAAAATTGACGAACTGTATCCTGCAAAGACATCACCTGCCGTGCCACCTTCCCAATTCAGACATGGCTTGCCCTGAAGTCTCTACCGGAACATACGCAACGGAACCTGTCTAGGTTCTCACCTAATTGGACCCTGGAGTTCCTAACTCAACGGCTCAATGGCTCAGCAGCAACCTCTGCTAGTGGTTCAGTCTCGTTGGTTGCAGGCCCCTGAAAATTTCGCGTGCAAGGTAAACCCGTACAGGAAGCGGTCGAGACAAGCAGTCGCCAAAGGCGCCTCCTCGCGCTGCGTGGCGAGCTCCGTGATGGCTTGGAGCTCATCGCGGAGCCTCTTCGTTTGGGCCAGAGTCTGGCGCAGCTCCTGCTCATTCACATCAAGTGTTTGTCCTATGTTATGCTGGAGCAATTAAACCGGACCTACCAGAGCCTGCTCTACACCGCCCGGCACTTGCAAGGCTAACTGCTGCCGTACTTGAAGTAGCAGGGATTGGCTGGCTGAAGCCAAGAGAACATGCTTTACTTTGCCGCGCTCGATATCCAACAACGAACTCGCTAGCAATGGGTAGCCAGAATGGTCTGCCTCGGAACAAACATGCCGAGAAAAGAACTGCACAACCCTGAAACTTTACGCCTTGTCTACCCGACCTGGGGCCCCCCTCCTGCAAAACCTGATTTAACACTCAGACTTTCGGACGTTCGAGGGTTCTGGGATCACAAGGCACACCTCCCCGCGCTGCGTGGCGAGCTCTTCATTGGCCCGGGCATCCTCCCCGAGGCGCTCGCAGTCGCCCTCTGCCCGTCGTAGCTCCTGAAGGGCAGAAGCTTCTTCAAGCCGGAAGAAACTTGTGCATTGCAAAGGCCGAAGGCAGATGCAAGTTGCCAGTCTACAGGTCAACATCTGCACCCAAAGACATCCTGGACGAAAATTGACGAACTGTATCCTGCAAAGACATCACCTGCCGTGCCACCTTCCCAATTCAGACATGGCTTGCCCTGAAGTCTCTACCGGAACATACGCAACGGAACCTGTCTAGATTCTCACCTAATTGGACCCTGGAGTTCCTAACTCAACGGCTCAACGGCTCAGCAGCAACCTCTGCTAGTGGTTCAGTCTCGTTGGTTGCAGGCCCCTGAAAATGCGCATGCAAGGTAAACCCGTACAGGAAGCGGTCGAGACAAGCAGTCGCCAAAGGCGCCTCCTCGCGCTGCGTGGCGAGCTCCGTGATGGCTTGGAGCTCATCGCGGAGCCTCTTCGTTTGGGCCAGAGTCTGGCGCAGCTCCTGCTCATTCACGTCAAGTGTGCCCTATGTTATGCTGGAGCAATTAAACCGGACCTACCAGAGCCTGCTCTACACCGCCAGGCCCTTGCAAGGCTAACTGCTGCCGTACTTGAAGTAGCAGGGATTGGGCTGGCTGAAGCCAAGAGAACATGCTTTACTTTGCCGCGCTCGATATCCAACAACGAACTCGCTAGCAATGGGTAGCCAGAATGGTCTGCCTCGGATCAAACATGCTGAGAAAAGAACTGCACAACCCTGAAACTTTACGCCTTGTCTACCCGACATGGGGCCCCCCTCCTGCAAAACCTGATTTACCACTCAGACTTTCGGACGTTCGGACGTTCGAGGGCTCTGGGATCACAAGGCACACCTCCCCGCGCTGCGTGGCGAGCTCTTCATTGGCCCGGGCATCCTCCCCGAGACGCTCGCATTCGCCCTCTGCCTGTCGTAGCTCCTGAAGGGCAGAAGCTTCTTCAAGCCGGAAGAAACTTGTGCATTGCAAAGGCCGAAGGCAGATGCAAGTTGCCACACAGGTGAACATCTGAACCCAAAGACATCCTTGACGAAAATTGACAAAACGTATCTTGCAAAGACGCCACCTGCCCATGCCACCTTCTCAAATCAGACATAGCTTGCCCTGAGGGTCGTACCGCAACCTATGCAACGGAGCCTTCCATTTTCTCAGCTTGATGGAACCTGGATTTTCATCGTTTGCAGTTTGACAGCCCACAAAGTTCCCCACGAGGTGCATGCAAGACAAAACCAAGTCGACGGTCGAGACATGTCGAGACGAACAGTCGCCAAAGGCGCCTCCTCCCGTTGCCTGGCACGCTCTGTGACGGCTTGACGGTCATCGTGGAGCATCTCAGCTTCGGCCAGAGTCTGCCGAAGCTCCTGGACATTCATGCCAAAATGCCCGTCCTATGTTTGGCTGGAATTCAAGACTCAGACGTTCAGTCAAACGTTCGGGGATTCTGGGATCACAAGGCACACCTGCCCGCGCTGCGTGGCGAGCTCTTCATTGGCCCGGGCATCTTTCCCGAGGCGCTCGCATTCGCCCTCTGCCCGTCGCAGCTCCTGAAGGGCAGAAGCTTCTTCAGGCCGGAAGAAACTTGTGCATTGCAAAGGCCGAAGGCAGATGCAAGTTGCCACACAGGTGAACATCTGAACCCAAAGACATCCTTGACGAAAATTGACAAAACGTATCTTGCAAAGACGCCACCTGCCCATGCCACCTTCTCAAATCAGACATAGCTTGCCCTGAGGGTCGTACCGCAACCTATGCAACGGAGCCTTCCATTTTCTCAGCTTGATGGACCCTGGATTTTCATCGCTTGAAGTTTGACAGCCCACAAAGTTCCCCACGAGGTGCATGCAAGACAAAACCAAGTCGACGGTCGAGATATGTCGAGACGAACAGTCGCCAAAGGCGCCTCCTCCCGTTGCCTGGCACGCTCTGTGACGGCTTGACGGTCATCGTGGAGCATCTCAGCTTCGGCCAGAGTCTGCCGAAGCTCCTGGTCATTCGTGCCAAAATGTCCGTCCTATGTTTGGCTGGAATTATCAGGCAGACCACGGACGAACACAAGGCACTCTACAGAACCCGGTACTTGCAAGGTGCGCTGCAGTCATACCGGGGATTGGCTACTGCGGGGTGAGGGCAAGAGACAATATGACTAGCTGACTAGCTTTGGCGAGCTCGATATCCAAACAACAGCACTGAGCGGCATTCGTTAGTGTCCGCTCTTGTCGCCCCCCCAAAGAACTGACTAGCCACGGGTAGCCAGATGGTCTGCATCGGATCCAACAAACGGAGAAAAGACAAACTCAGCACTGAAACTTCACGCCCTTTCGGCCCTCTCCCGCAAAACTTGATTCAAGACTCAGACGTTCAGTCAAACGTTCGGGGATTCTGGGATCACAAGGCACACCTGCCCGCGCTGCGTGGCGAGCTCTTCATTGGCCCGGGCATCTTTCCCGAGGCGCTCGCATTCGCCCTCTGCCCGTCGCAGCTCCTGAAGGGCAGAAGCTTCTTCAGGCCGGAAGAAACTTGTGCATTGCAAAGGCCGAAGGCAGATGCAAGTTGCCACACAGGTGAACATCTGAACCCAAAGACATCCTTGACGAAAATTGACAAAACGTATCTTGCAAAGACGCCACCTGCCCATGCCACCTTCTCAAATCAGACGTAGCTTGCCCTGAGGGTCGTACCGTAACCTATGCAACGGAGCCTTCCATTTTCTCAGCTTGGTGGACCCTGGATTTTCATCGCTTGCAGTTTGACAGCCCACAAAGTTCCGCGACGGTCGAGACATGTCGAGACGAACAGTCGCCAAAGGCGCCTCCTCCCGTTGCCTGGCACGCTCTGTGACGGCTTGACGGTCATCGTGGAGCATCTCAGCTTCGGCCAGAGTCTGTCGAAGCTCCTGGTCATTCGTGCCAAAATGTCCGTCCTATGTTTGGCTGGAATTATCAGGCAGACCACGGACGAACACAAGGCACTCTACAGAACCAGGTACTTGCAAGGTGCGCTGCAGTCATACCGGGGATTGGCTACTGCGGGGTGAGGGCAAGAGACAATATGACTAGCTGACTAGCTTTGGCGAGCTCGATATCCAAACAACAGCACTGAGCGGCATTCGTTAGTGTCCGCTCTTGTCGCCCCCCCAAAGAACTGACTAGCCACGGGTAGCCAGATGGTCTGCATCGGATCCAACAAACGGAGAAAAGACAAACTCAGCACTGAAACTTCACGCCCTTTCGGCCCTCTCCCGCAAAACTTGATTCAAGACTCAGACGTTCAGTCAAACGTTCGGGGATTCTGGGATCACAAGGCACACCTGCCCGCGCTGCGTGGCGAGCTCTTCATTGGCCCGGGCATCTTTCCCGAGGCGCTCGCATTCGCCCTCTGCCCGTCGCAGCTCCTGAAGGGCAGAAGCTTCTTCAGGCCGGAAGAAGCTTGTGCATTGCAAAGGCCGAAGGCAGATGCAAGTTGCCACGCAGGTGAACATCTGAACTCAAAGACATCCTTGACGAAAATTGACAAAACGATACAAAACGTATCCTGCAAAGAAGCCACCTGCCCCATGCCACCTTCTCAAATCAAACATAGCTTGCCCTGAGGGTCGTACCGCAACCTATGCAACGGAGCCTTCCATTTTCTCAGCTTGATGGACCCTGGATTTTCATCGCTTGCAGTTTGACAGCCCACAAAGTTCCCCACAAGGTGCATGCAAGACAAAACCAAGTCGACGGTCGAGACATGTCGAGACGAACAGTCGCCAAAGGCGCCTCCTCCCATTGCCTGCAACGCTCTGTGACGGCTTGACGGTCATCGCGGAGCATCTCAGCTTCGGCCAGAGTCTGCCGAAGCTCCTGGTCATTCGTGCCAAAATGTCCGTCCTATGTTTGGCTGGAGTAATTCGCCTCGGCTTCCAGCCGAGAGGTGTCTAGAACACGCAGACCAGGATCCGCTCCCTTCCCGCTTCCCATTTTTCCCCTAGCAGCCCCCTAGGACCTTTGCTGGGAGGCCGCGCTGGGACTTTCTTTCCCCACTGCAACCTTGCGGACCTGCGAAACAAGGTTCTTCGAATCTCTCGGGCCTTGGGACGTAGGCTGGCCCGGCTGTCGCGGCGGCACGCGCAAGCGTTTACAATTATCAGGCAAACCACCAACACAACAACACAAGGCGCTCTACACAACCAGGCACTTGCCAGGTGCACTGCGGTCATACATGAAGTGCCGGCGATGGGCTACTGCGGAGTGAGGCCAAGAGACAATCTGACTTGCTTTAGCGCGCCAGATATCCAAACAACAGCACTGAGTCACTGCATCGCAACAGCATTTGTTAGTATGCATCGGATACTAACGGAGAAAGAACAACTCAGCACTCAAACTTCAAGCCTTTTCGGCTCTCTCCCGCAAAACTTCATTCAAGACTCAGACTCTCAAGCTTTTGAGGGTTCTGGGGTCGAAGGGCACACCTCCCCGCGCTGCGTGGCGAGCTCTTCACTGGCCCGGGCATCTTTCCCGAGGCGCTCGCATTCGCCCTGTGCCCATCGCAGCTCCTGGAGTCTTGAAGCCGCAAGGCTGATGGCATCTTATTTGAGGGACGATCTTGGGCGTCCCTTGTTTTCGTAAACCCCCAGATAGGCTGCCCTTGACGGCAGATCCCACCTCCTCACGCTGCGTGGCTAGCTTGGTGGTGGCGCGAAGCTCGTTGTCGAGTCGCTTTGCTTCAGCTTCCGTCCTTCGCAGCTCCTTTGCTGTTTCCGATGGCTTTTGGATTGTTAGGAATAAGGGCTCCTGGTTTAGGGTTTGGGGCAAGGTCTAGCTTTGGGACATGAGGACCCCTAGGAGCTGGGTGCCTTCGTTCGAGCTTGAGAACCGAGACCCTCATACCACCCACCCACAACAAGTCTTCAGCGCATGAGAGCGCAAGTGCCTCCTGACCATGGGCGGCTTCCCCTCTCATCCGCTCTTCGGCCATGCGTGACCGGTGCTGCTCCTGCATGCAGATTCCGGCCCTTGATGTGTTCCGACATTAGGGGTAGCTTGTTGGGGTCCTCATTATACGGGGATCCTACTATTTGGGGGTCTTTCTTTGGGGTCCCAGATTATTGTAAGCTCCCTGATATAGGTTTTGATTAGGACGAGACGAAACTTCCGATGCCTTCTCATACAGTCATGACAAGGCATGGCTGTAGTTCTCGATGTAAGGCAGGTTTCCTACGCTGGACTTGTGGGCGTGCATGGCCACCAGTCGGGGAACTTGTTCCTGTCACTCTAACTTTCCCACCAAAACAAAAACAGGTCTTTTAGCGGGTAGGCTGGCGAGCAAGCCTTAACCAGGGCCAATGTAGGGTTGGCAAGATGAGGTCCTCAGACAGGCCTGCGAGGCTTGGGCAGCACAGAAGAAGAAAAGCCTAGACTTGTGCCCACAGAGATAGAATGCAATAAAACAAAGGCCACGGCTTTTGGGACTTGTTAGGGGCTCTGTTTCGGATGTGCTGCGGCTTGGTGGCAAAAACCGTGGTCCCTGCTCTCTGACGATCTAACAGGCTCAAGCCTGAACCTTGTAAATCACCAAAAAATGTGGAGGATCCTGCTTTGGGTCCAAAAGGACCGGTCACAACGGGACCCCACAACCAACCCCATTCATCGCCTACATCAATTTGCCTTTAAGGCTGAACTGGGAAGAAGAATAGATTGGATCTGATTTTGCTGGTAGGAAGGTCGATGGTGCGGCTTTAGCGTTCAGAGCGGAACCCGTCCTCTCTCAAGCAATGAAGCTCCTGCACAACAAACACGCAAAACACCAGCACTGACCTCACATGACCTTAGCATGCCTGAATGACGTAAAGCTGGTTAGACGCAAAACTGACTCTTCAGAGAGTAGCGTGATGCTGGACTGGTGCTTGCAGTGGCTGAGCATACGTTTGGATATCTTATGAGTTCGAGTTCAACAGAATCACGACAGGATGCATGCGCGAGCACACACACACATGCACGCTGGCGCGCACTCACGCACGACAACACTCTCTCGCGCAAACAAAACTTTGTGGAAACTCAACGTCGTCACTGGCCTCGTCTTGCCTGAGGCACAGCGATTCTTTCCAGTTTCGTTCTCCTTTCAGACAATGTAGCTCTTCCTTGATTCGAAGGAGTTCCTGCCAAAGGTCAACAGCTCTCATGCACCCAGGTTTCACTTCAAAACGCAACGAAACCCCAAACCCCAAATCAAGGGGCCCGACAACTCTGGACTGTCTGCGTTTCAGCCAGCCTGAACCTGCTCGCTGGCAACAGCCTGGCTCCTTGGCTCTCAAGCACTTGCGTTGCCACTGGTGCAAACAAGCGATTTTTTCGCGTGCATGATGGATGAACCACTATTCTCGTCAGATAATCTCATGAAAAAAAACGGCCACGGCCAAAACACCTTCAACCGGAAGCTTTTCGCCTTGCTCTCGCATGGGGCCTAGCTTCGACAGTGGACACAAGGTTTCAGGGGCCGCCAGCCCACATATCCAGCACACGGAACACAGAATTCCGGGAGGGTGCAGCAAAACCCTGTCAAAGACGGTTTCCAGATAGCAAAAGACCCCCAGAATCACATGCTCATGCCGGGTACCCTCGCTCTCCTGTCACACCTTGAGACCCTAACACCATGAACCATGGGAGGCAAAGTGTGACCCTAACAAACCTACTTAACACGTTCTGGGGCGAGGTCAGCTTAGAAAATTGCCGAGGCATGTAGTACTCGTAGGGACGGTAGCACCTGTACAGAGGGATCCTTGGGCGTTTTCTGTCAGACTAACGCCAGATCTCTCGTGTTCCTGTACCTCCGCCTCACAAGAATCTGCAGCTTGCGCACCATTGCAGCTCGCTGACTCGCGGCACTGCTCCCGCTTGCTTTCCAGCTCGTCCACCCGTCGGCGGAGCTCCTGCCGCTCTTGGGCTGACGCAAGGGGATCTCGAACATAACGTGGCATTGGCAGTGTACTCATGTACTCATCCTAGGTCGAGCTCCGATTTCCCATCACTCAGACTCTCCGTTCCCAAGATCCACCCATTGGCTTCGAAGGCTTCTTCGAGTTTGGAATGGCTTGGAACTTGGGGGTTGGGACACGGGTTGTGGTGGGGTGGCTTTTGGTCGAAGTACTGGTCGGCCGGCCAAAAAAGGCGTGTCTGTGTGTGTGTATGTATATATATATATATGTATACGTAATATACATACACAAACTACATACATAATATACACACCTACATGTATCTGTTGCCCGTTGTCCGTGGAGCGGGTTCGGACAGCTACGTCTTGTTCCCACGCGTCACCTCGTCCTTCTGGGCCAGTGATCGGCCGCTCTCCACCACCTCCATGCGAAGTCGTGGGATCTCCTCCCGCAACTCGCGAAGCTCCTGGACTGTCTGGGCAGGCTGGGTTCTTGGATTTCGGTTGATGTTCTTCTATGGGGGTTTCCGAAAGTACGGGTACCCTTTTGTGGGGGGGGGGGTCCCTTGAAGGGATTTGAATTCCATTTTGGGGTACGAAAGAGGGTACCCCTTTTTTGGGAAATGCCATATAGGTTCAGCAAAACCAAGTCCATGCACCCACCGTGACGACATTGAGGGAAGCAATCCAGAGCTTCCTGAAACTTCTTTCACGCTACCGTGACTTCAGGATGTAGTGCATGCATCCAGTATACGATTTGGAGCTTGTGTTGAGACGCATCGTTTGCCTTTCGTATTCGCAGTGCCCTCGCTACGTGTCTCGCCACAACAGTTTGCAAAATAAAGAACCGGAAAGGCAGGGAGCGTGTGCGATTTGCAATGCTGCACTATACCTGCCCACCTTGACTTTCTCTCGAAGACTTGATGTCTTTCCGTGTTGGGAGATCTCAAATGTGCACCTCATCGCGGCACGTGACGAGCTCCATCTTGCATTTGACCTCCTCAAGGCGCATTAGTTCGCAATGGCATTGTGCTCGTCTAGCATACAGCCGACGATGTCCAAGGTAAGAAGTACAAAGAAGAGCACTCGTATACTGCTCCGCTGCCCAGACACATGAGGCAGGTCATGTTAGAGTCATACTGCCAACTGCAGCGCTGTGCATACATGTGCATGAATGGTGTATATGCTTGATGCGGAATGCATGATCGGACCGGGGTCCACCCGCCAGAACTCGCCTTCGGTTTTTAGCATCTCTTTATATTCAAGGACTCGAAGGAACTTCGACCTATGGACGCAGCGTCATTTTGACTGTGTGTGTGTGACCTCAGAGTCATAGACTCCCCAAGGTGTTGAGGGGGGGGAGGTCGAGGACACTTCCTGGTGGCTTCTGAACCGCATCAGGACTGCTAGCAGCCCTCATCCCTCATCATTCTACGACACAGCGGCAAACATTGCATGAATTGAGCTGATTACACGGATTTCGAAGGCCAAACCGTGCCATACTCTGCGTGTGGCTCTGAAGCTTGCACTGCGCTGACGGTTGCTTGTGGCTCTTACCACCCCAAATGTGGCCTCGACCTCTCCCCTCGTTCGCGTCAGCGCCTCGGGGAATCTTCCATGACTCCGAAGTCACAGACCCCTAGAAAGTGACTCGCAACTTAACTAAGGCTAGGGAGCCCTCCGTGATGTCCTACACAAAGCAGCTCCCTTTAAGGGCGTGTCACTGTTCCATTTTGCTTTCACGTTATCAGGACACGCCCGCAGGAACGAGGTCAGTAGAATAAGCAGAGTACAGTACGGGACTTGCGAAGTTGCAGAGCATGCGCCCCGCCACACACAATGGCACAAGCAGCTGCGGTCCTCTTGCGAAGTATAGACCTCCTCTCGCGCGCTTTCCGCCTCCTTCCTGGATCGCTGAAGGTCCTTCCATCATATCGGAAACGAGAACCACACCTTACCCTACCTTACCCATGAGGCTGCCTTCTGCCAAGTTTGCACCAAAATTGCATTACATGAGCCTGCTGGCACGCGGCAACAGTTTCGGGCCTCTTCCATTCCCACCAGCTTGCCGTCGAGCTCAGCGCAGCGATTCTGCAGCCTTTCCTGGCAGTCTTATTAGACTTTGAGACAGCAAAAGGTCTCAGCGGGTGTGGTCATGAGATAGTGGTCATGAGATAGTCAGTGCAAGAGTGCCGCAGGGCCGGGGGCCCTGAAGCGCTGGTAGGCGCCCCTACGATGTCGCGTTCGCAAGACGAGATGAGTAGTAAGTACAGCACTGGCTGCGCAGGGAACCCCATGACATGAACTCCCTCCCCCTGCCTTGCCTTAAACTCAAACTCTCACGCATCAGGCAAGAAATCCAACAAGCCAACACGAACACGAGCTGACATGAAACTCATGCAAACAGGCTCCGTTTTGGCAGTTGCTTCTTCGGGTTCAAAAACGAGCTGACATGAAACTGATACATAAAGGCTCCGTTTTGGGAGTTGCTTCTTCGGGTTCAATATGGCTCCCTAGTTTTGCTTGGCTGCTAAGCACTTCATGCTCACAGAACCCTGAAAAGCCCTGAGCCGTTGAACCCCCTGACTTTAGTCCATTGTAGTTCAAGGTGGTTCAAGCTATACATGAACGAAAACACGTTCTCTCAGTGATTTGGTCCTCCTCGGGGCCGGAGTGCCTGAGTATGGGAGTTCATGGTTTGGGTCAAGTTGTGTGGTATTGTACAGAGATGATTCAAGCGGCATACGGATAGGCTCAACATCTCACATTGTGGTGGTGGGATGCCAGGCTGGTTCATAGCTGGCTTGGCATTTTCAGAGTCACGGCGCGTGCTGACGGAGTGAATGTTCAACTAGCCTTCTTCATCAGAAGACCCCCCTCGTGACCCAAAGGAGCGGCCCCTCAAACAAAAACCCTCCACTCTTGCGGAAGCACTGTGGTCCCTGTTGGAGTCCCCCTCTTCCTGGGCGCGCGGCAGTAGCGACCTGGAGAGCTGAGCCTGCGGGGAATCCCTTGGCTTCTTAACTTGCGAAACCATGCAAAACAGCCCAGCGATCAAGCTTTCAGTGGGGAGTTCGTGATAGCCCGGAATTCAAACGAAACTGTCAAGATTTCAAGCCTGAAGCCTCTAGCCTTCAAGGCTGCGTGTGACACCTTCAGCTTTAAGAGGTCAAGTCTGGAAGGCTTTACTTACATGAAAGGGCCCTGAAGTGGCCAGTGCCCGAGGAGGGGGGGACGTGTGGGGGCTGCTAATCAGAAGCTGTCTTTCCGCACAAGGTTCAATGTGTGTAAATTCTTATCTCACGCTTCTCCTGGGGGTGGGGTGGGGGGAGGGGGGGAAGGAGGGTGCATCAAATCAACAATCAGCGGACAGTTGCTTCACTACATGTCAATCAATCGTATCATGTCTTGCTTCAACCCATCGTGGCTGCACTCAGCACGCTGCGCCTCGAGATCTTCGATGCGTTGGAGTGCATACTGCGGAGTACTCGTGGCGGCCTGCGCGTCGAATCTTGCACAGGCACATAGTGTTTGGACCCTCTTACACACACGTGGCATATCATCAATGCCAAAAAGTAATCTGCGATGGGATCAGCTATACTGGGCAATACAGGCTCTCAAGTGAGCTAGTGTGACTCGTCACAAAAACAGCCTGCTCATTCCAACAACTTCCGTTAGACAGTGGCGAAGACCCTGGCACTCGGATGGCACCCATGCACGGCGACCGCTGGCAAAGTTTTGCAACTTGCCGGGCCTCTTCTACCTTCACTGCAAGCTCTCGGCAACTTTGGCGCAGCGTCTCCAGCTCGCTTTGGACCTGCATGACGCAAAGTCACAGGTGTCCAAAATCAGCACCATGCACACAATTTCTCGGGTTTGGGAGGGCTTGGGCCATCTATCACGGGCACAGGCCCTTAAGTAAGTCTACTTAGATGTAGATGTAGACATAGGTACAGGAATACCCAAGCCTAACTAATATGTCAAACATCCCCTGACACAATCATAGAGCACTCCACCATTGGAGGCGACTCAGCATTTGGCCAGTCAAGCCTCGAACCCCATATTTCGCCCCCATACAGTGCCCTACAGGCTCACAGCCTCCATAGGCAGTGGGGCGTCCGGTGCACCAAGCACAGACCTCACCAACAAGCACAGACCTCACCAAGGTGTTGGAAGGAACCAAAAGCAAAGGTCAAGGCCAAACCGAAAATCCGATGCATCTCCTACCGGTGGGAGGGCAACAAGTTTCTAAGAATGGGCTTGTGCCTCAGCTCAGGCGAGTCGCGCAGCAAGGCTTGACTCCAAATCCACTATGCGCTGCTGCAAGCCTGGGCAGATAAACAAATTCTTGCGCAGCAGCTTCAAGGAATCTAACGGAAAGCGGTGGGGGACAATCGGTTTTCCCTGCGTTGCAAAGACCGCTCCAAGGAACCTGTGGGATGCCCCTGTATTGAACCAGTGGAGGATTCAGGTGACTTGGGAGCTCTTACGAAAATAAGGTACCCCCTAATAGAGTCCCCAAATAGTAGGGTTCCCTTATCATAAGGACCCGAAGAAGGTACCCCTAGTTTCGGAAACCCCCTATTTTGAGAGCCGATGATGTGCAGAACGCGACGAGTTCTTGCCACCCAACGGCTTTCCGTGGCAGTAGCTTCGCCTGCCACCTTCTCTAGCCTTGGTTGCGGATGGTGTTCAGTGCTTGTGTGTCGCCCTACTGCACGGCGTTGCACCCGGAACCCAAAGCCCGCACCCTCAGCCCGAAACGGTTCATACGTTCTGGGTAGAGGAGTAGAGTTTTTTTCTGTGGGCTCACACGAGCCTCGCCTTTAGGTGCCCCACACCTGTTTCAAAAGCATGAATGACGACCTTTCGGTGTTTCCACATGCCCGGGACACTCTCGCCTACGCGCCGGGGGCATATTTTCTCAAGGCCCGCAGATGTACAGAATCGCAAGTGTTCAGAAGTTGCGGTCTCGTGGTGGGGACCAGACGCTGACGCCTGGGCCCCGTGAACTTTTGAGGCTTGCACCGTTCCGCAACCCTAAACCCTAAACCCTAAATTTTGGATTCTTCGATGGGTTGGCTTCGAGCATCCGTTCCAAGACATGGCGCTCATTTTGTCTCGGTCAACCTAAATCTTCATAATAATAATCATCATCATCATAGTAGTAAGCATAATAATAGTAGTAGCAGTAGTAATAATAATGATGATAACTGCAAATAAGCAGAACCAAAGCAAAGCAATCTTAGGATCCAAGGAACTCCAGCTCCAGGTCTGCACATCGCTGCTTCAATTCCTCAGTCTAGGGTCCTAGGGTTTAGGGTTTAGGGCTTAGGGTTTAGGGTTCAGCGTTTAGGGTTTTACGGGCGGTGCTACGTAACTTCGAAATCTCGATCGGCTGACTAACCCTGATGTTGGCAACAAGCCGCGTAAATGTGTTAAGAGGACGATGAGCACATGGAATGCTGTTCGCTCTTTCTTGCTTCCCTGTTCCGAACTACCAGTTCGACCAATTTCACGTTCTTGTCATGGACAGCACAAGAGATGGCAAGCATGATTTGCCGAAGAAGGAAGCGGGTACGGCCCCGTTTGATGCAGATGCCTGCAAGGATCCACAAAAAACAGATATCAGCTGGGAGGTCGTTGCCGAACCTGGAGAACATGCAGTTCGCCCGCGGGGGTATTGCTGCTGTGCAGATACAGAAGACCACGCTGTCTGCACAACCCTAAACCCTAAACCCTAAACCCTAAACCCGAAACCCTAAACCCTGAAGTCGAAATCAGCCCAGGGACATGATTCTCACGGTGATCACGGAGATGCTCATGCTCAGCCACCTCAGCCGCTGAGCGGAGGTTGTAATTTAGTAAGTTTAGTAAATTTAGCAAATTTAGCAAATTTAGTAAATTTAGTAAAGTTAGTGGTGGTATTAATGCCAATGGTGGGGTTTCTGTCGCAGCATGCTCTGGGCCAGGACCGGCTCCCAAGAAATTCTCTCCAATGCTTGCTTTACGAATACGTTGAAGCGTTATATTATAGCAACATGAGGGCGGTCCAAGCGGGGCTTTGTTTAAAAAAAACATTCGCCCGAAGGTGGGCGTTAACCTGCGTACATTGGGGCCCCGCCTCATGGGCAAGACAAAGGGCCCGGGATACCTAGCCTGATCGCAACAGCAAAGCATGAAAGGTGATGAAGCCTCAGACGAAAAACACTAACGCAGACTCATTCCACTACGATTCTGCAAAGAAAGGCACGAGAGCGCGAAATCTTTAAGGTTCAGTCTTGCACGGGCGTCGGGTATCAGAAGCAATGCCCTTATAACCCTTAAGAACTCCTCCATGACCCCACCCCCACCTCTAAACACAGCGGAATTCTACCAATCTTTCTGGACGCTGATTCATCGTCAAGAATGCCCTTGGGGTTCTTATACTTTCAGCTTCTGTGTTTAATCTAGCGCCACAGCGTTTCATGTATGTTCAGTCGGGCCAGCCTTGTAGCGAAGAGGACAAAAACCCGGTGCCAAACTGAGTATTCCGACCCGGAAACATGCGCAGTTCTTCGATTGCAGCTTTGGGGAGTCATTGCAGGGCAAAAAAAAGACTGGCTGCCAAGAGAGGCCCCCTGAACATCGAATCATCCAGAAGCGGGGTTTCTCTGCTGCCCAATCATGGCCGGACGACTTGCTGTATGGACTGGAGAAGCTCCGCCCTTTGCTCCTGTCGAGTCAAAAACTCACTTGACTTCGCTTGTGCTCGCCATGACGCTGTCGACGTATGAGCTGCGAGGGTGCGCAGTTGGGAGGTCTGTTAGCATTTAAGAGGCCGCACCAGGATTTCGGGCACTTCAAGTTCTCGAGTTTCTCGGTTGGGCAGGCTTTGCCTCACCCTGGACCCTCCACCACTTCTGCTGCCTCAACCCGAACTCTCAAATCCCGCGGCCGCCCATCCCACCTCGAGCTCCGCGTTGATGTTGAAGGCCACGGCGGCCTCTGCGGAGCACAAAAAGGGCTCTGAATTCGAGGTGTGTAAGATGCAGGAAATGCGTCGCTCATGAATGAAGTGTAAGATTGTGGAGCAAGGGGCCCCGAAACGAACAGCAAAGCGCGCTGTGGGTTTGGGCGTCAATGAGGGCACTGCTTGTGCAGCATAATCCCCTCGCCCCAGTATTTAAATACCCCCCCCCCCCCCCTATGGTTATTATATTGTAGTATCTGGGGGGGGGGGGGGGGGTATTTAATATTAGGCGGGGAGGGGTTGAATATACTTGGGGAAGGGATTATCTGATAATCGTATCTGCAATCTGCCCATCAGACATTCTTGGGCCTCCTCGCAGAGTTTCCGGCACCTTTCTTGAGCTGCCTCAACTTCCTGACATACGGCAGGACGTTAGACAAATTTATAAGTTTTTGGGTTGGGGGTCGAGGCTCAACTTTTCGTTTTTGTTTTTCCTGCATTGGCATCTATGGGTGGCAATAGCCTTCGTTGCCGAGATCGCAAGGAATACATCAGACATCACTGTATCCAACTAGTCAGTGCCGGCCCACACCCACAAGACATTTTCAACATGCCTTGAGAAAACGCCTCAAAGCCAATGCGTGAGCATGAGTATCAGCCTATCCCAGTTTGACAAACAGTGGACGACTCACGTGCTCCGGCCCGAGAAGCTGGCAGCCTTGACTTGAAGCGTGAACTTCAAGTTCATGCCACTTGCGCAAGGAAAACCCGCTGAATGATTTCTGAATGTGTAACTCGAATGGGGTGGGGGGAGGCGTATGTAATTTGTCATCGGTATGACTCCAATCCCTGTTTTCGAAAAAACACAGCAAAGAGGTTGGCAGCTGCGACGACACACTGATGGAAATGGAGAATGCCTCCCAGAAACCAATAAACCAGGAAAAAACGTACAAATCACTACGGTAGATTGGGGGGTGGTCTTAGCTGTACATTGGTAAGGGCCCCTGATCAGGATGTAGCGTTTGGAAATTTCCCCTGTTGGCAGAAGCAATCCCACAATCCTCCGGGTCGCCGCCACCTGGCGCAAGAGGACTTGAGGCGTCGTTCCAATCTAGCATCACAACTCAGGGAGTACGCTTGCAAGCATGTGCAAACAATGGCATCATCCCTGTGTTAAGCTGGACCGCACACAATCGTCACTCTCATATCTGAGAAAAAATGGGTACAACGCCGCATTTTTCGTTAAGCCACCAAAACTTCTGGGACGCCAGCGGGTCTCTTCCCAGGCAGCCTTGGCACAGTGCCTCCACACGACGCCGAAGTGCGCGCCGTCCTCGAGCCATGGAGCCGAGGCGCCTGAGGGACAACACTTCCAGAAATTGGGACGTAACTGCCTCTGCGCGAGCCTCTCAGTGAATGTGAGACCATGTGCTCTCCGGGCAAAAGAAGGGTTTAGGGAGGGGGGCGGGGGGGGGGTACAGGCACTGTGACAGGGATGCATGTGGCCGGCGGGGGAAAAGTTTGCATCAAGCACACCGAGCTGAAGCACAGAAACGCAGAGGGCAAGCCCAATCGGCGTTGCCCTGCTGCTAGCCGCCGGTGTATCAGCATTCTACCAGCTCGATTTCATGCACAGAAATCTGTTGTGTACAAGCTTCCGCTTAGCAAGGCTAAGCTGTTTGTTTTTACAGCTGCACAACGGGATCCAAACACAAATCGTGAGGCGAATGCCAGCGAAGCTGTACTTTTAGAATCAAGACGCAGCATGAAGCAAGATGTTAATACACAGAGTGCGTCAGAGTTCTTTCCAACGCGTGGAACGCGGGAAAAAGCCCCTTAAATGGCAGCCCCCGAAGCTTCAACAACAAACCGCCCAGGTCATAGGGTTTAGGGTTTAGGGTTTAGGGTTTAGGGTTTAGGGTTTAGGGTTTAGGGTTTAGGGTTTAGGGTTTAGGGATGAGCTGTGGCACTCCCGAAGTCGGTCGGACTCCTCTTGGGCAGTTTGCAGCCTCCGATGCAGTGTGCAGGGGGATGGGCAGAAAAGAGCTCAATTGGCCCATCTGCCCACAATCCAAAGGATCCCAAGACCCAGACAAGCCCCCAAACAAAGGTCTCAAATTGGAACAGACGCTTGAGGAATTTCCTTGAGCCTGCTACGCAGTGCTCGGGTTGTGATGAGTTGGGGTTTGTGCTTATGTGTAGCGTCCAAAGCTTATATGGATCTGACCATGCAAAAGTTATCAGGAACTCGGATTTGCTCTTGACATATAGGACTACAGCGACGTCAAGAAAAGCAGCCGAACTCATTCTGATAAAAAACAGACTCTGCAAAGCAACATCTAACGTGCGACTTACATCGTGCTGGACATATGCAGGTGTCCTTCATGTCAACTCCAGGCAGCCAAGTAGCTGAAGAGTGTGAGCCTGCTGCATCTCACTCTGCTCATCAGCCTGGCGGACACACCTACTGTGGCAGTTGAACCTGGGTTACCGTACAGCATGTTGTAGCAGAGTGGCCACTGGGAGCTGCGGCATCCAGATGATCCCGCCCAGCCTTCAGCCTTGAACCTTGAGCCTTTAACCTCCTGAGACCTCCTGAAACCTCCTGGGATTCCTGTGCAAAGTCTTTTGCTACGTTAGAGCCTTCGCTCGGAGCTGCGCGCACTCGGCTTGCAGCTGCGCCTCAAGGCACACTCATGCACCGTTTCTGCGCTGCGCGGGCCACCAACACTTGATAGGCAGCGCATTCTGGGCTTTGGGGGTTGTTAAGGGCTGCGTGGGCTACGCTTTGAAGAGTTGGGACTGTATAGGACCTCGTATGCGGCTTACAGGTGTTGGGGGTGGGTGGAGGCCAAGGAGAGACTCAGAAACCGGGCCATCGGGAAAGATTGTGTGTGTGGGTGTGAGGAGGCGGTGTGGGCACCGCCAGGAGCATCGGGATCTTTCTTGAGTAGGGAGTGTCTTGGGCATTGCAGGGAAGCGGAGGCGGGCAACGAGGGCTGCTGTGGCGTGCACTTCAGTGATCACTCTGGTGAGATAAGACCAAGAAGAACATGAACATCCCCTAAGCCCTAAACCCTAAGCCCTAAATCATGAACCCTAGCAACCCCAGGGTTTAAGAGCACCTGCGGTGTGAGCCTCGCAAGGAGAGGCCCCACATGCAAAAGCCCTGCAGTAGTCGTGCTACGCCGTGCTATGCCACCAGGAACGTCGAAACACCCAGCACTAAAGACTCGGATCGGAAGCCGGAACCCGAACCACTGCCGCATGACACTCATGACACAAACAGCCTGAAGCGATCTAAAGCCAAAGTCCTAATCTCAGGTGGCTCTGTTGCACGGTCGCCTCCACGAACTCCGCACTCGTCTTCGCTGCCAGGCACTCGAAATGCAACACTGCCTCCTGTCTCACGGAAAGTCTATGTCTAAGTATTGCAGGAATCCATCCTTTTTGGGGGTCGGCATGCAGGGTTCGGGCGGGATTGCTGGACTTACGGACAAACAAGTAATCTATGGGGGGCTGGGGAGGAGGCAGTGTCCCCGTTTGGATGCTTTGGATGCTTCTCGAGGTAGCTCCCATGCCCTGAACTGCAACAGGTAGCAATGGTCTAGCTAGAGCTTTTGCCTCCACACTCCCGAGTTAGCCTGCAAATCGCATCAAGTCGGCGCTTTCACGGAGTGTTCAAAAGGAGATATTCTGAGGCAGCACCATTCTGCATTCTGATGAACAAAGTACGAAGTACTGCATAATTTCTGCATAGTACTGTAATGCATGTGCGTTGCATAGGCACACACCTAGCATACTGGCAGCGGCGGGACTGAATGATTCCCTCCCATTACATAAAGAGAGTTTGGGAGTTTGGGAGGATAACAAGATGAGCTGCTGACAACAGTGTACGGTCAAAGGCTCAATGTGGAAGCGCTTTGCAGATGTTGCAGACCCCACCTCGACTTCGCTGGTCGTTTTCACAGCCCTAACCCAATCATCCGAAGCTCTTGAAGGATTCAACGACATATATATCCCACCTCACACTCAGCCCAGACCTGTGACATGCAAGACATGAAGAAGTCCTCTTCGGCACGACTTTTCTTGAGATGGAAGCCACCTGCCTGGCTCGGGTGTTGAGGTAAATTTGCCTATCCTGGGACGGAAGACTTCTTTCTCTCGAAAGGACCACCATCCTGCACAAAAACGTTAAGTCCGCGGAATCTGAGAAAGCTCACGAAAGACTCTGACGGGGGAGTTCGGCTGCCCAATGCTGCCACTGCCAACTCGTAAGATCTCGTAAGCTTATGGGAAAGGAATCTGGGTGGTCCGAAGCAGCGGCCTCGCCTCGTTGTTGCAGAGGTCTTCCCGAACCCGCTGTGCGGTGGCAGACCACTCCTCTTGCGGCAGGAGAGGTTGCGCAGAAGGGTTGCTCATGCTGGGGTGCAACAGTTCACGATGCAGCGTGTGCCAAGGCCTTTCTTCATGGAACACGCCATGTCGCACAGCAGGTCACCGCACCACATCAAATCTGCTCAGTTAGGGCATGAGCTCCGAGCATTCGAGGCAGTGTGCGCCAACATCAAGAAAGTCAACCTGGTAGTAACCTGGTAGTACTTCAAACCAATTGCTTTCTTCTGACAACATATATATATATATACATATCTATACATGTATATATATATATATATTAATGTATATATATATATATGTACATATAGAAATACATATATTCATACATTACATGCGTAGCACAGGTCTGAAAGGCTGGTGAGGAGAAAAAGGCTGCAGGCTTGAAGGGCCCTGTCCGTCCTGTCGAAGAAGAGCCTCCTGAGCCAAGCAACGGCGGAGCTTGGCCCCGCCATCCGCAGCCTGTTGCAGCCTTGGGCTGGACAAAAACACGAGAAGAGCCTAAACCCTAAACCCTAAACCCTAAACCCTAAACCCTAAACCCTAAACCCTAAACCCTAAACCCTAAACCCTAAACCCTAAACCCTAAACCCTAAACCCTAAACCGAGTTCTCGCCGCTTTGGGGTGTAGCTGGCTGTGGGCGACAGCCCCTAGCCGGCTGTGGGCGACAGCCCCTGGTAGACAGCCAAACTATGCACTAGGAAGGCCCTTAAAACCCTCTTTAACACATTCCTGAAAAGGATCCTCTTAAACCCAATAAGGGAAAACATAAAATGTCCCAAGGGCCTCCGCGTGCATATCCCTGCATCATCGTGACAAAGCACGAAGGGGGCAGGCTCACGACGTTCATGTTAAAAGGCTTTTAGTTTATCCAGGGTCGATAATCACAAGTTTTGAACATCTATTCTGCGACATCGTTTTGTTGGGGTGAGCCACTATTGGCACAGGCTTTTTTTCCGGATGGTTGTGTTAAAGATTTGTGTTTAGGGTTAAGGCCCCGGTTAAGGGCTCACGCAGTAAGGCTTGAGGCCCTGCGCCCAGTTCCATTTAAAGCCTTGCTGAATTTCATTACGAAACGAGTAAATTTGTTGCGTCACCCTCTATAATACACAGGCCCGTCCGGGAGGGGGTGGTCCTTAGGAAGGCAGGAAAGCTTCGGGCCATGAGTTCCTAAACGCTTGAGGCCCTGAGGGCGGTCCCCCCCCCCCCCCCCGGCACAAAAAAAAAATGTTTGGGGAGGGGGTGGTCCTGCGCCAGGTTCTTCTGGAGGGCCCAAATTGTTTGGCGCGGGGGGACCCTTATTCGAGCCAGTGCAACGAGATTTAGACTTTCAACTGCCGTTTAGGCATCCGGTCAACTGTGCCAAGCGCGCAAACCTTAAAACAAACATCCCGAGCGACAGCTCCCGCAGCGCATGGGCAGCACCGCCGCTGCGCAGGACTCGGCGGAGCTCGGCATTCTCCTTGCGCCTTGGGGGGACATCTTGGAGCTCTTGAAGCTGTTCTACTTCATGGTTGGGATGGGATTAACACACTAACTTAACTTTCAAGTCCTTGTTGGGTTTAAGTACCCTTAAGAAGGTAAAATGTTACACCACTATACTGACAAAGTGTTGAGAAGTTTAGGACGGTGCTTCAATGACAAATGGGTGCCTGACATGAACCCTGAACCCTAAACCCTAAACCCTAAACCCTATGGAACGTCTCAGGGAATGGCCTTTTCAGAGCCCATGCGAAGGCTGCTGCACACATCGTACTACATCGGTCCGTGCTTTGGAGGTTTTGATCCCTGAAAAACTCACAAGAAACAGAACCCCCGGCCATTCTTACAAAGCGGATGGGCTGTTCCTCCCCCAAAAAAACCAAAAAAAAGGCTGTCAAAAGAACTCCGCCTTCAATGCTGAGCTCATCAGATGCCAAGAAGCAGGGATGACAAACACGCATCGGACTCCTGGTACGAGCGCGCTCTCTTTCCGATCCCATGGCGGCAGCAGCTGTGAGCCCGATCCTGCTCATCCCTGAATCGCCTGAACAAGCCGTGGACATCTGCTTGCCCCCCTGCCCCCCTTCAGAGCTTGAAACGGCAGGTCCTCCAGTCTTTGGCTGAGGTCCTTGATGACGCTGTTCTTCACCTCAGCTGTCTGGGCTGCTGCTAGCAAGTCAAGGTGCACGATGTGCAGTTTCGAACTTGGCAGCTTCCTTTGCTTTAGCAAGCCTAAACCTTGCAGTCACACCAGCGAATCCATCTGGCTGTTTATGGTCTCCTATTAAAGAATCACACTCTACAGGAAGCCCTCGGCATGTTATTCGCACAGCCCATGGTCACGGAAGGATTTTGATCCCGTGATCGTGAAAAGCTCTGATCGTTTTTCCCACCTCCAGGATCTTTCGGAGATCCTGCAGCTCCTGGTATTGGGCTTCAGGATTTTACAAATCCTCAAGACTCGATGCAGGCAGCCCACAGGACTTTGCGATTTTTTTGGGTTTAGGGTTTAGGGTTAGGGCTTAGGGAGTTCGATTTTTTTGAACAATTTTTGAAGCGCGGGGCTATACTGGGAGCATCAGTTTCGCGACTCAGCGCTCTGGGAGATTCAGGGTGCATCGGGGATTCATGCTGAAAAGTCCGCCCGTATACTTATGTCCCCTGTGGCACTGTGGCGTGGTTTGTAGGGCTCGAAGGGCTCAGGGTGTCGGGCTCTATTTCGGGGCTAGGAAGGGTTTGTTTGGGAGCTTATCCTGTGCTTCAGAAGACACGTACAGCTTCAATTTTTTACTGGGCATTTACTTGGAATGCACACGTAACTGGAGGTAACTAGAGATGCAGTTTGAAAGAATAGTCGTAAAATTTCTTTCGTACACGTATTTGTCCACAAGTTAAGTAGGCGTGTTGGACCCCTATAATTCTTGTGGTAGGCTCATATTTTCTTGGGACAAGTTGACATGCATCCATCAGATTGTTGCGCAGTGAGAAGGTCCGTACGTTGTAAAGATGATTCAAAAACAGTTCACATCAATGCGGCGCCATCAATCTCTGCTCAAATACTTTCGGGACCTTGGCAGTCCAACAACCTCTCGTCCAGCGGATTCTCTAGAGGCTCGTGAATAATCAGCATAAAAAATGAGGCTCCGTGTGGGCGCACGAACTCGGTAAAGGGGCAACCAAGAAACCCTGAAATCCTAAAAATGCTGAACGCAAGTCTTTTCAGCTTTGCCCGGCAATGTGCACACCTAACTTCCCGACCCCCTGGAAGCAAACGCGTCCTCCTCCCTGGCCTCCCGAGCCAGGTCTTCCAGGGACGGCAGTTCCTCCAAGAGCGTGACTTTGAAGCGGGGCGGTTCAAGGACGCCGGGTTCAAGAAGACATCCGTTCTATGGTACAATGAACATACCAAATACACGAAATGAAGCGCGGAAGGAAGGAAGATTTGAATCAGATTTGGGCCCATAGCGCGAGGCGCGGCAAGCTTTTGGGCCAACCACCAGCCAACTCATTTTGCACTGGCACACGCATTCTCGCATGGCTCAGGGCCCTAAATGCTAATTTATTCGTTCGAAGTTTAGACGCAGACACTGTTCCCAAATACCTGCAAACGAGAAATGTTTGGGAAGAGTAATGCTTCGGGTGCCTGCGGTGTGTACCCTTGATTTTTAATCCTAAGCCCTGTCAACCCTATTTGTTGAAGGTTTCGGCTTGAACCTATTCCAAAACCATACGTACCTCTTCCCTTGCCACAAAAGGAAGTTTGCTTAACCCTGTTGGTCGATGATTTTGGCTATCCTAAACCCTAAACCCTAAACCCCAAACCCCAAACCCTAAACCCCAAACCCTAAACCCTAAACCCTAAACCCCAAACCAGCCTCAGTCCAGGCTTGGCACTGCAACAGCGGCGCAGTGGGTGTCGAAGAGGGCGTCAGCGGCAACGTGGCAAGGCTTTGCAGGTCCATCGCTGCTAAGGTTCAGGTCTTGGGTTTGGTTTTGCTTTTGTGGGTTAAGGGTTTAGGTTTAGGGTATAGGGTTTGGGGTTTGGGGTTCAGGGTTTAGGGTTTGTTTAGGGTTTGCAGACTTCTGGGAGTATCGCATGAGAAGGAGCTGACTACAGTCTTTGGGACGGAAGGGTTGCCGGGGAATGTTCCTTGGATGCTCCTCCAAGAAAAGCAGCCAATGCTGCGGCTGAGGACATGGCAACAACGCGCTCTGAGCAGAACAAGTGGGCAGTCAGTGGAGTCGTCATACCATCGTTTTCACGCCGTTCGCAACTAGATCACAAGATTGCTTCACCACAACATTCATCGTTGGGGTCAGGTGAGCGCAGAAAACCTTGGCCCTTGGCCTCGACTCTCCTCTAGAGATTCGGAAACACTTAAGACCTATGGCATTTCGACACGGACGTCAACACGGACATGTGTAGTGCAGAGGGTTGGATACGAGCTGCTCGTAAGCCTAAACCCTTTTAGAGCTCAAAGTCCAGGAGCCTTATTAAAACATGTGGGCACGGCAGGCGGCGTACCGGCTCCCTCTTCCGACCCTGCAGGAAGAAGCCGTTGGAATCAAAGCAGACCTGGAACAGAGAGAGCTCAGGGTCATGGGGCTTCGAAGTGGGGTTTAGGGTTTAGGGTTCAGGGTTCAGGGTAAGTTGTTGTTGGCATGTTGGAGGTTTGAGATTGTAGAATCTGACCTGGTGCGTAGTGGGCTACAGGAAACAAGCAGGGACCACTGCATTCCATGCCCCTTGCCATGGTGGCTGAGAGCACAGCTATCGGAAACCAATTGCTAAGGTTCAGCACCAAGCAGTAGAATGCAACATTGCATGAGTAGAGTGCGCGAGAAACAGACACTCAAAAGACGAGCAGTCCACTCGACAAGGTGAACGCTCCATCGAAGATCAGCTCACAAGGTAAATGTTCCTCCTGAAAGGTTCATCAAAAAGAACTCAAAAGTAAACGTCTTCCGATGTTGAGACGTTTTGAACATCACGTATCCTGACCCATCCGATTGGGATGTGCTACCTTCACCACCCTGAGTACGTCCACCGATTCAACAGTAGCATGGCCATCCAGACTCGATGGGGGCTGAGTTGCGGTACTTGTCAGTGTAGCCTGAAAAGATGCTTTCTTCATGTTTACGTTTGGGTTTAGGGTTTAGGGTTTAGGGTTTAGGGTTTAGGGTTTAGGGTTTAGGGTTTAGGGTTTAGGGTTTAGGGTTTAGGGTTTAGGGTTTAGGGTTTGGGGTTTGGGGTTTAGGGTTTAGGGTTTAGGGTTTGGGGTTTAGGGTTCTAGTTCAAAAGTAAGAGAACTCGTATACACGAGTGCTCAGCCGAGGGCTTTCACAGCCCACAGAAGAGCCGGGATGCATCGAAACACCCTCTCATACTCCCTGAATCCCGCAGCTCTTGTGCCCTAAACCGTAAACCCTAAACCCTAAACCCTAAACCCTATGATGTGCTCCTGTGATCTCCTGAGGCTCGGGCGCTCTCCGTGCTGTCTGTGCTTCCCAGAATGAGGCTGGACTGTGCCGTACACACCCCCTAGGCAAGTGCGGTTTGGGGTTTAGGGTTTGGGGTTTAGGGTTGAGGGTTTAGGGATTATAGTAGGATTCTCTTTGAATAAGGACCCCAATACGGTACCCCTAATTTCGGAAACGCCATTTCAAAACTTCGAGCTAGACTTACGGTGCCTCGGTCCCATGCCACACCGCTGTCAACATGGCTTCATGAGAAAGCCCAGATCTTGGGATTGGACTTCGAATCTCATGTGTTTCCGCTGCCCAACCTTCAGCCTGTGATGAAAGGGTGTTCTGGGATCCGGGCAACTCGCACCAGCCTCGGCTTCGCTTGAGTTCGTGCCATCATGGGTGCTCTTAGGGTTTAGGGTTTAGGGTTTAGGGTTTAGTTAGGGCTCAACCATCAGGTTTCGCTGCTCGGTTGGTTTGGGTGGGCGGGGGGGGGGTGCCTTTCGGGTGCTCCGGTGTCTTCTTTGCTGTGCACATGGCTCGGTTTCATGCTTTGCGTACTCTTGCGTTCGTGGACACGTAGGTTCGGCGTTGAGGGTGGCAAGAGCCGTTCAAACAGCGAACCCATGCAAGCCCCCAAACAACAAGCATTAGGGGCTGGATCTCGTTAACTTACAGAAGACATCCAAAACAATTTCTTGAGGGGGGCTGGCTATGTTCTTTTAGGTGCATGAGGCCGAGTCATTGTTGCGGTGTCCTGAATGAAAGGGGCTTCGAAACTCATCTAGTAAGTAAACTTCCTCGGTCCCTGACATTCCAAGCAGACATACTCAAAGCACCCCCAAATACATGATAAAGTCCTCAAAAAAATCTTCCACAAACTAAAGAATACGGATCGACAGCCCCCTCAGCCTTTAAACACAGTTGAGGCCGTTCTTTGGACATGAGAAAGCCTTGCAGTAGCTGCTGCCGGGGCACTGTGCGGGCCGAGGTCCCGGAAGCCGGCTGTGAGGCTCAAAAAGACTCTTGGCCTTCGAGGGGGGGCTTTTAACATGGTTGCAGGCTTCGTTGGCGAAACTTTGGGGGGCCACTTAGCACCGCACCTGTAGGGGTTGCAGCTCTTGGACTGGGATTCACTAGCCGATTTGCCCGCTGCAGCTGACTCGTAGCGATGGTGCGACATCCAAAAGGCAGAGACTTAAAGCACGAAAGGCTATTTAGTTTGTGCATCAAGTTCAGGCAAGGTATCAGCGGTTGTCAGCGACGCAGCTCTTACGCAACTGAACCCACACGTCGCGGAACGGTGGCTTGTGGCCTCGGCAATCATGACCTCGAAGAGATATCGCCCGGCCTCGACAAGTCGCGTGGACATGGGTGCAAACCCGCCCTAAACTCTCTAATGAGACCTCAACACACGAAGGCAGCAGCATCCAGAATCATCCCAAGCCGAATCACACCGACTCCTCTCCGCACCTTCACACCCACGCTCGCGCGCGCCCCCGCAAGCAGATATTGGAAGCCGCCATCGCCCAGCGCCTGAGCATGGCTGCATTTGGGATTTGGGTTGCGACTCTCACAACTAAAGGGTTTAGGGTTTAGGGTTTAGGGTTTAGTGCACGCGCAGGCAAGGCTCAGGATGTCTCAAGCATGGTGAAACTCATGACTCAGTGGTCCCTCTGTCATCACAAGGTCATCTTTGGGGGTTTAGGATAGCAAGGGACCCTGCATATTAGACCCTCAAATAGTAGGACCCCCTCCGAAGGAGGACCCCCAATCAAGTGGCCCCTTTACATCGTAAACCCCCCACTTGTTCAGTTTTTCTTAGGGAAGCTCCAAGGACGCTGAGCTCTCGACCATCAAGAGCTTTCCATTCACTGTTGGGAGAACCTCAGCACGTGCCATCGAGCTAATGAGCAGCTTCACAACAAGCTGTGAGTGGACACAAGGGGATTGTCACTGGGAAGACGACATTGACGGTCGTGTCCTCCGTGAAGAAGCAGCACTGCCCAGCCTTGCCAAGAGCACTGCCCACTGTCAACTCACACGCTTGGTATATCGAAGGCTTAAAATGCACAGGCGCACTCCCTCAGTTCATGTCAACACCGCCACAGTCATGTGCCTTCAGGAATGGCTTGGAGGCGGTTGCATCAGTTTCCAGCTCCTCTGCCGCTGACGGCTGCAAGGGGGGGCACTGTTCCAAAGCGTCCGTCATGACTCATGACCCGAGGCAGTCAACAGAAGCATACTTACGAGGCTGCTGAACGCTTGATTTGCCATGCGCTGGGACAGGTTGGGACCAAATGGAGTGCCAGGAGTATAGTTCTGGTGACCATTTTCAGGCTTGAGCCCTTGAGTGCAGATCGAGAGAGCTTGCTGCTCCACCTTGACCTGCCTGTATCTGCTGATGGCTTCTTCACGCCCATTCTCTCTCTACTGTGAAATCCTCAAACTCACCTGTGGAGTGAACTAAGTGAGCAAGCGGACGATGTCCGTCGAATCTGCCTGTCAGAATCTGGAAGCCGGGAGATTGGACAGTGATGTACTGGTGACCACTGGTGGTGGCGCCGGCAGTCAGGCATGCAGGAGTCTCTTACGTGCACAGCGTCAGAGTAACCGTTGTTGCAATGTAGGCCATGAAGTCGACGAAGAAGCTCCGCTGGTTCCGTTCAAGCTGGTTCCTGCCAGAACAACATAGGCTGGCCTATGACATGAGATCCTCCTTCGAGAAGATTGTACACGCTCGCGCACGTGCTATTGTGGTGGAACAAGAGGATAAATGAGATGAAACGTCCGGAGGTCCCAACTAGAACAGGCTCAGCTTCAACTTCAAAACACAATGTGCACACTGGAAATGAGGGCGCAACGCCTGAAGCTGGCTCAGCTCTACTTCACCATGCTGTGGTTCTTCGCCGCGGGGGCAACGTACCTGACAACAAACTATCCAGCGGTGAGAGAGAGCTGGAGCCAAGCTTCTGAGAAACATTTTAATCTATTTTTCTTGTGGGAATGGGGGAGAAATGGCTGAAAGGAATGTGCATGCGAACAAAAGATGTATATGGGGGTTTACGAGAAGAGGGATGGTAGAACTTCGTTATAACAAGGACCCCCTTAATAAGGTACCCCCTATTTTCGGAAAAAACCATATAGCTAGACAAAGATAATGAGCATTTTTACATTGCTCTCCGAGATGCATGCGCCGCGCCGGCACCGAATGCAACGCCGCGGACGGTGCTGGTAATGCTGTGGTAGCCGCCTGGTTTGAAGAACGGATGATTTTGCCATGCATGAAACAACAATCATGCGTCATGCGATGCAACAGCTGCGTCTGCACGCACTGTGGACACACCGTGGAGTCTTTCATGTAGTATACTTGTTATCCATCGAACATGCAGAACGCAAAATTTCGGTACGTGCGCCTGTGTGCGCATGGGTACGCGTGCACGTGTTTGCATGTGGAAGTGCGTGCGTTAGCGTGTCGGCATGTGCGCGCGCTGGTGCATGTGCGTGCGCCTGTGCGTGTACGTGTGCGAGTGCCGGGGCCATGTGGTGGGTGTGTGTGTGTGTGTGTGTGTGTGTGTGTGTGTGTCTGTGTGTGTGTGTGTGTGTGTCTGTCTGTCTGTCTGTCTGTCTGTCTATCTGTCTGTCTGTCTGTCTGTCTGTCTGTCTGTCTGTCTGTCTCTCTGTCTGTCTGTCTGTCTGTCTGTCTGTCTGTCTGTCTGTCTGTCTGTCTGTGTGTGTGTGTGTGTGTGTGTGTGTGTGTGTGTGTGGGTGGGTGCGTGCGTGCTTGCGTGCGTGCGTGCCCACTAAACTATGCGTGATGGTGGAAGCCACGTCTGATCAACCTGGTGTACCTGTCAGTGATATGTGATTTGATGTACAGTATAGAGTTTTGTCATTGCTGTGCATTGCTGCCGTGTTCACTGTTTCGGTAAGGTCTTCTATAGCTGATACCGCCGATGTTGTTTATGGCTCAGGTGGATGCATGTGTGCTTGAAATATGTTGAAATGCAAACCAGTCAGCCGAGTTAACTTAGCTAGCAAAAGCAAACTAACTCGGAGTAACTGGGTAGCTGAGGCAACTTCTTTTAAAAAATGGCAGGGGGGCACAGACCTTGTGATGGCACACACCTATCCATCACAAGGGCACACAAAGACTGGTCATCTCTGTGCACCTGCTACAAGAAGCTGCATCTTGATTTGCCCAGATCTGTTCAGACTTTCTCAACCAGCTCAGACATACATAGCTCAGACATACATAGGTACATACATACATATGCACATATATACATATTATATGTATATGTGTATATATATATACATATACATTCACACAAACACAGGCAGATCGTCACTCTCAAAATGGTGCAGCATGACCTTGGGCAGCACCAGAGCTGTAAGGGAGCCACCGTAGACGGCACCTGCCACGTTTTCTACGTCACGGCATGATTTATTTGTGACCCGCGCATGCCAACGGGAATACGCGGCGACGTGACAGTGCCAGCCAGACATTTCGACTGCCAACCCGTAGCCTTGATCTGATGCTGAAGCCCCTAAACTCTAAGCCCTAAACCCCAAACCCCAAACCCTAAACCCTAAACCCTGAACCCTGAACCCGAAACCCTAACCCTGAACCCTAAATGCTCCCATGCTGCTCCCCCGCAAAACTCCGCCGCCTGTGTCCAGTCCAAGAGCAAAGGCTTCCTCTCAGGCGGCACTCTGACTCAATGAGTGCTGCTGCAACTTCTAGCGATTCGAGTGGTTGTTCAATGAATGCGCTAAGCTCTGTGTATGAGTAGAAACCGCAAGGCATTGCAAGCCCCTGAGACGAATCGGCAGAACTGTCATCCCCGCTCTGCAGCCCGTGTGCCCCTGGCACGTAACTCGGGCACGTGTAGATCCATGACCCTGAAAAGTGCCGTTTCCTCGTATAATCCATACCCCGGCTTGCCTCTACGCACTCTGCATGACGTGATGTAGGCGAGGTTTATCCCTTAAGAACAAATAGAGATGCAAGCGCATCCAAGGGCCAATCAGATATGTCTCTCGAAAAAAACGTTTGCAACCGGAGGGGCAGCTGGCCTTCTGCAGGCTTCTCCGAGCATCATGTCCAAAGATTACCTCGCAATTGGGGCGGAGGTTGCGAGCTTCGCATTACGCCATGCGGAAGTAACGGCAAGTGGTCAAGTGGCAAGCAAAAACTGTGTTCGATCCCCTTCCCCAAGTCACTGAGCACCTGACCCCATGAACCGAAATAACTTTGAATATTTCTCACTTCTCTCTCTGAACATCCCTAAGCTTCAGTAACTTGGCAAGCCCTCCACCTAAAGCCGCACTCTGCGCCAAAAAACCGGGGGGGCCTGCTCCGGCCCTTTGAAAGCTTGCGCCCAAGGCCCACCTCCGGCCTGCCCCGAGCTTTGAAATCAAGGAAGTACCAGGATCTTTTTGGCGGAAGGCTCTTTGCACATTTGGGTCGGGTTCTGGATATGTTGAAGGATTTGTTCGAGTTTCTGTTGGGTTCTTTGGGCGGCGTGGGTTTTGGGGTCTTTTTGGCCACGGGGGTGAGCGGGGGTGTCTTGAGACTTCTGTGCTGTGATTGCTTGTGGGTCGCTAAATCCTTCTGAAACCTGCCTGAGAAACTAGCCCTGAGCCCAAACCACGTGACCCAAACCTGTAAAGCCCCAAGCCGAAAACCATGAACTGAGCACTGCCTCGACAACAACCACGGGGGGTTGGTTGCAAACCATCTTACTTTTCATGCGGAGGAGCCATTTCACACAAGAGCAGAACCAACATATGCTTGAACTAAATCCTGGCCACAAGGAATGCTCCCTAAACCCTAAACCCTAAACCCTAAACCCTAAACCCTAAGCCCTAAGCCCTAAGCCCTAAACCCTAAACCCTGAACCCTTGCTTCCTGCGCGCAGCTCTGATGCTGAAAGCATCCCGGGGGGCTCCATTTTTGTCTCCAAACCCCTTTGAGACTATCACCGGGGGGATCCAGGGATAAGAGCCCCTCATTTGTTGCATAAAAACTTCAAACTGTTGCTTTGGCAATAATATACCCTTGCACGGCTCCGACAAGAACTCCGCCTCAAAGAGTTCGGAGCCATGGCCTCAGAGGACATGCCCTGCTGTTGCGATAACCCAACAGGTCAGCAGTCTGCCCGAAGTACACCACAGCGGTCTATTGGAGTCTAGAACGAACGGTGATCAGAGTTTACATCGCGCCAAAATTTCTCCAGGGCTTTGCAGATGCAAAGACTTCCTGCGAGAATTGCAACACAGTTTTACATGTCGGAGTGTCTTTCTTTAGACGGCTTCAGGGGTTTTTACCCCCCTGGCGCACTAGGGGACAAACCGATATCACCCCGTACAATTCCGGAGTGTCTGTCTCCTTCTCTATCATTTGCCAATCTCTCTCCGTCTTCTTCTTATTCTTCTATCACCCAAGTCGGCCAACACGCGAATACAAGGCCCAGCGCCTACTGCATGTGGAGGCTTACGATTCCCTTGTAAGCACCCCACAACGGTACCCCTCGGACACCTGTTGTGTTCCCCGCATACTGGCCTCGGGAGTCCAGGCTCCGAAGATGCACCTGGGCTTTGGTGAGAAGTCCCCGCCACGATCTTTTCAGGTGCAGACACATCGTTTGCGCAGCCAGGATCTTCAGAAGTCCGACATGAGCCCCTAAACCCTAAACCCTAAACCCTAAACCCTAAACCCTAAACCCTAAACCCTAAACCCCTCAACCCCTCAACCCCTCAACCCCTCAACCCCTCAACCCCTCAACCCCTCAACCCCTCAACCCCTCAACCCTGCACCTCAGATGGACCTAGGATGCCCCCCGCCTGGCTGTAAGGCTGCTGGGCCTCCAAGGCCACCCCTGGAGAGAAAGCAGACAGGGTGCTAACTAATTGCTTAAGAACCCCGAAACACTAAAAATATTCTTCCTTACTAAGGGTGATGTCGGGATTTTTGCTTTTCATTCTTTTGGGGTTCCTAAGCAATGGTAGGGTTTCGAGGGCAGCTCCGAACGACTCACGGGCCCTTGGCGATAAGCTTCATCAGCGAAAGTAACGACAAACGGGCAACTTCCCGCGGAGAGGAAAACAACAACCTCTAACACACAACTTGTGCTTCTTGGGAAACTCACTTACCACGGTCAACCGCAGATGTCCACAGAACTCCCGCTACCTCATCCCACGGACCCATCCAGAGGAATCGCTTGGATACCCATGCTGTTGGAGAGAGACATAGCAGCCCCGGCCACCGCCTGGCACCAAACCAGCATGAACCACCACCACGGGCACGTGGGCCCGAGGCAAGGGAAGCACCTTCGGTACAGATCGAGTGCCGACTCTTTGTCTTGACCATAGGCGCGCATGAAAGTTTTGCAGCCCTTAAGAGTGTAGTGTGGCGGCGTAACTGACATTTCGACAAGGGAATGATTCAAGCCGAGGATTCCTGAGATGGGTGGTAGGGGCAGCCGTCGTCGTGGTCTTATTATTTTATTTTCTTAGTATTCGTACTATGATGATTATGACTGTTCATAGTAGTATAGTAGTAGTCGTAGTAGTGCTTACTGATATACGTAGAAGTAGTAGTACGCAGTTGTCGTATACGTAGTAAGTAGTATACGTAGTATTGTATACGTAGTATGACATAAACGTATAGCATAGTATACGTAGTATAGTATACGTAGCAGTACGTAGTGGTACGTAGTAGTGCGTATTTGACGCAAATGATTTGGTCAACAACCATGGCCTGGTTTATCGTTATTGCGTTGCTTTGCGCATCTGTCATGGGCAATTCAGCAGTTGTTGTTGTTGTTGTTGTTGTTGTTGCTGCTGCTGCTGCTGTTGTTGCTGTTGCTGTTGTTGCTGTTGTTGCTGTTGCTGTTGTTGCTGTTGTTGCTGTTGTTGCTGTTGTTGCTGTTGTTGCTGTTGTTGTTGTTGTTGTTGTTGTTGTTGTTGTTGTTGTTGTTGTTGTTGTTGTTGTTGTTGTTGTTGTTGTTGTTGTTGTTGTTGTTGTTGTTGTTGTTGTTGTTGTTGGTGTGTTGTTGTTGTTGTTGTTGTTGTTGTTGTTGTTGTTGTTGTTGTTGTTGTTGTTGTTGTTGTTGTTGTTGTTGTTGTTGTTGTTGTTGTTGTTCTTATTCTTATTCTTCTTCTTCTTGTTGATGTTGATGTTGTTGTTGTTGTTGTTGTTGTTGTTGTTGTTGTTGTTGTTGTTGTTGTTGTTGTCGTTGTCGTCGTCGTCGTCGTCGTTGTCGTTGTCGTCGTCGTCGTCGTGGTGGTGGTGGTGGTGGTTGTTGTTGTTGTCGTTGTCGTTGCCGTTGCCGTTTGCCGTTTGCCGTTTGTTGGTTGTTGGTTGTTGGTTGTTGGTTGTTGGTTGTTGGTTGTTGGTTGTTGGTTGTTGGTTGTTGGTTGTTGGTTGTTGGTTGTTGGTTGTTGGTTGTTGGTTGTTGGTTGTTGGTTGTTGGTTGTTGGTTGTTGGTTGTTTGTTGTTGGTTGTTTGTTGTTGGTTGTTGTTGCTGTTGTTGTTGTTGTTGTTGTTGTTGTTGCTGTTGTTGTTGGTGTTGTTGCTGTTGCTGTTGCTGTTGCTGTTGCTGTTGCTGTGGTCGTCGTTGTTGCTGTTGCTGTTGCTGTTGCTGTTGCTGTTGCTGTTGCTGTTGCTGTTGTTGTTGTTGTGGTTGCCGTTGTGGTTGTTGGTGGTGTTTGAGACGGTGGTTTTGGTGATGGCGATGTAGTAGGGTGCAGCCGCCGTGGGTGCTTGTGTGCACGTGCCTTGTTGTGATTTTTCGCCGGGGTTTGCGGCGAACAGGGTAAAATCGTCCGTTCATATGGCGATCATGCCCAAAACGCTGGTACTTATGCCCAGTACCGTTGCTACATGCTGGCACCGGCTGCTAGCATCCAATCCATTCAATCCCTTCGAGCTTCCGGCACCAAGTGGAGAGGAAGGGACTCCAGCCAGGCCCAGTCCTCCTCCTTCGGTGTGGCAGAAAGAAAGAAAGGTGACTCAAAGAGATTCGCCTTGACCTTTTGGCAAAGGGAAGTTCAGGGAGGCTGTGCCCACTCAACTGAAGGTCGACGACCCGTTCCCGACTTTGGGAGCGGCCGGCCTCCAGCTCGGCCACAGTTTCAGCATAGCGTGCGCTGATGACATTCCTTGTGTCCATCGCTTTGGAGAGATGAGACAAAGCACAAAAGCAAATCTGGTCACTCGGATACGCAGTGTCTTCTCGCTTCATCAAAATGGCGAGGGCTCTTACTGAGCTGCTCGACTCAAGCTGGCCTAGCCCCCGACGATGTCTGCAGCTTCTCAAGGCTTAGGCATTGCGCAGCAACACAGCTTGAATGGACTTGTGCACTTCAAAAGCCACCTTCCCCAAGTACTCCAGAGCTGCTTTGCAAAAGGGGCGCTGGTCATCTGGTAGAGGGGCACCGCGCTTGCGCCAGGAGAGAAGGTTGAACTCGTGGTTGCCCTGCACCTTTGAGATAGGTGTTGCATTCTGCGCCGGGCTTTCGGGTGCAGCATGCACATGTGGGTCCTGCGGGGTACGCCCAACCCTGTGAAGCAGCCAATGTGTCAAGCAAGGTCATAAACTTCTCTTGTGGGTGGGGGAAGCATCTGGTGATCGGGCATTGCTTGCTCTGATCTACTTCGACCACTAACAAGCAGGAGACCCGCTAATGCTGCATTCCCCAAGCCTGCAAAGCTAGCCCTTGTCCAATCCTGCTACTCCTGCTACTTCTCCTGACCAACGATAAACCTGAACAGTCTTTTTAAGTGAACTCCTTTGCACCAGTGGCCTGTTGGCATCCTAAGCAATTGTGATCCCAAAGATTGTAAGCAGAGGTGCTCTCCCCCCCTCCCCCCCTCCCCATGCACCCGTCGCGGACCATGAGGTGCTAAACTTCCGAGGGAAGAACCGCCGCAGCACCCAACCGTCGGGCGAGCCGAACCACTGCTTTTGGAGCGGGGCCTGACATGCTATGGAGTGACTTCTTCATAGAACTTGGGCCTGCACGGCAACCGTGGTTCTACCGGAAGATTCTACCATAATCTACTGCTTCACAGCTGGCAGAAAATTGTGCAAGTGGCGAAGAGAGTTTACATGATGTTGTTGCAGACTATTCGTAATGTGTTCTGACGGTTTTCTCGGGCAGAACTGATCATTGAGCGAGAAATGGATGAAAATCAGCTTTTGCAGGCTCTTTTAGGCTCGACACTTTTTCATGGCTCCCGCAGCTCATGAGAGTGCACCCCGACAACGGCCTTTGCCGATGAGATCGCCCACGAAGACAAGCTCGTCTCTGGCACGGTTGAAGCTGACAACCTAGCGCAAGTCTTCATGCCCTAAACCCTAAACCCTGAACCCTAAACCCTAAACCCTAAACCCCAACCCTAAACCCTAAACCCTGTACGCTCACTGGCAAGCTGGCGGCCATTGAATAGTGAGGGTGTTGAGGCTGAAGGTTGAAGACTTAAATACTCTGGACACTACTACTGCCACTCCTCCTCCTGCTGCTGCTCCTGCTCCTGCTCCTGCTCCTGCTACTGCTACTACTACTACTACTACTACTACTACTACTACCACTACTATTACTACCACTACTACTACTACTACTACTACTACTACTACTACTACTACTACTACTACTACTACTACTACTACTACTACTACTACTACTACTACTACTACTACTCCTATTCCTACTCCTACTCCTACAACCTCTACTGCTGCTGCAGCTGCAGTCTAGCTGCTGGCTTTGAATCTGAATTTGAACATGTTGGTATGAATTCTGGATTAACATTGAGCGTTCTTTTGAGTTCTGTGATTCTAGCTTCAATTTTCTTGACCTCAACACACAGCGAGGATCTAGACGCTTATCATGAATAGCTGCCTCGGTCTGCACAGTTGCGTAAAGTGCGACGGTTTGAGAGAAATGGAGTCCCGAGCCCAGAGTCCATGATCCAGAGCATCCAAGAGCTGTGTAAGTTGCAACCAAGCCCAAAACCCTAAACCCTAAACCCTAAACCGAGGATCTGATTAATAAAGCCCCCGAAGTTTAAAGAGCTTATTTTTTGGAACCCTCCGGGAAGACTACTTTCCATTACGGGAGCCAAAACCCCAAAATGCACCAAAAAAAAGTCAAGAAACAAAATGGGGGCCCAACAAATTTGCTGAAGGCTACAGGGATCATGGAAAGACCGCCGGCCTCCGAGGACGAGAAGCACGGAGGTTTTGCACTGCTTAAGAAATTATACGACGCGCTCGGATGTTTTTTGGAATTGGAGGCTGCAACAGAAAACTGCGATTCCTTGCTACTCTCATCTAGGATCGATGCCCAAATCATTCGCTCCTGACCTTCCCCTTACCGGCCCGGAATTCAGGCCAGAGTTTGGGATTAATAAAACCCCCCAGATCAATGGAAAGCCCGGCGGGCCCACCACTACGATAAGCACAGAGAGTTTGGCTTGCTTAAGGCTTAAGTAAGCAATTGCCCACGTGCTCTCCTATTTTTGGAGTTGGAGGCTGCAGCAGAAAACTGCGATTTCCTACTACTTCGCATCTCGGATCGATGCCCAAATCATTCGCTCCAGTTCAGGCCCGAGTTTGGGATTAATAAAGCCCCCAATGGAAAGCCCGACGGGCCCACCATGACGATCAGCACAGAGATTTTGCATTGCTTAAGCAATCACAGATAAACAGATAAGCTTCCAAGAAGGGAATAATAAAAACCCCAAGCCGAGAGTTAAAGGACAAAAAATGGGCAGAGGCAAAAACAAAAGCCTTCCAAGAAGAGGAGCGGAAAAGGACACAAGAGGACAGCCCCCTTTCCGACCCCCCCTCCCTTCCCAGCCCCAGGCAATAATCGACCCCTTCCATTATTCTCGGGAGGGGGGCCCTACTAATCACCCTAAACCCTAAACCCTAAACCCTAAACTAGATCAACTGGGCCAGGCTCGGGAGCACGAACGTGTTCGATGAATTTGGTTGACAAAGCATGAGCCTCCAAAAGCTCCGCAAGCTCATCGGCACAGCCGTGCACATCGCCAACCACAACGACACGGCCTCTTTGTCCATAGGGTTTAGGGTTTAGGGTTTAGGGTTGAGGGTTTAGGGTTTAGGGTTTAGGGGTTAGGGCTCGCAGGTAAAGACAGAAACGCTGGCATGCGATCTCTGAGTTCAGCACTACGTGAAGTACACGCAAAAGCCCAAACACATGACGAAATCTCACCTCCGATTCTCATCCATCGTAGTTTAGGGTTTAGGGTTTAAGGTTTAGGTACCCCCTAAACCCCCCCAGGAACTTCACTCTGACAACTTCAGTGCCAAGGCCGATGCCTTGCAACGAATGCCCAGAAAGCGAGAGGATGAGAAGTGCCAAAACGCAGCAAGCCTTAGCTTGAGCAAGGGCTTAGGGCTTAGGGCTTAGGGCTTAGGGCTTAGGGCTTAGGGCTTAGGGCTTAGGGCTTAGGGCTTAGGGCTTAGGGCTGAGGGCTTAGGGCTTAGGGCTTAGGGCTTAGGGCGTAGGGCGTAGGGCGTAGGGCTTAGGGCTTAGGGCTTAGGGCTTAGGGCTTAGGGCTTAGGGTTTAGGGTTTAGGGCTTAGGGGTTAGGGATTAGGGGTCGAAGCCCTCTTGCTGCAACATTTTGTATGAAGGGCTTTTCCCGGTACCGAGGGACACTGTATGACAGTATGCCGGGGCGAAGATCCCTACCCTAAACCCTAAACCCTAAACCCTAAACCCTAAACCCTAAACCCTAAACCCTAAACCCTAAACCCTAAACCCTAAACCCTAAACCCTAAACCCTTTACTAAACCCTAAACCCCCTACTGCCTCCTGATGTCGGACGCGCCCCGAGTACAACTCGAGCCTGAGCCGACACGCCATTCAAGCTTTCTTTTCCACAGTCCCCTAAATCTTGAAAGCTGTACCCTAAGCCCGAAACCCTAAACCCTAAACCCTAAACCCTAAACCCTAAACCCTAAACCCTAAACCCTAAACCCTAAACCCTAACCCTACTGGAACCCTGGAACGGCCCAAGGGCAGCTACCGCGCGCACCCCGGGTACCAAGCGAAGCCGCCAGAAAGCAAGTAGGCGCCACCACATGGCAAGAAATTAAAGCAAGCAGGGTTTAGGGTTTAGGGTTTAGGGTTTAGGGTTTAGGGTTTAGGGTTTAGGGTTTAGGGTTTAGGGTTTAGGGTTTAGGGTTTAGGGTTTAGGGTTTAGGGCTTAGGGCTTAGGGCTTAGGGTTTAGGGCTTAGGGCTTAGGGTTTAGGGTTTAGGGTTTAAGAGCTGTTCTGAGCTGGCGAAAGGTATTTATGGAGCTGAGTGGATGAACTCAATGCACTGCTCTTTGCCTTGAGCTGATGAGCCTTCTGGGCAATCACTTCCACACAGGCTGCATGACGAATGCGAATCTTTGTCAGGAGCTCTGATATGTAGAACGTTCTTTTCTCACGTGGCAAGGAGCAATCATGGAGCGCCCGAACCATTCCGAACAACCCCCTTCCACGTTTTGCCTCTGGTGCTTGGTCACCCTTTTTCTCACATCGATGAACAAGGCTCATCCATCACAGCCAATCAAGGACCTTCAGCACTCTCCCTCAAGAATCTACGGCAGCGAGAATGAGAAGAAAAGAACCTGAGATCAGAGACGCTTTTTCGTACCGAGTCCAACCCTCACCCCTCAACCCTAAAACCCTAAAAACCCAAAAACCCAAAAACCCTGTAAACCCTGTAAACCCTGTAAACCCTATAAACCCTATAACCCTACAACCCTAAACCCTACAACCAAAAAAACAAGTTGTTTGAGGTCCTTGGGCGGCTCCTCAGCCGGCTCGGCAGCTTCCATCGCCACGTCCTGGACACGCGAAGTCTTGGGCGGCGACGTGGTTTCTTGGGCGAGATGGTGCGGTTTGTGCAGGGGTTTGGGAGTTGGGATCTGGGGCTTTCCGAAAGTAGGGGTGTTAAGCACCCAGTTGTTGCGGGAAAGGGTTTGCAAGCTTGTAAATGTCCGGCACCCACGCGATGGGTCATGATGGCAAAGTGGCCTGTATTCCCGGTTGCACCTATCGACACACTGAACAGCCAAGTCCTCTGCCGGCGTCTCATTTTCCTGGTCGCACGCGCCAACCCATGCAATTCTAAGCATGACCGCAGAAAAATGTGCTGCCTGCCATGTCATGGACTGAGGCCTGCACCTTACCATCAGAAGCCATGGCAGCTTCTTCCTGGTCGCTTTTGTGAATTTCACTGACTCTTGGGTCTTCGCTGACATCGGTGTGTGAGGTGGAAGGCACAGGGCCGCCACGTGACCTTCTCCTCATAAGTTTTGCAAGTGGAAATCCAAGTTGCACGACAAAACAAAGACCCTAAACCCTAAACCCTAAACCCTAAACCCTAAACCCTAAACCCCACAAGCGCCAGGCCTTCGCCGGATCCCCGGCGGCCAAGGATTGAAGCTCGAGCCAACGGACGGCAAAGTTGCGACGGCTGAGGGTGCCCGTGAAGCTGTCGAGCTATGTAGGGTTTAGGGTTAGAGGGTTTAGGGTTTAGGGTTAAGAGGGTTAAGAGGGTTAAGAGGGTTAAGAGGGTTAAGAGGGTTTAGGGTTTAGGGTGGTTGCGAGGGGTTCTGTCTTTTGGTAGGGTTGTTGAGTCTGTTGCATGAAAACTGTTCAAAAAGCTGTCTTGCATGAGAATTCCACACCTCAGTGGCCACGGAACGCAGCCTGATGACTTCTTGAAACTTAGCAGGTTGTCTGGTAGGAACTCAGATTCGAAGCTTAGGGGCTCAGAAGACAAATCCGCGAAGTGTGCCCGCAAAAGCCAACAGATTCAGGCCTTCAAAACTCCTTGCACGGCTGTAGAAGCCACAGGGCAGGCTCGTAACAACCCACCTGAAACCTTAAACTGCGCGATACCTGGTGGGGCCTCTGTATCGTCTCCGGAGCCAGTTCGAGGTAACCCGCAGCCTCCCTGAGAACGTGAGCGCCGGGTTTAGTGCTCTGATGCCAAGATGTGCCCCGATGTAGGGAAAAGCTCGGAAGCACCTGATTTGATACGCAACCCACAACTCCAAACCGGCACTATGTCTGGAAGAACACCTAATATAGGAGCATGGAAGAACAGCCCCTGGCAAGACTTTAAACTCAAGAAAAGCCACTGGGCTACCTCAGCAAATCTTACCGACACGAAGATCCTGCACACCTCAAGAGCTTAAACCCTGAACCCTACATACCCCCCTAAACCCTAAACCCTAAACCCTAAACCCTAAACCCTAAACCCTAAACCCTAAACCCTAAACCCTAAACCCTAAACCCTAAACTCCTAACCCTGAACCCTAAAGATCCTTTGAACCGCCACAGGCGCCACCCCCAATGAAATGCTGGCCGAGGAGCATCTCCGTCCTTAGCTCTGACCTCTGGAGGTGCGAAAACGGATGTAAGTGGTGAGAGGAGGGGGTTAGGTCCGTTAGGGTTTAGGGTTCAGTGTTTAGGGTTTAGAGGTTCGGGGTCTGGGGTTTATAGTTTAGGAGTTCGAGTAGCACATTGCATTGGGCGACTGATTCTTAGCTGTACGACGAGAAGCTTTGCGCGGTTGGGGTTCATCTGCGCATGGCTTGGCCGGTTTGACCTCCTCAGATTGCGGGCGAGCGGCCACAGGCGCTTCCTGGGTTCTTGGCTCAGGGCCTGAAGGTATGCGCGGGATACAGCCTCTGTCAACTGGTACTCGGGCATGTAGGGAGAGCCGTAGCACAGGGCTTCAACCGCATTCAATGCCGATAACAACTGGGGATTGCCGAAAATAGGGGTACCCCTTATATACCCCCAAACTACTATCATCCCTTCAAAGGAACCCCAGAAAAGGGTACCCCCTATTGTCGGAAACCCCCCCAACTGTGCCCTGCACACCTCAAGGCTCCACTTGCCTGTGCAGCATGCCTAGGAGCCGCCCAGAGCGCTGGCTTAAGGCCTGGAGGGGCAACATGTTGTTTGCTCTCCACCACGAAAGCTGCCCAGCGGCAGAGTGTTTCGGAACAGTAAGCCTTTTTCCTGGGAGGAGGAACCTCCAAACCTCAACAGAAGACACTTAAATGAGCTTGGGTATTCGGACTTGACGAAGGGTGGGGTCCAGGCCGAGCAGCGCGTCAGTAGGTTGTGAAGGCAATGATTGTACTATAGGTGAGGTATTGCACCAGCTTGCAGATTGAGCAATCCACCGCCGCCCTGCCCAGTCACTGTCGCAGCAGGCGAGTCATGCATTGAAGCAAATGGACTTTCTGTACTGCAGGATTGCACGTTCTGCAGCAACAAAGGAAGCCAAGCGCACTTGAAAAACTACTCCTAACATGTACACCCCCCCCCCCCCCGCGTTGGTTAGGTTATTTCATACTCGGTGCTCCACTTCAAGAGTTTCAGTCTGCAGCCTCCGTTCCCCTTCTAAAACTGCGACCTCCTGAACTCAGCACGTGGCTCAGACTCAGTACATCTGTATATACTGAGGACCTGACGTGCGCCTGGATTGGCGGGCCTCCTTGGCAGGCTGTCCCGTGTAGATGGACCCGCAAGGGTTGTCTCCTTTTTTTTTTAGGGTTGTCTCCTATGAAATCAAGCGAATGGACTCAAACTCGCCTCAACTTCCAGCCGAGAGGCGTCTGGAACGAGCAGACGCTTGTAAGGAAACAATGCTTTTACCATTGCTTTCCATGAAGTCACCCTCCAGATTCATGGACAACTCGATTTAAAAAAAAACAATGAAACTCAAAAACTGGTTTCTGCTATGCGTCTGGGCCGAAGTAAGAACCATGAAAACGAACTACCAGTGTGTTCCATGAATCGGGGCGCTGACTGCATGTAAAACGTTGTTGTTTTTTTCCACCATTTCCCCCCCAAAAAAACATGGTTTCTGGAGCTATGCGTCTTAGGGGGCCAAGTTCATGGAAAGGACCAAGGTTTTATTTAGCAATGTTTTCCAAAGCTCTCTTCTGCTTTCTGGAGAATTGCGTCTGGGTGGCCAAACTTATAGAACACATGGAAAACATGGGTCTTACAAATGTTTCCAACAAAATCCATGGTTCCAGAGAGATCTCAGGGCGTCGCGCTCATCGTTCCACAAAACGTGGAATTGTTTGAAAACATTGCGAAAACCAATGTTCAATGAGTTCGTACTCCAACTTCATGCAAAGAATGGGTTCTGCCAATGCTGTCCCCAACTTTCAGGGTATCCGAGAGACCCTAAACCCTAGACACCAAACCTTAAACCCTAAACGCGCAGGGCCTCAGGCTTATAGTTCCAGACAACATGTAATTGCTGGAAAGCATTGGTAAAACCAATGTTCTCCATGAACTCACCCTCCAGATGGAAAGATTGCCCCAAACACTCTGCCTGCTAAATTTCAACCAGTTTCCAAAAAAGTGCATTTAATTGCAACTAGATTGATTGGCATATCAAGATGTTTTGAAAACTGTTCATGCTGCTCAGGTTTAGTGGCCGGGAATGCTCAAAAACAATGAAGGACAGCTACAAAGACCGCCAAATGCGGCGCGGCTCTCGAAACGAAAGCCGCTCAGAACGCAGCGATTGAGTTCGTTGGGTTCCCGCTTTCACCCCTTATGCAATACAAAGGCAAATACTCCTTCTTTCTGGCTGAAAGAACCATCTCGGTTATGAAACATCCTTACATATCACAAACCTGAACCTCGAGCTAAGCTGTGCGGCTCAGGCGCCAGGGACTGATCAGTAGCAAGTTGCTCCAACCTCACCGAAAGGGGGGCACCCGCATGATGTGCATGTGATTCTACCTCTCGCGCTCACTTTTTTGGGCCTTCGCAGGCTAAGCGGTTGCCACTGCCCGCATTGAGAACGCCTAGCAGCTATGTCATCTGCTCCGTGTTCGTAATGCACCGCAGAACACTCCTATTAAAATGGCCTCTGGGTCTAATACCCAGCGAAACAGCTTGGACTCATGTTTCTCTGGTGCGCTAGGTCAGGATTCCCGTCGGCAGCTTTGCTGCAGAAGGCAGGAAGCCTGCAGTTGTTGTTGCCGTCTCGTGACCGTGTATGGTGACAGTCTATGCGTGCACGTATCTATCAGTATGAGCTATACT